AATAATAATAATACTAATAGGCCCTGATGAAGACTAGTGAAGACACATTGTCAGTGAAGTCAAGTTATCTTATAAATAATAAAATATCTATATATTACAACATAATAATTTATTTAATTTAATATATTTTAATTGAAAATGAAAATGCTATATACTATAGTTTCTAGGCAAAATTTAATTACCTGATGGACTAGTAGTTGGGGAATCAAATGTAGTTCTTAAATTATGACTTGAAATTTGCATTTTGTCTTTAGGATTATCTACTGTCAAATTTGGAGATAAAATTTCCCTACGAGCATCTTGAGTCAATGCAGCTGGTGAAAGAACTTTAGGATTATTTAAAATATTTGGTTGGAGATCTGGTTGAAGCAATCGCACTCCTGCTGATTGCTGATCACTAATAGTACCAGTATGTGAATGTGTACTTGAACTTGGTTTTGAAGAACTGATCTGATTCAATTTTCCTGTGATCGGCTTGGCACTAGAAACTTTCTCACTTGGTTGGGCTTGTAATGTAGGTGCATTTATTCCATCGTTTTTTAAGAAAACAGACAATTTAAAAAATCTCTTGCCGCTTGCCCTTGATTTACATTTTGGGTGATGAAGTTGAGTCAATGTTAAGTTTACAACTTGGTTTATCCTAAAACGGCGGATGTTTATCATTTCGGTAGTTATACTACTACAAAATTAATTTGTTTACGGCGCTCTATGGGCAGATCTGATAAATTAATATTAGATTTAAATATTAAATGCTTTTGTGTCATTTAATTTTCATCAGCTACAATAAAGATGACAGGTGTGCTTGGAGGTATTGGTTTGTTTGCTTACAATTATTTATAGAGCTCTCCCCTTATGGGGCATAACGTTGTTGATTTAAACACAAGGTTGGGTTTCCTTTGATCTGTTCTTTTTTATATTTTTTTAACATTTAATTGGTGAGGTAATTTTTTAATTTACTTTTTTAAAGTAATAAACAAAACAGACCTATAGGAAAAGTATGTTTTTTTTATTTCAATAAAAGAGAGTAATAATGAATGATCCCTGCAAAGAATAGTAGAACTAAATAACATACCATATCAAATACAATTTAATTTATTAAATGAATTGGCTGCATACATCACGACGGTGTACCTAGAAAAACCATAGACTTACGCCTACATACACCTTGGCAAACAATTACTATTGGCTTGGATATGAGATGTACTGTAGTCTTGTGGTAGAGTAAACGCCTGATGTTATCATATTTGGGGATCAATTACTAAACAATTACTAAACCCTTTTTATTTTTTAAAAATCATAATTAAAAGATATTTTTTTTTAAATAATTAAATTACTATATTATATATTCATTTGTAAAATATTATTACTTTTAATTTGTTTCGACCTTTCAAATCTCTGTACAGCTTTGATACGGTTGGACAGCTTTCATAGAATTTTTTTTACCCCGCAGCTTGGTAGGCATGTATTATGTATGCATATATTTCGTACAACCCCCCCCCCCTCCACACACACACACACACACATACGCACACACAAATAAATAAATATTGCACTAATTACAGAAAGGAATGCGTCACGATCTTGCAGAGCTTGCACTGCACACAAAGACAAAATACAAGTACTACTTTTGTATATCCTTGGATGCAGGTATTATTATTATTTTTTATTTTTTTTAATAATTACTATTTATACACAGAGCCAGCTCAAGGTAACGGCAACACGGGCAGTTGCCCCGGTTAGCATGTGCTTTAAGGGGCCATCAACGAGCTTCAAAAATAGGATAAAGCATCGCATGTTGGCGCTATGGAAGAATAATAGAAAGCTCAACAAAAGTATTTGCTGATCTAAAGGCTAGAAAAAAAGGTTGGCTAATTGTTCATACTGTGCAAAAACAAGTTAAGAAAAACAATTTCATTGTTTTGTTTTTTTTGTTGTTGTTGTTTTTTTTGTTTTTTTTGGGAGTTTTTTTTAATGTCTTCTTCTTCTTCTATATTTTGAGGGCCCACGATCAATGGATTGATTATTCTGGCTCCTATATTTTAGAGGGGTTCGCGGTGTTATTGTGCAAGGTGTTCAAGGGGATACTTCACTGGTTTCAAAGGCTATTCAGCAGTGGTTTTATGAACTGGGGGTTGGTTGACAGGAGGCAAAAGCTGCATATGTGTCAAGTGTAGTCGCCTCAACTGTTGCTTTTGGAAGCTTGTTCCAGTCCCTTATTGCCTTTAGAAGGAATGAGAAGCTCCTGTACTGAGTTCTTGTTTTTGTTAGCTGAAACTGCCTGTCGTGGCCTCGTCGCTGTCTAGGGGGCAGATGGACGAGTTTTTGTTTGATGCTGGAGCAGTGGACCAGCCCATTTTGTATCTTGTACAGCATTGTGAGCCTGGGTAGTCGTCGTCGTTTTCCAATGGTGACCAGCCCAGTGCTTCTAGCATGCTGCCAACACTTGAGGTGTTTCTGTAGTGGTTAAGTACAAAGCGTGCTGCCCGTCGCTGGACCACCTGTCGATGCTTTTCTGGGTAAATGGGTCCCAGACTGTAGAAGCGTACTCTAAAAGCGGCCGGACAAAGGCTTTATAGGCTTTTTCTTTCACGCTTGAGTTGCCGATCTTCATATTTTGCCTTAGGAACACCCAGGTCTTGTTTGCCCGGTTGCACAAATTGTTAATGTGCTCGTCCCAGCGGACCTCTCTTTGAATGGTAACACCCAGATACTTTACGAAGGAAACTGGCTGAAGAATATGGCCAATGCTGTTCGTAAGAGTGGTGTAGAGGGGATCTGCTTCTGGATACTGACAGGGTCTGGCACTTGACGGGATGAAATTCCATGTCCCAGCTCATCTTCCACTCTGCTAACCGATTGAGGTCCTGTTGTAGCTGTTCCTGGTCAGAACTATTGGCGATCGTCCTATACACTACCGTGTCATCTTCGAACAGTCTTACTTGAGAGGTCAGCTTCTCGGGCAGATCATTGATATATGCTAGGAACAAAGCACAGAGCCCTGGGGGACCCCTGACTTACACTGACAAAGGAGGAGGTTGTTCCATCTACCACTACTGCCTGGCATCGGTCGCTGAGGAAGCTTGAGATCCATGTTTTGGTAGTGCCTTGGATCCCATATCTCTGCAGTTTGTGTAACAACAAAATATAATTGACCCGGTCAAACACCTTTGAGAAGTCTAGCACAAGCACATCAGTCTGCTTACTGTTTTCCAAATTGGTCGTCAATTCTTCAGCAAATTCAAAAAGTTGGGTCTCACATCATCTGTTCACTCGGAAGAGATGCTGACAGTCATTCAGTATATTGTGACTTTCAAGATGATTCATGACCGCGCTTACGATTATGTGCTCCAGTAGTTTGCAAACTACGCCGGTGAGGGATACCGGGGGGTGGTTGGCAGGGTCGTAATTCTCCCCTTTTTGTAGTTTGGAGTGACATTCAACATCTTCCTAGAGAGAATTATTTCAGATGCTCTGGAAGCGCATGAAGGGACAGTCAGCATTGGTGGCAGAACAATCACCAACCTACGCTTTGCGGACGACATAGACGTGCTGGCTGGGAACGAAGAAGAGCTAGCCGATCTGGTAAAGCGTCTCGATAAGACCTCGTCGTCCTACGGCATGCTAATCAGTGCCGAAAAGACAAAACTGATGACAAATAATACCGCAGGCATCACCACTGAAATTAAAGTCGGGGAGGAAAGATTAGAGACTGTCGGCCGCTTCAAATACCTAGGAGCAATAGTCTCAGAAGAAGGTTCCAAGCCCGAACTGATGTCCAGGATGGCGCACACTACAACAGCACTAAAAAAGCTCAAGAAAATATGGAATGACAAAAATATAGCCCCCAGCACCAAAATCAGGCTGATGCGCTCATTAGTCCTCTCCATTTTCCTGTATGCATGCGAATCCTGTACATTAACAGCCGATCTTGAAAGGAAAATAAAGGCGATGGAGAAGCATTTTGGGCATCTGCTATAGGGACCATATCTCCAATGATACAGTGAAAGAAAGGGTTCGTCAGGCAATTGGGGAGTACGATGACCTACTGGTGACTGTGAAAAAACGCAAATTACAATGGTACGGCCACGTAACAAGGAAACAAGGGCTTGCTAAAGAAATATTGCAGGGCACCACAAGAGGAGGAAGACAAAGAAAAAGATGGGAGCATAACATCAAAGAGTGGACAGGACTAACACTGGGCGATGCAGTGCGTAGTGCTGAAGACAGAGAGGAATGGAGGAGGATGGTTCACATGTCATCTGTGGCGCCCCAACGGTCTAAGAACTAAGGGACATGAGGATGAGGATAAGTGACAAGACCGATTGGAACTGTTATGTCCGCCTGTGCTTTGGGTTCAGACGTCAAATGGCCGTCCCATCTCAGAGGGGAAACCCCGGTGTTTGGTGCCATTTGTGGTAGTTTATCTTAGTTAAACTGAAAAAGTAAGTTTACAAACATATAGTCCATTCAATTATCTTTCATTTGATACCTCATTTTGTCTCACAAAGAAAGCAAACAATAATATTTTAAATAGTTTTTTAATCCCAACCTCTCACTTCTGGTACCCGGGTACGAATAATCGCAACCATACTTAAAAGCGGCGCTAAAGTTAAGCCTGCTAATCTTGGTTATACAAGAGAATAAAGTTAAATTTACAAGTTTAAGTAAAGGTCAGGCTAAAGACTGGCAACAAACACATTCTGCCGGTACACCACAGTCGTGTACGCAGGCATAACTTTCATGGTTTGCGAAACTATGTGCACTGCCGCGTTGTACGTAGTATCGGCGTTCATTGAATTGTCTTTTTTAGGCATAGAAATAAAAGCGCTTTTTTTTTTTTTTAGCAAAAGAACATTTTCTACTGTATAGGCCTACTGTTCATTTTATATTTTTAAGGGTTTTATTTCCTAAAAATATTATGTTATTACTCTTTGAGTCACAGATACGTACATTTTTCACAAAAGCAAAACAAATATATTCACACTTTGATGCTGGTATTTAGACAGTTCACAGAGTCATTATTTTGATCTTGGCAAAACTAACCAGTTCTGTCAACTAAATCTTGAAAATCTTTAAAACTAGACTTAAGAAACTAAAGGAAGTGTGTTAGTTGTTTGGGTTTTTTTTTAAGATGCCTGAAACGAACTTGTCGGAGACAACTGGGGACACAACCACGGAGGAAAAATCTAAAAGTGAAACCGCTAAAAATGGAACTACAAATGAAATTATTCTCTACTACTTTCCAACGTCATATTCATCTCAAAAGGTTTATGTTTAGCCTTAGTAGTTACTAGAAGCCCTTAGCCTTAGGTCTTTTCTTTTATTTGATTTTTGCAGTATAAATTAATTCATCATTGTAATTGTCTTAAGGTGAACGTGAAGAGATAGCACCACATTTTTTTATCGGAACCAGGGTGCTATCTCTTCACATTAGTATTAAAGTTCACGGGCCATGGCAACCAAGAAGGCGACCATGGCACCTATTATCTGCATTTACCCGAAATTTAAATAAAAGTTATATAAGATGGCAAAAGTTTTGTTTTATATTTTGTACTAAAGTCACTTGTACTTGTAGGCTTACTTTTTAAAACAAATTTACGATGATACAAATAGAAATAGTAGATTAGAGAGTGTCTAAGTTTATATGATGAATGCTCTATCACTATCCTCAGCGGGGTGGGGGGGGGGGCTATAATTTTTCTTTATGTAGAGTCTGAGTAGAGGGGGTGCTTTTTTGGCCAACAGCAGAGTTTTTTTCATGAAAATGAAAGTGGGGCGACAAACATTGGTGGCACTCATCCTAGCTATTTACACCACTGTCTATCCAGGAACATGATACATAAATGACTGTACTATAGGCTAGTATGAAGAAATTACTTAATAAAATTAGAATTAAAGTAACTTAAAGTTTAAGTGGCAGCAAAGTTATATTTAATAATTAATGTACCCATCCCATATTTTCAGGTTTTAATAAGCTTTTTTGAAAAGGAGTTGAAATTCAAACCATGCATTGTGAGTCTATTTCATGGACAGCATATGGAGCCATGGTACATTAGACTTAATCCAAATGGTGTTCATGTACCTGTACTTGTGCATGGGGACCAGGTGATAAATGATCCTGATAAGATTATTGAGTATGTCAACACGCTTCGGGGTATGTCAAATAATATTTAAGTTATAGGTTGTTGATTATTTTTTCAAGAAATGGATTTTGAATAATATGTAATGGAGTAATCATTAATTTAAAGAGTAATTAATTAAATTATAAAATGATCCTTTTAAAATACCGTAGCAAAAAATGTTATAATAAAATATTTTTCAGCAACAAATGGACCCAATTTACTCCCCTGTAAGTCAACTCTAGTGGGAAAACAAGTGGCAAAGTTTCAAGAAAGTTTAGAAAAAATTCCTGTGGATGTAATATCTTATGGCATCATATTCCATCCTCAATTGTCCGACAGTGGTTGCCAACTCCCAGTGGCCATACAAAGAAGCATGAGAGGCAAGATTATATGATGTGAATTCAACTAGAAATTAAAACCACCATTGTCTTCATAAATTTATTGTAATATGTCCTTAAAAATAATACATAGTTCTACAAGAGCTCTGTATAAGATTATTTTAAACAGACAAGCCTTGATGATATTACATTATCCATCATATCTAATTGAAACTAATGTTCTTATTTTAGAAAATTTTGCCAAAAGACTGAGGTATCTCATCACTTTGTCAACCGTGTATCCAGACTTAAGAGATTGCTATCTTGCTAAGAGTCAGACAGCTGCTGAAAAATATGACTTGATCACAGATGAAGAAAGGGTCAGAGGTCACATTGAGCAGCTTAGCAATTTTTTAACCAATGTTGAAGGAGAGCTCAGACAGCGATACTCTCTAGATCATGGAGGTAAACATATATTTTTGTATTTTAAACATTTATGTTGCATTTATTTCTAAATTATAAAAAATAATAAGTTTTCCATTTTATGATTTTTATTAACATATCCTTCTTAGAGCCTGGCAATCAAGAGTCTATGTATCTGTTTGGGGATTCTCTTACGGTTGCTGACATAGGACTGTATGTGCTCATCACTCGATTGCAACTTTTGGGCCTGCTGCCACACTGTATGCCGTCATCCAGGTTTCCCCTAACACACAGGCACTACACACTTCTCTCTGCCCGGCCATCCATCAATCTGTTGTTGCAAGACATGTCCAAACTCAGATACACACTGCTGCTGGAAGACATAAAAGCCTCAGGGACTTATGTAGCTCTAGCTCTGGGGGCCGGCCTTGTTGTGATGGCAGCCTACTATTTGATCAAAAAGCTCAAATCGTAATGTTAAGTTGTGCTATAAATATTTTTTTTTAAAACCATATTCATGTTTATAAATGTATCCAGAGAAAGAAGGCTATTGATGTATGTGTTCACGTACGGAGGGTTTAATTGAATGTGATGTGACCTGATGTGTTCTCTGGATTCTGTTCGGTTGACCTTTTTGAGGAAAGTGTCTTGTTATAGAAATATGGATCCAACTATGATTTCTGAATGTAGTGTAAATATTTGAACAATGTCTATGGACAATCCCCTCCCCTAGAATGTATAATGAGTTCACTTATTTGCCAGTTTCCCAACATTGGTGTCAGGCAGTACCAGCAGTTTAATCTTGTGAAATGTGTCATCCTTAATAAAGTGCCTTGACAGAACTACAAACCTGTTTACCCTCAAAGTCTTAAAATCTTACAATATCATCACAAAATCGTTCAATACATTATATTAATAGTAAAATAATAAACATACAGTATATATAATCATAATGAACGCACCTCAAAATCATACATTGTACGCCAAAATCGTAAGAGTAAACAAGTCTGGAATTAACCCAAGAAATCTTTTCTGTATCACAGATCATCCGCTTCCTAATCTAGACACAGTATGAATAGACTCTCTCACAATAACTTCCAATACATTTTCTAATTTATACCAAATTGGATTTCTGTATTTAATCTCAGCAAATACTTGTTTAAAATTGAATTTTTCTGTGGCATTGTCCTGTGAGTTGTTCATTTTCATTCATTTAAGTGTTATTATTTTCTACCTGAAAGCAAATAAATGTAAACCTTGACACATGGATTGAGTGATTAACACTATTTCTAGCTTGTGATAAAATTTCATACCTTTTTCATGATCTTTGCATATTGTATTTGACATTATAATCCCAACTGTAACCTGAAGAGGTAATGAATGTAACTATTGTAACTTTATCTTAGAATCCATGTCCTAAACTTCTGATGAATGGGAGATGTGCAATATTGGATGATCCTACAATTTTTTATTCGACCACTTCTAAAACAATAGGATTTAAGGTGGTGACCTCTATATTTGTAAGAAAATTCTTGATAGTAGATGAAGATATAAAGTGAGGAAGCTGAATATATAGTGATGCAGATATGATATAAAGTGAGGCATATTATATAAAGTGAGGCAGATGCAGATATTTGTTTGGTCTAAAACAATGTAGACTTCATCATTGACATTTAATTATAGTTACTTTAAATAATAAATAGTTCCTTCTGTGTGTTTGTATGTTAATTGTGAGTATGCTAAACTATTGTACAGTTTTTTTTAACTGTGTGGTCCTCTTACAAGGGGCAGTGGCTTTTATCAATATCAGTAATTCAAAATTTCTACTAAGCTTGGCTCACTTAATTATGATTATTAAAAAAAAATTTAAGGAATTGAAAATTCATGATTCCACTTCAGTGCTTTGTTGTGTGACACTTGATATCGGTACAAAACTATTTGTTGATGACATTTTTCCTGCTCCTAATGTTTGTGGACAAGTGCTCAGTTGTATTATTGATTGATTGATTTACTTCTATTGATGAAATGATCTAAAGGCAACACACACAAATAATTTTGTATTTAAACATTGAATTTTTAAGAAATGAAATATAGTGGGTGGGGGGGTTCCTAGATGATGATTCCCAAATTCTTGAATGTTGAAATAAATTGAGTTGAAAAATTAGTTCACGGGCCAAAAAGTTTGGAAGTATTATAATTATTTACATGTATTGCTTTACTTTAATTTAAGCACCTTTTGCCAGAATAATTTATGTATGAATGTTATTTCACAATTATTCCAGTTACGGCTCATAAATATGCAATTCCTAACTAAATCTACAAATATGGAAATTAACTAATTTAGTCTAGTCTGTATTTATTTATACAAAAAAAGTTATGTTTAGCCTTTTTAAAAGGACAATGAAATAAACATTTGAGTGTGATTTGTTATATCACTATTTTCACAATTAACCTTGTAACACATTTCCAATCCAGCATTTGATATAATTGTCAGCTCAAGCTGTTGTTGTGTTTTATTTTTTTCACCTAGAAATAAAAAAAAAGAGTGTAATACACTAGTGTTTTGTTTTCACTCTGTTTACACAGTATTGACCGATTCCCCCCACTGACCGATAAACGATGCTGCTGGGTAGCCATCCATGGCATGTAAATAGTTCTGGAATGGGTGGAGTGAATATACATTTGTTTTATTTAATTAATGTTTGTTAATTTTTAAGTTCATGATTATATTTGTTAAATTGTATGTACAGCGTGGTGAGCCCAGCCCTAAAGCTGGGGTACCTCGCTATATAAAACCACCACTAATAATAATAATAAATGCTATTAAATGATGTATCATTACCCTGAAATGTCCCCCACATATGTCCAACATATGTTTGTACTTTAGGAAATGGCCTCAGCGGGCAGTCGAGTTAGTACCAAGCTTTTTATGCCCTCCCCAAAGCACTTCCCCTAAGCCTGAGAATCGGATTGAGAAGAAGCACCCTGGAGATCTCCCTTTGCCAGGACAGCATCCGCCAGCACCCACTCCATCGTATACCAACGCAGGCCGCCCCAGCCCGAGGACATACGGTCGGCCGGTGAGCTGCTCACACAGCATCAGCAGTTGACTTCCCCAGGGGGTCGGGATGGTATATTTACGTCCTAGAATCTTCTCTCCATCCCGAGGAAGCATCAGACACCCCCTAATAGGGATTTCCACGGTGGGTTTCTACCTCGCAACTAATTTACGAAGCAGCTGGGACAAAACGGTTGCCTAGGAACAGCTTCCTCAATTGCTGTGTAAATAGAATCGGCATGAGGTAGCCACTACTCACCTCATATCCACTAACGGCAACGTGTAATCGTGATCCCCACTATTTTTCTGCCATTTTATTTCCAGCGCAGATTTTCCACAGCTGGTAGCCCTGTAGGTGCTACCATTTTTGACAATGGTGGTTTTGTTCCCCAGGGGTCTGTGTTTACACAGTACCATTTAACGATGTACCACCACCACCCTATAATGTCCCCCACATAAGCCCAACATTTCAACAATAATCTATCTGCATTTTTCTGTGTGTGTCACTGTTCTGTCTATTCCCATCACCCTAGACTCTATTGTGGTATTGAATTCCTTCCCCCCCCCCCAAAAAAAAATTGTTTAGGTCACATCCTGACTGAAAAGGAAGTGGTGGTGCATCTGACAATGTTCTACTTAAAATCTACAGGTAGAGTTGGTCTTTGGTTTTTCTTCTAGGCGCTTTCTTTCTTCAAAAATGGAACGACCAAGTAAAATGTTGAACTTACTCGCTATCCTATCTCCCACCCCGAATTCTCCAGCCCTTAAAAAAATTCCAACCCTCAACAAAAAGGAAAAAATGTATGATTGCACGTTTTTACCGACACTTGGGACAGCTGGGACAATATAAAATAAGAAATGAGTCATTGTAATTGTAATGCCTGGAAGTTTCCTGTGTGTGAAGGAGAGAGAGAGAGAAAGGGGAGTGAAAGAGAGAGAAAGGGGAGTGAAAGAGGGAGAAAGGGGAGTGAGGGCAGGAGCTTGAATTTTGAAGTAACATTTCATCTGAAGTTTAAAGTAACACTTCATCTGAAGTTTAAAGTAACATTCCATCTGAAGTTTAAAGTAACATTCCAATCTGAAGTTTAAAGTAACATTTCATCTGAAGTTTAAAGTAACATTCCGTCTCAAGTTTAAAGTAACATTCCGTCTGAAGTTTAAAGTAACATTCCATCTGAAGTTTAAAGTAACATTCCATCTGAAGTTTAAAGTAACATTCCATCTGAAGTTTGAAGTAACATTCCATCTGAAGTTTAAAGTAACATTTCATTTTAATAAAATACTCTCCTACCTAAAGGGAAACCTTTTTTATTTCATTTTTTTGTATGACACAACAATAACAATTTATTAGTTATCAATCTACCTTTAAAATAATAATGATAATGTTTATTGTTGTACAACAAGCATCAATAAAATAGAAGACTACCAGAATAACAGTGGGCACATGACAATTGCACCTTATACCTGATGTGACATTATAAAAAAAAACAATAATGACAACAAAAAAAGCTTCAAAGTTAATTAAAATTAATAAATAGTTTCAAAGCATTTTTTCTAAACAACAGCTCATTAATGCATATTTGATAAAGTTCCAGTAAGTAATTCATTATCATCATGTTTACAGCTGACCAAAAACTTAAGTAGCATACTGCTCCGAGTTACGTACAGTATATGTCATGGATGTTTTGAGTTCGAGGTTTCCCCAACTTTTTGTGTTTATATTTGACCATGTCTGCCACCCACTCTAAAAGTAACAGTGCATTTTATAGGTGGAAAAAAAAGTGGCTTCACTTTTCTTTATTGATTTAACAAGAGAACTGAAGAACTCATCAAACAGACTATGACTTAAAACATCAAGTGAAATGTTTTATGAAGAACATGGTTCATTGACTTGCTGACTTGAATGCCAACGGATTATCATCAATTTTCCTCACAGCCCCTGAAAAGCCACCTGTTATTATTATTGTTACTTTTCCTCCCAATGTCCAAAGGCCACCTGTTACTCTCAAAATTTTTCTTCCCTGTGCCCTAAGGCCACCTGTTCTTGTTAACATCACTTTCCCTCACAGCCCCTGAAATGCCAACCTTGCATCTCTCAAGGGTTCTCATTCTGGGGGAGTGAGCAACCCATATTGGGAAACCCCCCGGTGCTAGTGGATAAATAGGCAAGTAATGGAATTCATCATTTTCCCATGACATTTGTTATGATTCACTCTAGTCACAAGAAATAGCTGCCAATTTTCAAATACATGATGCAATATAACAAAATGACAGCTACCGCAAATCTTGAACATGATTGTTACAACCCTGATGTTCATTGAATGGCCGCAATTATTGTCGTTACATCTGTTATCACATCACTTTAGCTTTTCACCAATGATGTTTTGTTAATCACATAGCTGTCATGACAATGGCCTGTAAAAACAATGACTTGGCATCACAACAGATTCATCTCAGTTCTTCATTTCTCAAGACTGTATAAGTTTAAGACTTTGGATTCTAACAACGCACAACAATGAAACAGTTCCTAAAAGGTCTCGTAAATAGGAAGGTCTTAGAAATCCCAGATCCCAATTTCTAAATGACATGGGGGAGAGGTAAATTTTACCAATGGAAGTCATAAATTTATAAAAAGCCTAGTATGAAACACATCAAAGGCTGTATGACACAATGAGTGACACAGTATATGACACTGACACAACATAAGACTCAATGTATGACTGACAAAATGTATGATTCTGTGTGACGACATGTGACACAGTGCATAAAATAACCAAATTAAGATTTATTGCCTGGAAGCTTTCACCATGTTTTGATTAGTATGTCCTCAAATAATTGATGATGGCCCTACACAAACAACATGGTTCTTTGTTAAAAACTTCCATTAAATTAAAATACTCTGTCACAGTCATAGCCGAGGAAATACAAAATACCCCAGTCACTATCATAGCCATGGGTAATAATAAATACACACGCCACCGTAACGGCCAAGGGTAATACAAAAATACTCCTGCCACCAATACGGCCAAGGGTAATACAAAAATACTCCTGCCACCGTGACACCCGAGGGTAATACAAAAAATACTCCCAATCACTGTGACAGTCGAGGGTTAAAGCTCTTCCAGGTTTTGACGAGAGTTTATTCTCTTACACAATAGCGTGGCACCAAATTATTTCAATTTACATATCTGAACATGGTTTATTAAAAAAAAAAAAACGCTGATTCTGCCCCCCCCCCCTCAGCCCCCCACAACCCTTCTCAGGGTATCGAACTCTGAGTAAGACAACCAGTATAGAATCAGCCAATATTTGGTGGGTAATTGCTACAAGCAGATTAAAAGCTGGGGTTGATATTCCTGTGAGTGTATTTCAGTGTAAAGGGCGCAGGCTCAGAAGTACTATTTTTTATCTTGACAACCTTTGAGGCACCCGTTGATGTACCGGTACATATTTAAACATTAAATGTGCCCATTCCAGCCATTTCAAGCAAGCATCCCAAGCGTAATCGCAAACTTCAGCAGGCTTAAAATACAGCAGGGTTAAAATACGACACCGTTTAAAAGCGCTTTTCATCTAAAAATAAAATAGTATGTTGTAATCACATTTTTTGTTAAGTGCTTGAGTTAATCTGACTTGGATCTAACCACTCATAAATCTGTTTAACTTGAGACACAGTTTGCCTTCATTTCATGGTTGAAAACATACTCAAAAATGAGTCAAAAAAATTTTTTTTTTAAATGTGTTATTTATATACATTTAGGACATCAGCAACACTATACAAAATAATTAATTTAAACATGAATCTGTATTTCAACATGGCACAATAATCCTTTCCTGACTATTACAGGTGACGGCGTCGTACAATTTTTAAAAAAAGATGTAAATTGTGTATTCATTTTTCTGACAGACTGAGAACATCTTTGATATAAATGTGGCCCAGCATTAAAATAGCACAAGATCTACTTCATGTAGTAGGTGAAGGTTAATGGCTGGGTTTATGACAACCCCCCCCCCCCCTTTTCCAGGTTTAGAATGCTGGCAGCCTTGTTCTTGAAGACATCAGCTTCGCCTTAGGGGGAGCTTTTCTTTAATCACCTGGGGAAATATTGTGATGAATGAATTGATGATTTAGTTAACAGGATAAGAAGGGTGATACTAATGATTTATTTACAGGATAAGAAGGGGGACACTATTGATTTATTTAACAGGATAAGAAGGGGGACACTAATGATTTATTTAACAGGATAAGAAGGGGGACACTAATGATTTATTTAACAGGATAAGAAGGGGGACACTAATGATTTATTTAACAGGATACGAAGGGGGACACTAATGATTTATTTAACAGGATAAGAAAGGGGACACTAATGATTTATTTAACAGGATATGAAGGGTGACACTAATGATTTATTTAACAGGATACGAAGGTTGACACTAATGATTTATTTAACAGGATACGAAGGGTGATACTAATAATTTATTTAACAGGATACATAGGGTGATACTAATGATTTATTTAACAGGATACGAAGGGGGGCACTAATGATTTATTTAACAGGATAAGAAGGGGGACACTAATGATTTATTTAACAGGATAAGAAGGGGGACACTAATGATTTATTTAACAGGATACGAAGGGGGGACACTAATGATTTATTTAACAGGATAAGAAGGGTGACACTAATGATTTATTTAACAGGATAAGAAGGGGGACACTAATGATTTATTTAACAGGATAAGAAGGGGGACACTAATGATTTATTTAACAGGATAAGAAGGGGGACACTAATGATTTATTTAACAGGATAAGAAGGGGGACACTAATGATTTATTTAACAGGATAAGAAGGGGGACACTAATGATTTATTTAACAGGATAAGAAGGGGGACACTAATGATTTATTTAACAGGATAAGAAGGGGGACACTAATGATTTATTTAACAGGATAAGAAGGGGGACACTAATGATTTATTTAACAGGATAAGAAGGGGGAATGATTTATTTAACAGAATAAGAAGGGGGACACTAATGATTTATTTAACAGGATACACAGGGTGATACTAATGATTTATTTTAACAGGATACGAAGGGGGACACCAATGATTTAGTTAACAGGATATGAAGGGTGATACTAATGTTTTAGCTAGCAGGATGCGAAGGGTGACACTTACTTAATGAAGGAGTTTCCAAAATACGAACAGAACTTAATTATTAATTATTAATTGAACTGACAAAAATAAAAGGCATTGAATACACTGAATAAGTTTTTGATTGAATTTAAAATTTCACAGTAGGTATCATGTCTTCACTTTCAGCAGCTTCCATCTCTTCTCAATACGGTAGGGATTATGTCTTCCTTTCTTTAGCTTCCATCTCTTCTCAATACGGTAGGGATCTTGTCTTCACTTTCGGTAGCTTCCATCTCTTCTCAATATGGTAGGGATCTTGTCTTCACTTTCGGTAGCTACCATCTCTTCTCAATATGGTAGGGATCTTGTCTTCACTTTCGGTAGCTTCCTTCCCAACTCAATTACAAAATAAAATAATCTTTCTATGAATTTTTTTTTTTAATTGAGCATTATTTTTTTACCTTGGTCAGACAAGCCAGGTAAGCTTCAGGTGTATCACCGACTTTTTGGTGGGGGACGGCCAGGTCATATCTTCGGATGAGGACAATCATAGCATCCCTTGTCATGAGAGACAACGGGTCAAGCTTGTGTCTGTTTATGATGTCCACCAGATACTCCTTGTAGTGGAGCCTGTAGATAGAGATGAGATTTGGCAATGCATAACACACGAGTAGGCTGAGAATCCCTATCACACAAGGCTTGATCCTGTGTGGCCACCATGGAGCTAAGTGCTAAGTTATCATGTCAATTTTAAAACTCTTTTCATCAAGGGAAAGGTTCTGACATGCCAGAATTTGATTCAGAAAAAAAAAAAACTGCTATTAAGTTAAAGATATTTTAGGGTTCATCAGTCAGAGTTAGAGGACCTTCCTCATGTTATTCACAGGAAATACAAATCTTGTTTTAAAAACATTTTCATCATTTAACAAAAACTTCAACTTACTCGCAAAGTCCAGCTTGACCATCCACTGATTCCTTGCCGCATTTCTCATCTTTCTTGACCAAATCAAATTCTTTTTGTTCCATCACTGGACAGTGCATGGCATCTGGTTGGTCATCGGGTGTTCTCACATTGAAAGGCACTTTATGTTGCTGGAATGCAAGGGGGGATAACTCTAATTTCATTGTTTCACTCTTTCTTAGTTTCAAAATGATTTTATGGCATTTGTGCTGGTAGATTTAAAAAATAGCAATCACTGCTGTCAATGATCTTCTATTGAGTGAACGTTGAACAAGCAGACACAAACTTGAACAAGCAGACACAAACTTGAACAAGCAGACACAAACTTGAACAAGCAGACACAAACTTGAACAAGCAGACACAAACTTGAACAAGCAGACACAAACTTGAACAAGCAGACACAAACTTGAGCAGGCAGACACAAACTTGAGCAGGCAGACACAAGCTCTGCATTAAGAATGACCTCAATAACTAAAACAATGTATAATATTCAACATTTGCACAATGACATTGACTGCCCCGCCCCAGATGAAACATTAAATGAAAACAATTTTTTGATACTAATAAATTAGTTTTCTTATTTTAGCTATTGAAACTTACCACAAAAGTAAGTTCCTTAAGTTAAATTTTAAAAAATATCTCTATTATGTCAAAGATATTTCTTATCGAGAAAGCATACAAATTAAACCTTCATAATTACTTTTTTCCTGAAAAACTTAAAAGAATGACCTAAGGTTTCACAGTCCAGCTTGTGTTGTCTAAGGTCTCACAGTCCAAATGTTGTTGCCCAAGGTCTCACAGCCTAGCTGGTGTTGCCTAAGGTCTCACAGACCAGCTGGTGTTGCCTAAGGTCTCACAACCCAGATGATGTTTCCTAAGGTCTCACAACCCAGATGATGTTGCGCAAGGTCTCAGAGTCCAGCTGGTGTTGCCCAAGGTCTCACAGCTCAGCTGGTGTTACCCAAGGTCTCACAGTCCAGCTGGTGTTGCCTAAGGTCTCACAGTCCATCTGGTGTTGCCTAAGGTCTCACAGCCCAATTGGTGTATCCTAAGGTCTCACAACCCAGATGATGTTGTGTAAGGTCTCACAGTCCAGCTGGTGTTGCATGTATAAGTTTTACGTTTATAACTCCACAAAGCACCATATGATTAGTTGTGTTAATTGTGCTACCATAACAAGTGTTATGGAAATAATACCTTAAGCAGGGTCTGTAGCTGTGGCACACTGTAGTCCCTCATGTAAGAGAAGCAATCTCTAGGACAGTGACAATGAAGGCCCAAGTTCTTGCACGTCTTGTACTTGTTACATACCTGGATTCATTGTCAAAGTTAAATGCACAATTCAAAGAAGACACGCTGAAGGCAACATAACAGAAATAACTTATCTTCATTGGTCAACAATATTTTTTTTTAAAGTATCTTCTCTCTATATTAATTTAATAAGATTAAATGGGAGAACATATTTTTGAAATATAGAACTGTTTAACAGAAGCTATTGTTAAACACATGCCATTGTTTAACAGAAGCCATGACTACATCTTGTTTTTGCTTCTGATTCACAATCTCTCATAAGTGGTAAATAACATTATTGTAATAGAATATAAGCAACTTAAAGACTTGGCTGTTTAGCTCAGTAGCATTGCACTGAACAGAGATATGATCATCTGAACATAATCTTAACATCAAATGAAACTATTTTAACGAATAAACTTACACATATACATACATATTGCTCTCGCCAAGTTGATATAAAGCTGATGTGATAACATTGGTGTTGCCTTTTAAATCAGGCCATGCGTATTCTATCAAGTAAAGTTATTTCTTTGTGATGGTATGGCTCATAGCATCCACTAAATTCTATCAAGTATACTTACTTCTTTGTCATGATATGGCTCATTGCATCCACTACATTCTATCACATAAACTTACTTCTTTGTGATGCTATGGCTCATTGTATGCACTAAATTCTATCAAGTAAACTTACTTCTTTGTGATGGTATGGTTCATTGCATCCACTACATTCTATCAAGTAAACTTACTTCTTTGTGATGGTATGGTTCATTGCATCCACTACATTCTATCAAGTAAACTTACTTCTTTGTGATGGTATGGTTCATTGCATCCACTACATTCTATCAAGTAAACTTACTTCTTTGTGATGGTATGGTTCATTGCATCCACTACATTCTATCACATAAACTTACTTCTTTGTGATGGTATGGTTCATTGCATCCACTACATTCTATCACGTAAACTTACTTCTTTGTGATGGTATGGTTCATTGCATCCACTACATTCTATCAAGTAAACTTACTTCTTTGTGATGGTATGGTTCATTGCATCCACTACATTCTATCACATAAACTTACTTCTTTGTGATGGTATGGTTCATTGCATCCACTACATTCTATCACGTAAACTTACTTCTTTGTGATGGTATGGTTCATTGCATCCACTACATTCTATCAAGTAAACTTACTTCTTTGTGATGGTATGGTTCATTGCATCCACTACATTCTATCAAGTAAACTTACTTCTTTGTGATGGTATGGTTCATTGCATCCACTACATTCTATCAAGTAAACTTACTTCTTTGTGATGGTATGGTTCATTGCATCCACTACATTCTATCACATAAACTTACTTCTTTGTGATGGTATGGTTCATTGCATCCACTACATTCTATCACGTAAACTTACTTCTTTGTGATGGTATGGTTCATTGCATCCACTACATTCTATCAAGTAAACTTACTTCTTTGTGATGGTATGGTTCATTAAAATACATACAAGTGACTGGGAGTGTAAGGCAAAAGACCGATCTACGTGGCGCACAGTTGTCAAAGAGGGCGTCATGGTGGCCGAGGAGCGAAGAATGGAAGAGGCTGCAGACAGAAGAGCTAGCAGAAAGGCCAAAACATTTAGAAGCACGGAACTCGTGTGCAAAAACTGTGGTAAAGACTGTCACTCAAGGATAGGACTGCACAGCCAGTCGAGAAAATGCAACCCAACCCAACGGTGATGCACCATCGTCTCACGAGACGGAAGGATGCCGATAGATGGTTCATTGCATCCACTACATTCTATCAAGTAAACTTACTTCTTTGTGATGGTATGGTTCATTGCATCCACTACATTCTATCAAGTAAACTTACTTCTTTGTGATGGTATGGTTCATTGCATCCACTACAGAACTCATGGCCACAGTTGGGGCATTTGAAATGCATACAACCTCCTTTGGCCAGGGCAAATCTCATCTTACACATGGGGCAGTCTAGAAATAGAGAACATAAATCATGTGGGCTCCAGGACATGGAAGTTAAACAAAGTTTTAAAGGGGTTTATGGGACAACAAGGAAATGACCAAAATGCAGAATGGGGAAAACCAGGGGGAAAAAAAACGTAACAAAATAACGAATGTGTTGGTGTCACAGATATGAATATATGGGAGATAAGTAATATGGGAAGTATTACTTATGTAATATACACACTATCGAGACTTAGGAAAATCTAGCCAATCAGAGTAGAGCAAGAACAAAATGGAGCCTGACAGTTGAATTCACGAAGTTTATGTAGGAGGATAGATTGAACAGAAAATGTTTATGTTTAAATGAAGATTTATAGAGTGATAACCCTCACTTTTACTGAGATTGAAATACTTGTGATACATTCCAAGAGTTTTTGGATTTAGTTTGTGCGGCATAAGATGTAGACCTATTTCAAGTATCAACTATTATCATTGTGAGTGCAATGAAGTATTAGTCACTATCATTTGAACCACTACGCCTCTGTTATAATTCTTAAGACATTGTGATTGTGACACAGGACACACATTTCGACAAGAAGCCTTCATAAGCAAACAAACAAAAGCAGAAACAGAATTAAATCAGAATAAAACTTAGCTGCGATGTAACTTTCGGATATTACAGTACAGCTAAGTGCTATTTTTATTTGATTCTGTTTTTACTGTTCGCGGATGAAGACTTCTTGTCGACACATACATTGTTTTGTTGCACTCTTTTATTCAGGTTTTCCTATACTTCATTTCAGTAGCCTGCTTGCAGTCTCTCCCCCTTACTACCATTATAGGACAAGAAAAGCTGGTTAAAAATAAATTCCTCCACTGTTAAATTATGGTCTGGAAAACCCCAAAATCTAAGTAAATATCTCTTTTCTTTATTTTTCCATTCACTGTATGTAATTTTAAGCAAAGACTTCATGCTCTGAAATGTCCTATAAAACAACTGACCAATCCCGTTCTCATCCAAATGTTTGGCAAGCCCCACCGACTGATTGTTGGGGTCGTTGTCAATCTTCCATTGGGCGTACTCTTCACAAGTCAGTCCTTCATGTTGCTCCTCCCACTGGGGGACACACAAAAATCATTCAGATTATCAAATCAGGTAGCTTTTTAAAACATGGACAAAATATATTAATTTTTCTAATACAAAATAGAAGAAGTTTTAAGAGAGAAGCCTAAATTGAATTATTTAGAGGTTGTTGGAAGAATCAATTTCTCCCCAAGTCATCTCTCCGCGCACAGTTTCAAAACAAGCTTACCTCCTTCTTGCAAGAAAAGCAAGTTTTCTCTCCACAGTGAGGACAAGTCAGTCGTAGCTGGTGACCACGATTTTCTGCTAGAAAACCCTCGGCACACTGAAATATATTCACAAAACAAACATCTAAACTGATCGGGTCAACAACTTGAGGCTTGATAAACCCCATGGCAATGAATATATAATCCATTTCATTGCTTATTAACTCTTTCTCTCCAGATCAACGCTTCCATCGTCAATTTTAAATGAGGTTTCGGACTGGATGTATAAAAACCTGTTTAGTTCGATTCTTTTCTTAACTATTGGTTTTTAGTTACTTTTAATCAAATCTAGAATGATTTCCTTTTAATAAACATCCGGTTTTTCTTTATTTCAACAAGTTTTTACATAGAATTTAATGTTTGAAGCGGTTGTTTTGATTGTCCATTTTATTTTTGTTTACAAAAATGAAATCTTGACCTGACCCATCTGGTGATCAATCTAATAAAGGTTGAAAATATTACTTTGATGACGATTCAGACATTTTATGATTTCAGATGCAGAGGCTGATTCTGATGAATCGTTTAATTATAATCCTAGCACTAGTATTAAAATAGTACTAGTGAGACGAAATAATGAAATTGATAATTCATCAGCTGATAAAAAACTAGCCCCACCCCTCAGCTAAAGTGCCTTCTAGAAGAGCTACTACTGTTCCTACACTAAATAATCTAAGATTCTAAAAGGAAAGCTGATGATCTCAGCACTAAGACTGAGTGCAATTTCAGATTTTTTACCTTTGAAAAATGTGGGTGTAAATTTGGAGCTTGTAGTGTGACTAGTAAGTCAAATGACATTGGCTGGTTTTTTTTGCTGTTTTTTTTATTTTGCTGGACACACAATTTATTCACAAGCTTGAACTCTCAATAAATGAGTATGCTGCCTAAAGAATTAAAATCAACACCCCAACAAGACTTATCGAAGCAAAACATGTGCCTGTTAGCTCCAAAAAGGACAGTGTGCAAACACTATAGAACAGGGCAAACTGTACCGGTATACATTTGTGATGGATGTGAGTCAAATCCACACATCCATATGGATTGTTTTCAGGCTTACCATAGCTAAACCCAGATGAAAAGATATGATAAATTTATGGTAAATTTTCCATTTACCATAGTCAATATTAGTACATACAAGGATACAGTGCAAGTATTTTCTAATAGCAACAGATTGTTTCCAGTGGAAATAGTTAGGTTTTTTCAGACATTTTGTGTGTGGCTTTGACAATGAATAATGTGCTCTGGTGTTCCATTTTTTTTCTCCTTTTTTTTATGTGATCTTCATTATTTGTGATGCACATAAGGATATAGTTCAGAAAATAAAACATTATTGTTACGCTTTGGATTATAAATTTCTCTTTGCCGGACTTGGAATGAGCATTTTGTAAACATTTGGTGAGGTTTTTATTTACAATTTTTATTTTCCTTAAATCATAATCACATTTATATCTTAAAATTTAAACCCAAGTTTGTATTGACTGTAAATTATATTCCCATATAATTCCATACCAAACTTAACATTTTCTGATGAAAAACAAAAAAAGTTATGATGGTTTGGAGATAACATAGTAGTGTGTAACAAATATGCAACATAGATAATTCCGTCAAAACGCGGAAATTAATTCTGGAGAGAAATAGTTAAATGTTTATTTATAACTGTACACATCTCAACTATGATGGAATGTGATGGGAGATAAGTTAAAACAAGCGTGGAACTCACGTGTGCACACCAGCGGAAGTTCGGGTCCTTCTGTAAATGCCAGTCCCTGACTTTGATTTCAAACAGGTTTTGTAATTCTTGAGATACCAATGGCTGGAGCTGAAGGGAAGTAAATACTATGTAAACTAACTTATCATTTAAAACCAAAGCCTTTCTATTCTTGTGTAATATCAAAATATTTATACAATTACTTTACTCAGTAAACTTTCAGTGCTACTTTTCCCGTTAAAGAAATGGTAAATGTAACCCAAATAATTAGACAACCCATCAGTTTGATGGATGGCAAGGAGTTTTGTATGATACAACCAGGTTAGGGTTAGGGACATTTTGATAGATACAATATATCAGATGATACAACACATCAGTTTGATGGATACAAGAAGTCGAATGATACAACACATCAGTTTGATGGATAAAAGGAGTCAGATGATGCAACCCATCAGTTTGATGGATACAAGGAGTGAGATGATACAACCCGTTTGATGGATACAAGGAGTGAGATGATACAACCCATCAGTTTGATGGATACAAGGAGTGAGATGATACAACTCATCAGTTTGATGGATACAAGGAGTGAGATGATAGAACCCATCAGTTTGATGGATACAAGGAGTGAGATGATACAACCCATCAGTTTGATGGATACAAGGAGTGAGATGATACAACCCATCAGTTTGATGGATACAAGGAGTGAGATGATACAACCCATCAGTTTGATGGATACAAGGTGTGAGATGATACAACTCATCAGTTTGATGGATACAAGGAGTGAGATGATACAACTCATCAGTTTGATGGATACAAGGAGTGAGATGATAGAACCCATCAGTTTGATGGATACAAGGAGTGAGATGATACAACCCATCAGTTAGATGGATACAAGGAGTGAGATGATACAACCCATCAGTTTGATGGATACAAGGAGTGAGGTGATACAACCCATCAGTTTGATGGATACAAGGAGTGAGATGATACAACCCATCATTTTGATGGATACAAGGAGTGAGATGATACAACTCATCAGTTTGATGGATACAAGGAGTGAGATGATACAACCCATCAGTTTGATGGATACAAGGAGTGAGATGATACAACTCATCAGTTTGATGGATACAAGGAGTGAGATGATAAACCCATCAGTTTGATGGATACAAGGAGTGAGATGATACAACCCATCAGTTTGATGGATACAAGGAGTGAGATGATACAACCCATCAGTTTGATGGATACCAGGAGTGAGATGATACAACCCATCAGTTAGAAGGATACAAGGAGTGAGATGATACAACCCATCAGTTTGATGGATACAAGGAGTGAGATGATACAACCCATCAGTTTGATGGATACAAGGAGTGAGATGATACAACCCATCATTTTGATGTATGACAAGGAGTTTTGTATGATACAAGCACCAAACACTTACCAGCATAGTAAGGAACTGCAGGTAATCTGAAGCTATTTCAGTGTCATTGAGATCAGGCAAGGAGCACAGTGGACAAGTCCAATGCCGGACATGTTTTTCTCTGATGACGATCTCAAAGTTTGTTGCCAGGCACTGCTCACACATCTTACATTGGCAAAAGTTTAAACTGCGGATCTGTGAAATTAAAACAGGACAAATAAATTAGGGCCTTTGCCAGGGGTAGAGAAAAAATGAAATTTAAATAAGAACGGGAAAAAATGTGTGAATTATTAGGGCTCGACACGTTTATAATGATTTTATTTAATACAATGTATTAAATGTATATAATCTCTTAAATTTTGTTAAACGATTGATAATTTCTCAGTTAATACAGAATTTTACTGAAATTTTGTTTATCACTGAAACTTCAATATATTTAGTTAAATTTTACCATGGTGTGGTTTGTAATGTCTCATTTTGATGAGTGGTTTCAGTGTTTACCTTGCTCATGGGAAACTTGGTGAAGCAGACGGCACACTCCTGCTGCAAGTAAGCGATCGCGCTCAGCCTGTCCTGGCAGTTCCTGACAGCCTCCACCACATCTTCCAGAGCGATGTCTTCGTCAGGCAGGTCATTGTCCAGGATTTTTATCACAAGTTCCGCACGGCCCCAGCTTTTAAGGCAGCCCTCTACAAGAATTAGTCGAATGCGGCGCTGAAGAGAAAATGTGCATAACATACGGCTTTTCAATTTTTTAAACATTTATTTGTTAATAATAAGAGGAAATATGTTTACATTCGCACCTGGTACACAAACAAACCTATAAAGATAAGGCCCCTCCCAAGGCATTTAAATAACCATCAGAATCATTAAAGCCTGAAATTGTTTGAAGGGTGTATTAGATATTTTCAGTTAACATGAATGGCGTGTAATCTTACCCCAAGAAAACAAGCTTGACGACTGATCAGTGTTGGGGACTAGATTTAGGAGCGTGAATGTTGGTATGAAAAGTTGTTGACCATGAGAGCATTTCGGGCGGTCGAGATCATGGGGTCAGTTTGTGGTTCAGAGAGTGTGCTGAGTGTTCGTTGTGCAGGGAGTTTTAAAAGGTGGTGTGTTAAGTTATGTTGAGGGGGAAGTGTTGCCAAGTGTTTTGTGAGAGGTTGGTGGTGAACTCAGATTGGAGTGTCAGACAATCTTGTTTTTAGCTGTTAGCAAGTAGTTTTCATTGTGTGCAACTTGTGGGTTTTGGAAACTGTGTAATATCCAAGGAGAACTTGTAAATCAAGAACTCTATTATTTTAACTCTGCATCGTTACTTATTATAGTGACCAAGTGTGGCCATGTGGATGAAAGCAGTCGACAGACATAATTGTTTCCCTAGACAAGTAGGGCTTATCAAACAGTCAGTTCAGCATCTGCACCTACTGCGGGAGTTGCTAATTGTAAGAAGGAAGATCGTAACATTTGAAAGATCTTAATGTTATCAAGACTGTAAAAACACAGATTCAATTTCACGATCACAGACAGAGGTGTAACTGGGTTTTTGACGCCCTACGCTAATTTATTTTTGGCGCCCTTGATTAGAGATTATAAGAGATTTAGCGGCGCCCTTTTGAACTGGCGCAGGCCGGCGCCCTTGGCAACTGCCCCAATGCCAAGCCGTTGTTACGCCACTGATCACAGATTCAATTTCATAAACAGCTGAAATTTTAACATTACCCAGAGTTGTCATATATAGTGAACTAGTTTACTTTGAAACAGTTAAAACTGGCAGCTGAAAAGTTGTAGAGGCAGTTAATGGACAGGAAAGCGCATGCAAACAGCTGAAACAGCTGACTAAAGACTTACATCCGTGGGTATCAACTTGTTTTTAATCATTTTCTGAAAGTCAGAATGGGCTATGACGCTGGTGGACAGGCTGTGGCAGACGTCAGAGCTGGTGATGTCTGGGAAGGCGAAGCGGCTGGACTGGCCGCTGTCCTTCTGGGCCCAGATATGGTCCATGAAGTGCTGCAGGTTGGACTGCAGGAGCTGGTACTCTGATGCTTCCTGCTCCCCCTGACACTGGTTCATGGTCTGCAGGATCTCCTCCCTTGGGAAATCACCAAGTTGGCTCAGGTACTCAAACTGCATACAAGAAAAAATAAGTCACCAACCAAGATGGCTTAGGTGCTCAAACTGCTCATAGAAAAAAATACACCAAACTACACATAGAAAAAATACGTTAGGTGTAGTGATACATTAGAAAAGAAATAAATTCCTGTTTGTTACTGAATGTCAGAGGGTAAAACTATCAATAAATTCTTACCAGCTTAATCCTCCTGTCTGCACACAACTGTGCCGCCTCTTTCATGTTGGCATGGCAACTTATGTAAGCAGACTGAGCCTCGGAGGCTGTCAACTCCCCAACACTGTTACACTGCTGCTTGTTGCCTATCGCCGTGGCCATGGCGATGACTTTTTCAACATTTCTGTTCCAGTTAGATCTCAGCCACTCCAGAGGTCCCATCTTCTGATGCTCACAAAAGGTCAAGGCCACCTGAACTGCCTCCACCTCAAAACCTTCTTGGTCAGCCTTCTGGAAAAAAACATTTAATAATATCTTGTTAGTTGTAATTTGATAAAAAGCAATACTAAGAGGTTAAAGCAATGCTGACAGGTTATGTACTAAATCGTAAGTGCATTGTTCTTTGACTGAACTCCCTCCGTATGTGGATGTTTATTGGAGATCTATCTACCTGTTACTAAAGATGTTCTCGAATTTTCAGTTGACTGATAACACTAAAACTTCAACAACACTGCACATCAAACTCATCACAATGAGGGTGAGTTACCAATTGAGCAGTGGGGATTAAAATATTTGATTTAATCTTTGCTATGTGGATTGACAGATTTGACTTAATCTTTACTATGTGGATTGACAGATTTGACTTAATCTTTACTACGTGGATTGACAGATTTGACTTAATCTTTACTATGTGGATTGACAGATTTGACTTAATCTTTGCTATGTGGATTGACAGATTTGACTTAATCTTTGCTATGTGGATTGACAGATTTGACTTAATCTTTACTATGTGGTTTAAATTATTTGATTCCATCTTTAATGTCAATGAAAAGATTTCATTTTAAGCTCTCTGTATTTTGTGCAGAATGCAGGACCCAAAGATTGTGAATTCATGTCCCATAACATGAGCCAAGAGCAAAGACATGAACAGACCTAAGAGTAGAAGTGTATGTTGATGTTTCACAGCAAAGACATGAACAGACCTAAGAGTAGAAGTGTATGTTGATGTTTCACAGCAAAGACATGAACAGACCTAAGAGTAGAAGTGTATGTTGATGTTTCACAGCAAAGACATGAACAGACCTAAGAGTAGAAGTGTATGTTGATGTTTCACAGCCGCCACCAACCTTTATCAACTTTGACAGCTGGGCTCCTTCGGCCTGCAGGGTTTCTATTAAAGTCTGTTCATTGTAGCGGGCCAGAGCGTCCTCCAGACTGCTCATTCGGCCGCCGTTGTCTGAACCGGACTCCTTCAGCTTGGACACCGATGTGGGATGACCTTTAGGTGGCGTGGACGGAGGTGGGGACAGACCGGACGGTGGCGTGTGGTAGTCCGAGGCACCAGAGAGGGAGACTTCACCGGCTGTCAGGTCAGGCCTGGGACTGTTGGTCTTTTTGGGGCGAGCGCCCACTCCGTACACAGTTTTTGATGATGGTGTGGGAGACTGGCTTTCACTTCTGGATGCTGTGAGCAGCTGGTGACATACAAAATAACAGACGTAACATCTAAGAGGGATACGAAAACAAGGGCAGGGAAGAAAAGCAAAGCCAAAACAGTTACACACAATAAAAATCACACGAAAGAAAATGTTTAACTTTGAATTTTTTAAATTTTTTTTTGAATTTTTTTTTTTTTTTGTTACAGCTTATCTGGAGGTAAACACATAGCTAAATCTCTACTTGTGTTCTTAACATTGTCAAGTTATATCGTGTTGTTGGAAAGTGACACATAAACAGTTGGCTACTCACAGGGCTGGCAGTGACCTGTCGGTCCATTCGTTGCTGGTATTCTTCTTGTGCTCTTTGCTTCTCCAACATCACCTAGGAAAACAGATCAGAGTCAAACGTGTGAGGTGGGGGTGGGGGAGAGAAAGGAAAGGTCAGTAACAAAACTCATGGCTTTAAAATGATGTTGGATGTCACCCACTCCAAAATGCTTGATGTTAAACACATTTTTATCGCTGAGAATCACAATCATCTTCTTCTCAATTATTGCTCTAGCTCTTACCTGAATCCGACTTCTTCCGATTTTTGTCCTGACCCGCACTCACCTGAATTTGACTGCCAATTATATTAGCCCCAACGACTGGAGTCTCGTCAGGGTCGATGCTCAGAAAACTTTCATCATGGCCCTCCCCTGCTGCCATCATTTGGAGCAGGGCGTCATTCTTCAGGGACATTTCATGGGAGATGTCAGCCTCATTCTGATCGTGGTCATTGTCGATTTCACCAATGTGATCCTCGTCAAACTGATCGCTGATAAGCTCAGGGTTGGTGGAGGTTTTGTCACACATGGAACAAGCGTGTGCAGTCGGCTCGTTAATGTACGTACAATGCTGGCACTGCCACTGTCTGAAAATAGGATGGCGGCTCCCATCAATACTTAGGTGACTCAAAGGCGACCAAGTTTGGTCTGGCCCATACAAATTTATAATTAAAAACTCTGGATGATTGATGACATATTATATGCTAGAGCAGGCCTGCACAACTCAAAATGTAAGGCGGGCCGTAATAACTAATGAAAAACTTGTGCGGACCAAAAGAAATTCGGACAGGAATTGTGTGGGCCAAAAGAAAATAGGGCGGGGGGCGGAAGCTATTAAGAAAATAATAATAATAAAGAATGTTTTGTTACTTTGCGGGCAAAAAAGTGGATGTGCAGGCCTGTGCTAGAGGATATGACCCCAGTGTTACCGGGCTAAAAATGGAAGGCCTGTTGCGATACTTGCTGCCAGCTTTGCAAAGTCTCAAGATTGGCTAATTTTTATTTATGCTACTGAATCGGGTTTTGAGATATTGTATTGTTAAAAAAATGATAATGAAAATTCTCCAGGCCATTGAAATGTATATTTAGGAAATAGTAAACCAGACTCTCCCTTCTTTTAAAGAAGTATCCATGAAAAGGATGTTTAAATTTCTAACATCATTGGATTTTGAGAACTATTTGTCCTCTATATAATATAAGCCCACCATCCTTTTCTCACGCCCCTGAGCTACAAAGGAAATAATTACAATTATAATTAAGAATTATTATTATCATATGTAAGTCTCATTATTATAAATTATTATATGGCATCTTTTCTGCCTTTGCAAGACAATAGAGTAGCAATGGACACTTCATCAAATGGCTAATGAGGCCAATCCTGGAATGGCAGTCTTGGCTGCATTTCTCACAGGAGAACCTTAACCTCTGGTTAAACTTGGCCCTCTGAAATGCTCTTTTTGTTGCAAGGCTTTGTTTCGTGCATCTTCTGCCTTTTTGACTCCTTTCCATACTGCTATTAATCAAATATAACAGGCGTCTCCCTATTCTAAAAAAAAACCTAATAATAACTTTGTTCAACAGTGTTGATCATCTAAGTTTTGCATTGTGCTTGTTTATTTTACCTGAAATGCAAATGTGATGCTGCCTTCATTGTAGACATATATTCTTCATTTTTTTTTTTTTGCTTTCAGAGGATGAAATCCACAATGCCTGGGATTATTCTTCAAGGATTATAAGCTGGTTCCAAACAGCAAATCGCCTCTCTCCATGCCGCTGGATAACCCAAGGGAACATCATTGGATGATACAGCTTGGCACCAGTGACATCGCAGGAGTTGTCGGAATGTTTCATTGTATCAATGTTATCCGCCTTTCGGGACTTCATCACTGGGTTTGATTTCAGAGTTTCCTTCTCTTAGATGAGTTGCCATCCAAGGCTAACGAGTCCCATCCACCCCCATCCATTCTTCATTGCCAGGTTACAAAAATAAATGCAAGAAAAGTCGGATAACTCAATGTCTGGATAATGTACTGTTTTAAATATACACAGAATGTTTAAATTAATTGTGACATGACCATTTCCGATAATCTGGCTAATGCTGATTGATGACTTACTTGGGATGAAACATGCCAGGCTGTCTGGGCGGATGGATTATTTTGTTAAGTATGCTCTCCTCACTGCCAGGTCGTGGCCTGGGGGGAATGTCAGGTGGGGGCAGGTGTATGATGTCAAACTATAAATACAATGACAGTCATTGAAAGGGACTAGACCTGTGTATGCTAGCAATATTAGGTAAGAACACAACACAAAATATGCACTGTAATTAAATACTGGGACAGTTTTGAACATTTTTTTTATTGCATTTGCTAGACTACATGAGTTGTTTCACTAAATGAGTTGTTTTATACAGGAGTTATTTTACTAAATGAGTTGTTTTACTAAATGAGTTGTTTTACTAATCGAGATGTTTTACTAAATGAGTTGTTTTACTAAAGGAGTTGTTTCATTACAATGGTTGTTTTACCAAAGGAGTTGTTTTACTAAATGAGTTGTTTTACTAATCGAGATGTTTTACTAAATGAGTTGTTTCTTTACATGAGTTGTTTTAATAAAGGAGTTGTTTTACTAAATGAGTTGTTTTATTAAATGAATTCAAGATAAGTACACAAAATCAAATTAACCATGGCATTTATTATTTAGAGAGGAATCTTCACCAACACTAGTGTGACACTAAGCTGCACTTCATCAAAACTGGTGTGACCCTAAGCTACCCTTTAATTACACTACCATGACACTATAAAAAATCTTGTTTTAACTTACATTATCGTCCACACTGCTGCTACTTTCCACAGGTATCCTTGACACTCCTTGGTTCGTATTACTTTTTGCATTTTTGTACTGCTGAAATAATGATTCAAACGTTGTTTTTCTCTCCCATTAATACCACAACAAATCAAGTTTTTTTCAAGTTTTTATTGATCAATACCACAACTAATCAAGTTTTTATTGATCAATACCTCAACTAATCAAGTTTTTATTGATCAATACCACAACTAATCAAGTTTTTATCGATCAATACCACAACAAATCAAGTTTTTATCGATCAATACCACAACTAATCAAGTTTTTATTGATCAATACCACAACTAATAAAAGTTGTTTTTTATTTTCACTCTGAACAATCAAAAATAAATGAGATAATGTGATTATTTGAGAAGTAGAACATAGTCATAGGCTCTAAGATGAAATTATGTGGATCCTACGATAGTTTGACAGATGTGGATATTACGACAGTTTGACAGATGTGGAGCCTACGACACTTTTGCACATGTGAATCAACGACAGTTTGACAGATTTGAATCTTACGACAGATTGACAGATGTGTAGCCTACAACAGTTTGACAGATTTGGATCCTACGACAGTTTGACAGATGTGGATATTACGACAGTTTGACAGATGTGGAGCCTACGACACTTTTGCACATGTGAATCAACGACAGTTTGACAGATTTGAATCTTACGACAGATTGACAGATGTGTAGCCTACAACAGTTTGACAGATTTGGATCCTACGACAGTTTGACAGATGTGGATCCTACTACAGTTTGACAGATTTACATATTTTACTTAAAGAATGAGACTACAGAACTCAAACACTTGCCTGTGAGTTGCCAGCTTTCCTGCCCTCTTCCCTAACGGTGCCAGCTGCTGCGGTCGCTTTCAGCTTACCAGTATTGTTGGTATTGCGGTTGTAAACTCCCGGATCACCTTGTTGAAATCCCTCCGTTTTTGCCGCTTTCTGAACGGCAGTCTGGCCGTAGTTGGATGGTGGAGTTTGCAGCCTGCTGGGCCTCAAGGAAGCTTTCTCAATCTCTGGTGGATAGTAGATTTGCTGGTCCTCTTGTTTATAATGCGAGAGGTTTGCGGTCGGCGGAGCTTTCTGAGGCTCAGTGTCCATATTGTTTCGGAACATTTCCAAATTACGTTTCTCTTTCAGTAGTGCTGCTTTTCTCTTGTTCATGTCCCTGCACACTTCAGACTCTGAAAACTCATCGATCTCCAGCAGGCGATCGTTGAACTCTTTCTCCAGGTCCTTTAAGTCCATCTCATAATCGTCAATGTAGTTCTCGCACTTGACCTTCCGTTTATGGATATCTGGTTCCTGAAGCAGACGCTGAATGTATTTGGAGCTCGGGGTTAGTTTATTGTCCTGATAATCGGTGTAGTAACCCGAGCTGGCCACCGAGGTCATGATCCCAGGATTGTTGCCTGGGTACGGTCTGGTCATCTGAGGGCCGTAACCTGCACTGCCATGATGGACATGAAGTGCCGGGCTGCTGAACTGACCATACATGTTTAGATCATGACCGCCATGCAGGGGTGCTGAGGGTCTGTAAGGAGGGTGGGCCACACCATAGTACATATTACTTGAATGTTTTTGAAGACTAGCACTGGGTAATTGTGGCGGGTACATGCTCCCGGGCCCACTGGTGTACGAGGGTGGGAGGCCAAGCTCACTCATAGGTTGAGCCTGGGGATATGTCTGGTTATGTACATACACACCGGAGCCTGGCATGGGCACTGGGTGCTGCTGCGATGGAAATGGGCCAATCAAGTTTCTTTTCTGCTGATCTCTGAGCTGCTGGACTACATACGAGGGCAAACCCTCTGGAGACTCCAGCAGGTGCTGAGGCAATGGTTGTTTAGGTCTGTGCAGCTGCTGGTGTGGATCACCTTGTGACAACCCATGCCCTATGACATTTTCATCAGGGTAATTCATATAAGGGGACATATTCTTTGAGCTTAAGACATTTGGCATGGGATAGAGTGATGGATGGATTTGTTGTCTCTGATAATCTAATATCTGGTAGTCATTGGGCTGTTGGTTTCTGAGAAAACAAATGGAAAAATCTTTTATATTAAAAAAAACATTTATACGGTAATAAATAGTCCACTAAATTTAATGGATTACATTGGGCCATTGTATGATACAAATTTGGTTATCTCTAATTTATAACTTTCTATTCAATTTCTTATCATTTCAAATTAGATAAAAAAAAACAATTTTATGTAATAAATTATTGAAGTGTTATTCTATCATTGAATATATTAAGAAAAGATTTTTATCTCCTTGCAGATATAAAAGAAACAATATTTCTAAATAAATTACCAATGTCTGCTCTATCTACATGAATATATTATACAATGTGGTGGATTTAGATTTTATAGCTAAGATTTACAGCTAAGATTTTACAGCTAAGATTTTACAACTAAGATTTTATAGCTAAGATTTTACACCTAATTTTCTCAACAAAAAACAACAATCTGCATTGGGATCATCAAATGCCATGATTTCCCCCTCTACCTGTAAAGTGTTCTGTGGACAGAGTAAGAATTGCCCGGGAGGATGTCCTGGCCGAGACTGGCCAGATCAGGAACATTGCCGTAGAGCTGATCTCTCTCAGGTTTCTTGATTCTGCTCTTCTGGTCCATGACGTACGTTTGCTGCTTTTTGCTCAATCTTAAGGAGAAAAATGGAGTTTTCCATCACAATTGTTTCAAAACTGTTGTTTTTTTTTCCCCATCATTCCTCATTAATTTAGATGGATCTCATTAACTGCTTAGATAATAAACAAAAGGTCAATCATAATATTTTGTATTTTCACACCGGCTCAATCTGTTAGCTGAGTGGGAGATGAGCTGGGACATGGAATTTCACCCTGCCAAGTGCCAGACACTATCAATCTCTAGAAGTTGTACTCCTCTACACTACCAATACAAACTGCACGGCCATATTCTTGAGCAAGTTTCCTCCGTAAAGTACCTGGGTGTTACCATTCAAAGAGAGGTCCGCTGGGACGAGCATATTAACAATGTATGTAACCAAGCAAACCAAGCCTTGGGGTTCTTAAGGCGAAATCTAAAGATTGGCAACTCCTGTGTGAAAGAAAGAGCATATAAAGCCTTTATCCGTCCGATTTTAGATTATGCATCTTCAGTCTGGGACCCATTTACCCAGAAGAGCATTGACAGGTTGGAGGCGGTCCAGCGACGAGCAGCACGCTTTGTCCTAAACCGCTACAGGAATACCTCTAGTGTTGGCAGCATGCTAGAAACACTAGGCTGGTCACCATTGGAGAAACGACGACGACAATCCAGGCTCTCCATGATGTACAAGATAAATAATGGGCTGGTCCACTGTTCCAGTATTAAACAGAAACTCGTCCCTCTCCCCCATAGACAGCGACGAGGCCATGACAGGCAATTCAGGCTCATACCAGCAAGAAGCCAGTATAGGAGCTGCTCATTCCTGCCCAAGACAATCAGGGACTGGAACCATCTTTCAAAAGGAACAGTTGAGGCGACAACACTAGACACATTTGTGTCTATTGCCTCAAGCCTTCAAACCCCTAGTGCATAATTTCCTCATCACCACCAGTAACAGAAACATTGCAAATCCCATCTACATGCATAGGAGCCAAAATGATCAATAAATTGATCGTGGGCCCTTAAGATATAGAAGAAGAAGAAGAAGAAGAAGAAATATTCAAGAACAAAAATAGATTTGCTGATATCACTTTTGTTTCAATGGGACAACAAAAATGTTTTGATAAAAACAAAGGTGAAAATATCGGTCTTTACGCCCATTACCGATGAAAATATACATCTTAAGCCCACTACCGATGAAAATATACATCTTAAGCCCACTACCAATGAAAATATACATCTTAAGCCCACTACCGATGAAAATATACATCTTAAGCCCATACCAATGAAAATATAGGGTCTTTACGACCATTACCTATGAAAATACAGTGGAACCTCTCATAACGAGCATAATTCTTCCAGAATCTTACTCGCTAAGCAAAACACTCATTAAACGAAACAATTTTCCCAATACAAATCTATGTAAAATACCATAATGCGTTCCATGCTGAAAAAATACTCATTTTTCAAAAAAATTTTATTAACATTTATTCAAATAAAATTACTTATGAATTTTTAAGGAATTTAACAACTTGGAATACAATTTAGATTTGAAACAAAAAACGTAAATAAAAATATGAATTTATGACAAATAATTAATCCTTTTTAACTAGAAAACTGTCTATAGACATTTGTTTTTGACAGATTGTATGTGCGCGCTAGATTAGCCAACCTCACACCTTGTTCTTGCTTTTCAATGATTTTACGTTTCATTTCAACAGTTATTTTTTCTCTCTTATGATTGTCTTCTTGTGGTTTTTTCTTCGAAGACATTTTAGCACATTTATTACACTTTGCACATAAAAAAATTATGAATACTGTCTGAATACAAAATTTGTAAAAACTGGTGATCACACACGAAAATAATACGCTAACAGACCGAGTGCTAAACAGAGACTAATGGATTGGAGCGGAAGTCCTGGCTCACAAATGAATATTTGGAAAAAGGGACTTCCCCTTTCTGCGTAACTGGTAACATTTCGCTCGTTAAGGGAGCAACTTCTTCACATTTTTTTTTGCTCGTTATGCGAATTACTCGTTATGAGAGGTGCTTGTTATGAGAGGTTCCACTGTATACGTCTTAAGCCCATTACCAATGAAAATAAAGGTCTTTACGACCATTACCAATGAAAAATGTCTTTACAAACATTACCAATGAAAATCTAGGTCTTTAGGCCCATTACCAACGAAAATAAACGTCTTAAGCCCATTAACAATTAAAATATAGGCCTTTACGAACATTACCGATGAAAATATATGTCTTAAGCCTATTACTAATGAAAATATAGGTCTTTACGACCATTATCAGTGAAAAATGTCTTTACGAACCTTACCGATGAAAATTTAGGATTTTATGACCATTACCAATGAATATTTACATCTTTACGACCATGACCAAATTTGATTAACTCACACAACTACACAACATCCAGACATAATTTCTTAAACACAGTGACCCAAGAGATTTGAGCATCCAGATAGTTACTTTGTATTATTGGTCTGGTGGATGCCGTAAGTGGCATCAAAGACGAGCTGCAGGGAACTGTCTGGTGTGATGCTGATGAGTGCGCTGACCGATTCTGCCCTGTGCATCTGAGGGTGCTGGCTCCGTGCAGGATGTTTGTGCCAGTTGACATTGCAGTTTTCACACAGCATTTTATTGGAGCATCCGGTGCAGAACAGGACCGCATCTTCCCCACAGACACTGCAAGCTGTACATGAGAAAATCGTTATAAATTTTAAATACAAAACTGTTGGTTTATTTTTTTTAGAGACCCTAACGTCAACTTGAATTTTTAAAAAATCAATTACAAGGCAAAACAACTCATGTTTATTTTCGCTATAAATATTTTAAAATTTCAATAAAATATATAACTCTTTGTTACGCACTGCTAGTTGGAAAAGTGGTTCAAGAGCTTCGTTAAGCCTAGGGGTAAAAGGTAAACAAATCCAAGATCCATATAACATGTGGTTCTTTATTTCAACAACAGCGAGCCTCCTTCTTTCCGCAATCTCTCTGCAACCCACAAACTAACAAAACCCATAACAAAGAGCGTCATCTCCCAAATACACCCAGATACATCACAAAATACATCACAAAATATATCACAAAATACATCACAAAATACATCCCAAAATACATCCCAAAATACATCACAAAATACATCACAAAATAATCACAAAATACTTCACAAAACACATCACAAAATACATCACAAAATACATCACAAAATACATCACAAAATACATCACAAAATACATCACGAAATACATCACAAAATACATCACAAAATACATCACAAAATACATCACAAAATACATCACAAAATTCATCACAAAATACTGAAGCACACAGCAACAGCCGCACAATGAATCTCCATACCTAAACACACAACCCACTGAGCAAATCATTAACACATTGATCCAAAGGAAATGTGCAACTCAGCCAGTGGATTAAACCCATAAACACAATAAAGTCACCCACTCGGGCCACGGCCTGTCCCAAGCCAGATTGCAAAAGGATGAGAGCTAGTGTGGGGCAAGCTAATGTCACTGGTAAAAAAAACAACACAACTCAGCCACTGAAACGTCAACAGAGTCGTTATACTGACGATGTAACAGTTTTGGATTTGATCTTACAGTATCTTTTACTGCTGGAGGAGGATCCCCCTTCACTTCGTGATGGCACAGCGTCCGTCACTTCCTCCTGGGACGAGACCAAATCCTGGATGGCTTGCATGTCACCAAGGTTACCCTGCACCTGATGATACAACAGATATTCAAAAGCCAGGCATGACAGTGACCTTTGTTTTTTTAAAGTACAGGTGCTTGATCCATGTTTGGTTCAGATAAGTGATGTTTTGCCACCTCTGATATCTGAATACTAAAATGGCTTTTTTTTTACAAAGATTGTATCATCAAACTTATTTAATAAATTCAACATTTTTTTAAAAGCTATAGTCTAAATGTTTATCCCCCCAAAAATACATTGACAGTTTTTGAAGTATGTAAGAAATTAGCTCCAGATAGTTTTAGATGTTTTTTAGAGATAAGCTCCACAGATAGTTTTAGATGCTTTTAGAGATTAGCTCCAGATAGCTTTAGATGTTTGTTAGATATTAGCTCCAGATAGTATTATATGCTTGTTAGAGATTAGCTCCACAGATTTTAGATGTTTGTTAGAGATTAGCTCTTAGCTCCACATTTAGTTTTAGATGTATGAAAGAGATTAGCTCCACAGAAAGTTTTAGATGTTTGTAAGAGATTAGCTCCACAGATTAGTTTTAGAAGTATGTAAGAGATTAGCTCCACAGAACTTTAAGTATGAGTTTCATGATGTCTACAGACTAAAGTAATGAGTTGAGAGACTGACCTCAGCAGCTGCCGGTGTCCCAGCTTGACCCTCAGCCAGCAATGGCGACTCTGGTGTTGGCACTTGTTCAGTTTTTTTAGTGGCTTCAGTTTCTTCTGTCAACTTTGGCTCAATGTCACTACTGCTGTTATTGTTATTGCACTCTAAATTCAAGGAGCTTGAATTGTGTGTCTGCAAGAGACCAAAAGTTGTTTGAATTGTGTGTCTGCAAGAGACCAAAAGTTGATTGAATTGTGTGTCTGCAAGAGACCAAAAGTTGATTGAATTGTGTGTCTGCAAGAGACCAAAAGTTGTTTGAATTGTGTGTCTGCAAGAGACCAAAAGTTGATTGAATTGTGTGTCTGCAAGAGACCAAAAGTTGTTTGAATTGTGTGTCTGCAAGAGACCAAAAGTTGATTGAATTGTGTGTCTGCAAGAGACCAAAAGTTGATTGAATTGTGTGTCTGCAAGAGACCAAAAGTTGTTTGAATTGTGTGTCTGCAAGAGACCAAAAGTTGTTTGAATTGTGTGTCTGCAAGAGACCAAAAGTTGTTTGAATTGTGTGTCTGCAAGAGACCAAAAGTTGTTTGAATTGTGTGTCTGCAAGAGACCAAAAGTAGTTTGAATTGTGTGTCTGCAAGAGACCAAAAGTTGTTTGAATTGTGCATCTGCAAGAGACCAAAAGTTGATTGAATTGTGTGTCTGCAAGAGACCAAAAGTTGCACAACTTGGAAAATACCATTTTTTACTTAACAAGAATAAAATGAGTACTGTTGTCACAGCCTACATCCAGTGCACTAAGGTTATCAAGGTCATAACACGGTGGAAAGTGCATTCGATGTGCGTTAAAGAAATAATCGAGACAAGATATATTGTAGCCTGACTTACAGGACAAGACAATAAAACTAAAGTTTGGCTGACTGCCTTCATTTGCCAATGCAACAGTGCAAAACAAACTAAAGTTTGGCTGACTGCCTTCATTTGCCAATGCAACAGTGCAAAACAAACTAAAGTTTGGCTGACTGCCTTCATTTTCCAATGCAACAGTACAAAACAAACACAACAAGTTAGACATAAAAAAAGAAAATTTGTCTAATGTATTGTGTTTTGTTACTGCTGCCAAGAAGTGACTTGTCTAATGTATTGTGTTTTGTTACTGTTGCCAAGAAGTGACTTGTCTAATGTATTGTGTTTTGTTACTGTTGCCAAGAAGTGACTTGTCTAATGTATTGTGTTTTGTTACTGTTGCCTTTGCTCAAGTCATTCAGATGAACCTTTCTTTTCTTGTCCTGTTCTGTATTTCGAGCTGCAAAATTATCTCGTTTTAAACATTAATAAACTCATAAGGGTTAACCTGCAATGTTGGGGGAAGCAGAGGTTGGCTTCCTTACGACTAAGCTATTCAAGGCAGCACATGAAGGGTTCTTTTGTCTGGTCAAATATAATCTATATCCAACTTTGCCAAACAAAATCTATTCAGTGAAAAATGGTGTTTTGAAATTACCTGCACGTGATTTTGAGGTGTTGGTGTTGAGCTTGCCGGAGAGTTGTAATAAGCTATTGAACTTTGTCCTGATGCAGCATCCACATTTTCATCATCAATCTTAAGTCCAGACAGTCTGAAGGCAAGAACCTCATCCCTGAATATAATGAGACAAAGAGTTAGGTGGATTGCCTTCAAGATCTTCCTTAACATTTCTCTCTGAAGAACAAATGTTCTCTTATGGCATTCGTCTAGTTGAATCAGTCTTAACCAAGGGATTTTATCGATTCAAATACCTTCTGAGAAATCAAAAACATGTTAACAGATGAACCAAGAAGGGTTTATGATTGGACAGCTCAACTAGCTACTACAGGCCAGCGAATGATTGGACAGCTCAACTAGCTACTACAGGCCAGCGAATGATTGGACAGCTCAACTAGCTACTACAGGCCAGCGAATGATTGGACAGCTCAACTAGCTACTACAGGCCAGCGAATGATTGGACAGCTCAACTAGCTACTACAAGCCAGAAAATGATTGGACAGCTCAACTAATTGGTACTAAATACCAGCCTAAAGACATAATGACTTAGAGATATTTAGTCTCCTGATCCACTTCTGAATGCCACTCATGAAGTTAACCAGAGTTAAGAAATTTGGCTTATCCAGAAACTCAGGATTATTTTATGCAAGCCAAGTAGAAAAGAATAACTATTTTTATTTTTTTAGCATTGAAAAGTTTGGCCAGATTGATATCTTTAAAAAAATTCACAGGACTTTAAAAAAAATAATTTCTTGATTTCTATCATTTAAGATAAGATAACTTCTAATTGTAACAGGTAAGTTAAATTAAATTAACAAATAAAATCATTTTTGAGCCTTGATAATAGTCTAATTTTCTGAATAAAAAGAAGTACTTATAAACATTTCTCCTGGGTTGGGGTTAGGGACTATCCATATATTATTATGCATTGAAGGTGGAGGGTGGTTTGTTGATTTTCACAATTTTGTGGGCGTGTATGGCAGCGTGGGAGGGGGACCTTCTGCAGAATCTATGTGCATTTATTCATAAATTATGCAATAATTATCCTGAAATTCAAAGTTCATTAACATCCTATTCTATTTATATTTCTTATATAGCCAACCAACTTTCTCCTATTTCCAAAGGCTAAAATTTTAAAAAATATCCCCAAATTGCTTTGTATGTATCATCATGCTGTTGCAAACAAATCCCCATCATTCAATAAAATAAAGACAACTTATATTACAAACACATCTACCTTGTTTGTTGGGGCAGCAGCTGTTCAATGTGCTGAGGACGCGGGTGTTTGTCAAGTATGTACTCTTTGAGCTCTTTCTTGAACAGCATCATGTCAGCTATGAGGTTCACCACCTTCTCTCTCTCAGGCTCCTGTCCCTGTGGGAATCTCAAGCCCTGCTCTGTCTGCTCAGTGTAGCCCAGCTGCATCAGTAAGGTTTCACTACCCTAGGTAACAGTAAACATTGAAAGGATGGAATGTCACCAAACACACGATTCTAAAACATAAACACTGAAAGGCCTGGCATGTCATCAAAAAATAAGTTTCTAAGACAGAAACAATGAAAGGCTGGAAGTCACCAACTCAAGATTATAACACATTACTGTTTACCACTGAGATAAACATTACTTGTACAAACCAATGCAAATTAATAAGACAATTTACATTCAAAATGGGAAATTTAAAGAATAATAAAAATATCTCCATGAAATGACTTTATACAAATACCAACACAGCCATGTTTGCTGCTGTTACATGAAATGACTTTATACAAATACCAACACACCCATGTTTGCTTCTGTTACATGAAATTAATTAGAAATTCTAACCATAAATAATGGTACACGAAAGAGTTATACCCATATGATGCCATGCAGTTAGGGGGAGTGGGGTGTCATATGTGTGTGAACAAGTGTTTAATTGGGTTTTTTACAAATGACTCCATGCAGTTGGAAGGCGGGGGCATATTTGTGTAACTAATTTTGAAATGGATTGAGCTGATTTGGGTTGAAGGGCTGTGACAAAAGAAGAGAGGGACTATCACAAATTGCTAACCAATCAATGATTTAATCCTATCCAATAAACAGCAGATAGGGATTATGCACAATGCCATTTGTGAATATACCAAAAATATATATTGCCATCCAAAATTAATGCATTTCACCAAAAAAAAGTACCTGAAGAGGTTTGATTTTTTTCTGATAATGAGGATTTTTGAAGGGTATCATCCTCCACTGATCTTTACGTTTATCTGGATCTTTGAAGAGATACTTAGCATATTTAACAATGTAACCCAAACCAGAGTGAATATTTTTCAAATCCTGGAAGCTCTGTAAAAAAAAATATATAAAATAATGAAAGATAAGATTTCAAAGAGAAACTATCAGACACTCCTTATCCTATAGATTAATGATTATGGGTAAGTTAAATGTTTACTTTTTCAAAAATTAAAAATCTGTAGAAATTAAATAAAACTTATTTTACAAAATTAATTGTTTTCAAGAAATTATAATTCTATTTAACCAGAGCATCATCGGCTCATTTAACTATGTAACACCAACCATCATGGGGTCCTGTAAATTTATCAAGGATAACACAAAATATCTTTGAATATTTGTTGACAACACTCAAGGTTGAAATAAACTAGGACCAGCATTTTAGTCTGCATGATTCATTAAATAATAGTAATTAAGTTAGTAAGATTTTGTTTAAAAAATTCAGCAATAACCCTTGATTACATTTAAACAATCTTCAGAGATCGAAGAAAAAAACAAAACTTCTGCACCAACCTTATTGTTTAAACTTATTAAGTCTCTGGCTCTCACAGCATAATATTTATCCTCAAGTTTAGGGCATTCCAGCTCAATGAGTTTCTGTATGATTTCTTCTGTTTCTTCACCAGCGTAGATAGCTCTCACTAGATATGCCCGATAATCTCTGACTATTGAAGGTAAACGTTCCAAATCATCATCATCGTCCACTGCTGGGTGCTGATTCCCTGCAACAGCTGCTTCAGTTTGTGACTCTCTACCTGGCATTATCGAAGTCACAAAGCCTGCCATTTTTCCAAACAAAGTCGGCATGTTCTCTAAACAATGAAATAATTTAAAAAACAACTTGCCACAGTTTTTACAAAGTAAAGGAACAAATGAAACGCTGATAACAGGAACTCAACATGGTCATGGTGGACATTTTCTTCCAGTTACGGGTTCAGAGTTGATAGGATATAAATTAGTCCAAACTGAAGGAAAAAATCCAAGTACCTTCAACTAGTGTAGTATAATAATGAGAGCAAAAAAAAAAACCAAAAAAAAGCCATCGCCTTCACCTAAAATTGACGGAAAAATTGACTATTATTACTATTATTATTATAAATACTAAATACATTACATTTTCATTATTAGTTTAATTATTATTAGTATTATTATAATAATAATATTATTACTTACTATGTCCTCTATGTCACTTTGCCAAACCTATTCTGCACTGAACTGGGACTATAGATTACTAAGTTTAAACATTACCTTTAATTGTAAATGATTGATTAGACTAAATTAAAAATGCTTTCCACAAGACAAAGTGACAAACGTCAAACAAAAAAAGTTATGACTCATGAAACTTAGATTGAAAGTTAGTACCATTTAACGTTTAAATGTATTTATTATAACCTAGATTATACATTATATTTAATAATAACCATGGACATTTTAGGAAATAGATTATACCATTCCAATATATGCCTAGTACATAATTAATTTGGTTGATATTAAGTAGTTTAAATACGGATTCGTGTTAAGTAAATGGGACGAAGCAAACCTTTTTTGCTTGTTTGTGTGACTCCTTCCCGAACTTCCTTTCACAAAATCGGGAATTCAAGATTTTATGATAATCTAATTTTAGAAGTAATGAAAAGAACAAAATAATCTCGTTTACGATAAAGTTTAATTTGTCATTGGCGGCTTCAATATGCATTGTCCAGAATGCCAGAAAGAAAAAAAAAACTATATTTCATTATAAAAATTAGATGTACGTTTAAGTAGGATGTAGTATACATTTATAACAAATAATTCCTTCATACTAAAATTTTGACGCATTATCAATACTAATGTCTTTTGAGGGTTTTTTTCCACCCCCATAGCCATAATCCAGTTTTTTTTTTTTTTAAATCCTTTTTTTTTATTTTTAAGAGTAAGACTAGAGCTACATAAATTTATTAATGGTTTAGTATTGCGTACTGACAGTGAACGTCCTAACAATTAAATTAAATTAAAATAATGATGTAAAAATAATGAATTGGCAACCTAAAGGGTCTAATGGTAAATTGCAAAAACTTTTGACAATCTTAAAGTAAAAGTTATTTTTTCTGTCTAATAAAAACATGACATATTATTGACATTTTTATTATAATTATAATAATAAAGCCCACCACCCTTTGACACCATTAACCCATCTCTGCCCCCCCCCTCCCATCCGGCATCAAAAAAGAACTCAAGGGTCGTTCGCAAATTACTTGACGCTCAGGTGGGAAAAGGGGGGGGGGGGGGGGAGAATTTGCGCCCCGGNTTTTTAATTTTGAAAAATCTTTATTTAATTAATTTTTAAAACTTTAAGAAACTCAGTTTTCTAATAAAACTACATCTTAATCCATTTATGAATGGGAACATTTTAAAGAATAAAATAAAATCTTTGTTTAGTTATGAAAATGTTATGTATGTTTTGAATTTTTTTAGGTGTGCCGTGACTCGGGGGGTGGGTGGTAAAGAATTTTTGACACTTCGTTACAGGGGGTAAAAAGGGGGGGGGGGGGCTAGAAAGGTCATTTTTAGCGTGACGTAGTTTACGAACAAGCCCTCAGGCCAGGGGTGGACTGGAGAGTTCAAGCGGCCCGGGAAAAAATCAAAGCGGCCCGGGAAAAAAAACAAAAAGCGGCCCTATCTTCATGACTTTTATTTTTGTTATATCATCGGTCCTAGCGGCCCATCGGGAATCTTCCCGGTGTCCCGGCGGCCCAGTCCACCCCAGCCGCTGGCCTGTAGTTAGCACAACTCTGCAAGGAAGGTAACACCATATATGTAATAATGTTATAAATAATTGAAACTGTATGTAAAATGTAATAAAATCTGTTTTATTTAAATTAATTTAGAAATAAATTGATAAACTTTATCCACTAATGCCACAGCCTTTTAAAGCAGATTAAGATAAGGCAAGGCGTTTGGTTTTAATAATAGTCATCGTAATTTAATTCAACATCGCTTAGCAGACTCAGCTATGCCTTAGGGCTATGCTTACCCTTAAAGTATGCTTTGGGTGGGCTTTAATGATACCCTCTCTTCACTGTCTGGTTCATAGGAACTTATTAACAATAATCGTAAACCGATTTTGTCTATCAGACAGAATGATTATATTTCTTTTGCCCAGTGCATACTAATGACATGATATGAATTAACTTTTCAGCAAAATAACCAAATGCATCTTTAACTAAAAATAGATTTATCACCCAATCTAATATCTCAATAAAAGAATATTGTAATACAATATAAATACTTTTATATGCCATATTTCAATTGCCACCAGAACTGGGTGTCACGAAACAGCAGGTTATCTCCAGAGCTGGGTGTCACCACATCAGGATACCACCAGAACTGGGTGTAACAAGACAGAGCAGGGTAGATTGCCACGAATGAAGGTTGCATAAGATCAGGTTGCAAACAGAAAAGTTTGCAAACAGAGCAGGCAGACTCAGTGAGGGGCATGAGGAAGTCTGGAAAGGAGGAGGGTGGCACCATGGGTTTACGACACTGGGTAACACCAACCCGAGTGACTCCACTTACTTGATCAACTTGTAACTCCCCCACCTTCTCTTCTAGTTCCAGCGGGTTTGAAAATTGGCCAATCGCTAATAAGCAGAGTGAATTTAGATATAAAAACAGAGTTTATTCATTTGGTTTTAATGAGATTGACATCCCCTCCCACTTTGTTTTTTTTTTTTGTTTTTTTTTTTTCACAAATATCCCCTCAAATCAAAAAAATTTTTTTTTTTATCGAGTCTTTTTATTTTTTAATTTCCCATGATTAATTTTGTTAACTGGAGAAATCCAAAGGTAGACCGAGAGGGGCAGGGGGGGGTAACCCCACCCCCAACTCAGATTGGACGCATCTGCTTTCTCCCAGCCGCAGGCTTGGGGTGGTAGCACGAACTTTGAGAACGACTTGTCGGTGTCTCTCAATAATCATATCTCTCACATTTGTCGCTCTGCATACACTGCCATTCGTCAGATCAGCTCCACCCGCCAATATCTTACAGTCACAGTTGGTGCAACAAAAACCATAGTCTGTGCTCTTGTTCTCTCTCGTCTTGACTATTGTAATAATTCTCTTCTATCAGGTTCACCAAAACATTTCTTAGAAAAATTGCAAAAGGTTCAAAACCCAGCCGCTAGGCTAATTCTAAAGGCAAGAAAACGTGATCACGTCACACCACTACTTCATTCACATCATTGGCTCCCTACACAAGTACGTATTGACTACAATCTCTCTATTCTCTGCCACAACTTTTTTCTCGAATTCCTCCCCTTCCTATCTAAATGAACTTCTCTCTGTCTATTCACCCCTTCGACAGCTTCGCTTCTCCACAGACGCACGTATTCTTTCTGTCCCCAAGACTCGCACAAAAACATACGGTGAACGATCGTTCTCTTTCTGTGCACCCAAACAATGGAATTCTCTTCCATTACACATCCGCAATATACCGACAATCACAACCTTCAAAACTGCACTCAAAACACATCTATTTAATCTCTACTATCCTGACTGATTCCCACCTCTGACCGTAAAACGATGGTACCGAGTGTCGTCCATGGCTTGAGATGTTAATAGTTTTATATATACATTATTTCAGATTTTTTTAATGTTTGTTAAATTGTATGTACAGCGTGGTGAGCCCAGCCCTAGGCTGGGGTACCACGCTATATAAAACAATTTATAATAATAATAATAATGCAAAGGTAGTTAAATACAGTGTTATTGAAGTCTTTAAATTTGTGAATGCAAAAAAATAAATGGAAAAAAATACAGAATATGACTCATATTATGAGCGAACAACGGGAAGTAAGCCTTCTGCTTATTATTAGTAGCGGCCAGTAAAATATTTATAATCAAGTACTGTAAGCCTTTAAATTAGCCTTAAATCATCAAATATATCGAACGTAGTGATATTTCATAGATTCCACTAATTGTAATTGGTTAAAGGCACCAGATATTATTCTTTTTAAAACTGTTCAAAAAATTAGTTGTTTTTAATAAAAAATATAAAATTGTAATATAGTTGTACACATTTTGCTCGTGGGGGGGGGGGGGCACTTGACAGTCCCTGGGGGCACTTGACTGTCGGGGGGGGGGCAGTGTCCGCCCCCTCCCGAGAGATGCCTGAAAGAAACCATGTTCACAAAAAGTTCTCCCTAAAATCTTCAATACACTGACTCTTATACTCAAGACCACCCTCATTTCACTACTAAGGAGGACCCTCGTTTCACTACTAAGGAGGACTTGCACCTTACTCACAACGATACTCAGCCGACTGACAACAAAACTCCGCCAACTGACACTGCATAACCCAACCAATCACAACTCGCCTTAAAAAAAAAAAACCCAGCAACTTTCATAAACAGTCATGCTCCCAAAACCAGTACACAGCAATGATATTGGGAGAGGTGGGGGGCGCGACAGAAATTAGGTTTGGTAAAAGCATCCCTTTTTTCTAACAAAATGACGATTTGAAATCAAATCCACAAATGAGAAAGAATAACGGTTGTTTTTTCTGCATTTTATTTTTTTAGTTATTCATACAAATCAGGGAATTAGAGAATGTATAGAGAAATGTAAATTGCAAAATATAGGCTTTTATGGTTGCTAGCAACAAAATACGTTTCTGATTCAAATACATCCACGAGAAAGTGATGCCCAAAATTTGGCACAATATTGTCAAGAAAATCTCCCTTGTTCCTATTATTTTAAAGAAATAAGATCATAGATCTTTTTAATTTTGAAGTTCTAGTTTTAATATTTGGTTTCAATATTAAAAGAATGTTGTAAAAATGGGTTCGAATCTCTCATGTAACACTAAACGAACACAAACTTTAGTGTTGTAATGCTAAATGAAATATTTCTAAATATAACTGAAAATTGGGAAAGGCATTTTATTCTAGTATATACATGTCAATATTTAAAACACAATATCTTTTTTTTTATAAAGACAGCTTATCCATTAAAATTTCAAAAAAGTGGTTCACTTCAACCTAAAACTTTAGTAAAAAAAAATCTGTACATAGTTAATTGAGCTATTTACAGTACTTAAATAAAAAAAAAAACTGTTTGTTGCATAGCTGCCTCAAGTAGAGAAAACTATTCAAGGGGCGCTTACACCAACAGTGTGTCAAATTACAGATTTCGGCCCCTTTTATTCACCATGACAACATTTCATTTAAATTCACCTTTTTAACTGGTTACACTCTCACTGGGAGAAATGGATTTGTGCAATCCTCCAAGATAGAAACACAATTATGTAATTTCACCATCTTTCCTACAACTCCATGCGTGCATCAATATGAAATGGATATAACAATATCTTCAGATCTGATTTTGGTAAATGTTCATATTTATGTACAAATCCGCTTTAAAAAAGAATGAATTCAACAATTTAATGGACACATTTTAACAAGGCTGGTCATTATGATACTCTGTCAACTTTTATACAGGTACGCTCAACACTAAATCCATCAACTTACACACATTTTCCATATAATTATATTTTATCTAAGGAATTGTACTTATTGTAAACATTATACAAAATATATTTTATACAGTCACTATGTACATGAATACATGAAGAAATTATTATGGAATGTATTGATAACAAAGAATAATCTTCACTGTTTTAAGAACATAGACTGTGCACATATTGCGCACCAATCCCATTGTTTTCTAATGTATTCAAAAGAAAAAAAAAGTGATATGTGCTTGAAAGTTAATGACAACAATCAACGTACTTTATGCTGCAGTAAATTTGATAAATTTCAAAGTGGACAAATATTTACCTTGACATATTTTTTTTTTTTCTCTTTTTTTTTTTAAACACATATTAGTGGCTCAAATTCTGAGTAAACCAATTAAAAGCATTAACAAGTTATTTTTATTTGATATGTTTTTCCCAAGTGAAACTGACCTGCTGCCATCAGAATATTTAAAGAAACAACTTAATGGTTGTAAATTTTTTTTGCAGGTACAAAATGAAAATTTCATAGAGCACACACATTACATCAGGAGATTTGCTAAGGATAACCAGCTGTATATAGCCAATCATAATTGTTTTACTCTCGATTTATGCAATAATTTGCAATTATTGGTCATTAAATCAACAACTGATGGTTTCTTCATGGAAGCATTAAATAACCACAGAAATACCATCTTCCATCTAGCGTCTGTTATTAAATTATCACCTTGGATGTAAAGATCACTTGTGAGATTCTCAAATAATTTATGAAATAAAGATTTCAATAAAAAATTTATAAAGACGAACTATTGCTATTTTTTAAATGGATGATGAAACATTATAAAAACTATCCAGGGCAAATGGGCAAAACAATATTTTTGTAAAAAAAATAATAAAAAATTTAAACAAAAATAGTTTTGCATTAACAGTTCAATCAAATCATTTTCTCTGTCAGCCTAAAGGTCACACAACAATCAAACTAGCCAATGAATTATCTGTTCCTGAGTAATAACCTCTGTACCACAAAAACTGAAGCCAGCAGTAAAAATACGCTGACACCAGCACTGGCGATTGTTGCCGTATTAAAGTAAGGACAGTACGGGCACTGATAGGATCCACACACAAAACATATGTTGAGAAGGAACAAGTTTCGAGTTGTGTACATGGTCGTGTTGTGCATTCCTGAGGATAGAAAAGGTAATTGATAATTTATACCAGAGAATTAGATGACAATAAATCAATAAATTAGAAATCAATTTTCTGAAGTGTCTTTTTGTGTGTGTTTATAAGCAGATACATTTAGTCACTGGCTTCTACTCTTGACAGTCATGTCATTTAACTTAAGAACTAGTGTAACATGGGAAGGACTGTGTTCTTTTTGAAGTAACCATGATTCTAGCACTTGGACCCTCCCCCCCCCCCCCCCAGTTTTTCCTTTCCATCTGCATTTTAGGCTTAGTTGACCTAAATTAAATACCAAAATTAAAAAATCGCTTGACAAAAAAAACACAAACAACAAATGCAAAATTTTTTTTTAGATTTGAAAATTGTGGTGTTCTGGAAAAGTACCTAGGGTAGTGGAGGAGCGGAGATGTGAATATTGTTTATATATAGGATTCAATTTATGAAATTTAAAGTTAACGGCAAATAAAGAGTGACCCTGAAATGGAAACAAAAGGTTTTGAAATGTCAGTTAAACACTTTAAAATGTTAAAGGGTAGTCACGCTTGTAAACAAAAATAACTTGAAAAGAAAGTTGTACCAGGTTCATAATAGTCAAACACCCTCATTCGATGTTGAATAGTGGCATTGGCTACAGGAAACCAGCGGTCTGCACGGAAATAAACACATGTTTTGCTTGCGTCCAGCTGAAAAAGAAAGCAGTTCCTAAATTCTTCATATTTATGTTACCGAAAGATAACAAGCATTTCAAATATTTATATTTTCAATTTATAATACATAAGGCTTATGCCCCCTCCGACACAGATACCATCCTTTTATATGGATTAACTTATATAGAAAGCAAGGGTTTAATAAAAAAACAAACAAATCAAAGTACATAGAACCATTTTTTTTTCCTAATATTTATACCACTTACGTATTCAAAGTAAAAGATGACTTTTCTGTCATAATGCTCTGCCCTCTTCAAGTTAGGAACAACACCAGAGCGGACATAATCTCGCAGCGTGTCATTCATAACCACATAGCCCGTGGGGATATCCACCTCAAGGACAGCTAAACCTGAGGTCTTACTCTTTTCTTCATAAAGCCAGCTAAAGCACATAAAAATTAAAAAATTAGAGTTCTCATAACAGAACTTTATTATACTTTTATTCTTTACTATTAGTTTCTATGTGTTATACATTATCTATTAGGCATTGTTTGTCAACATTTTAATTTCCCTAAAATTAAAGCAATAATTGTCAATAGAATACTAGCAATACTAAGGTAGTCTGAGAGTTCAGAGATTAAACACCAACCTGACACAATTAGTCATTTCCATAATGGAGTCGTTTCTGCCACTGAACCTGAGTTCATCAACGATGAGGTCAAAGAATTTGATTGGATCTGACCCGAAGTTATTACCTTCACGCATCGGTTGTTTCTGAAGCCACATGTACTCTACATTTACTGTGGTCGTTAGCTGGATGAGAGAACAGCATTGTTCATATTTTTATATTATTAAGGGCGCAACATGGCAACAAGGAAATTAAGTACTACAGAGAAAATGTGTTTACAATATATGAATATGTAAATAAATCATTAAAACAATTTTAAGGCTTTTTTTTGTGGGGAAATACAAAATAGAAAGGCCCCTAAGAAATATTGCCTTAAGACTAAGCCAAACAGTGCATGTTAATAAATATTTTGTTGGTACCATACATATGTTATCAAATTTTGAAATATGTGAAAAGAGAAATTAGCCTCAAATTAGAATCGAAAAATGATTCTGTACTTCGTTAAACCAGCATTACGAAAACAGTTGTCTTTGTGATATAGTTAAAATTTAAGATATAAATCAACAAGGAAATAATTGTACCCTTTTTTTTTCTTCAAATTCTTTTTTTTTTTATATAGATAAACCTTCTGTATTAATTGAGATGAGATTATTTTCAAAATGGAAGTTTTTGTTGATATGCTGTCTTCTTTTCCCATTTCCAATTATAAAAACTCCCAACAGATATTTGCAAAAGAGATCAATCGAAGAGGCATCTATTTCATTAGATTATAAATAGTGAAACAAGATATTTCATCCATTATAATCCTTCAAATTAGATTAATTTGAAATTGCTGAACATGGGTTGACTGAAATCAAGCATAAACACAGCTTGCTGTTTTAAACAAATATTTTGATGATAAGTTCTCAACCTTGCCTGAAATGGACACTGTAGTAAATGTAAACAAAAAGTTTCTCCCTAGTTAACTCTTGAGTTAAATAGTCACCTGCAGCAGAGCTCTGCCAGTTCCTTGGGAGTTGGGCACAATAAAACCCCAAACACGGTCTCTGGGAAGCTAAACAAAACACACAAAATTATTGTTATTGATAAACATACAAGCAATACTTGGGATAACTTTTTTTTAATCACTTATTCTTAACAAAAACAAAGGAATGAAACAAAGGAATTATGCACATTTAATCAATTCAAATTTATTGGATTAAAACCAAAAACTACATATACCCCCCCCCCCCCCATGAAATATTAAGAAACCTTACCTTGGATTTACAAGGTTAACCCTTACAAATTATACACGTCTGATACATATATATACAACTTGATACATATACATGAATTACAGGCAATCATTATTATGCAAACAATAATTATAGAACCTCTACTGTAGCATTGTAAAAAATTATAAATTATTTGCTAACAAACTAATGAACGTTTTCAAAACTTACACTAAATGTCTTCAGATTAATGTAGTCCAATTTCTTCAGATTGAAATTCACTTGCCAGTTTGGTGAGGCCGTAGACTCAACAGTTGTTTTGAGGTCATACACATTTCGATGGGGGTCCACTTGAGTAAACATATAAAGGGCCTCCATTGCAAGGATGGTGTCCTGGAACAAGCAGTTACGTATTTATTTACATATGTATGATCACAATGTCTGTGTGCATAGTTTTAATGCTTTTAACATTTTGATGTAAAAATTGCAAAAGGAGATAAGCTACATCTTTAAATATTAACTGTTTGAATTCTTACGATATTATTTGCAATTGTAAGAAGTTTTCAATCAGTGCTCAGATTTACTCTGATTATATGCAAATCCAATGTTAAAGAAAGTGTATCAACATACCCACCCCCCCCCCACCATTTTAAATCTGAAGTTAGTTACGGTAATTATAAAGGGAACTACACATAGAAGTAATAAAAGTATGTCTCAGTTTCATTATAATTTCACTAGATCCCCCCACCCCCCACCCCCACCCAAATTCATGACGCCCATGATAATTTTTTTTAGTAATGTTTTAATATAGTTTTAATTTACTGTAGCGTATTTGTATGGTGAACGAACCGACAGGACAGCAGCTTAGTTACTTTCTCTTTATTTTCTCTTTACTTTAATAAATTTTTTGTCTATTTTTGTCTAAAAAATTTTTATCCAATAAATCCAGGGGGGGAAGTGCCCCCCCCCCCCCTGCCCCTACCTGCGGGCGCCCATGCCCATGATCATTAAAGCAATGTTTAGTTTATTTAGATTATATTATACATAAAATAAATGATTTAAATGATTTAAGTACTTGTGTGGAAGCGAAGCCACCGATAGAGTTCCTCATTGTGTTGAGCCAAGCCATCATCATCTCACGTTCATACTTCAAGGCCTTGTTGTTATTTATGTGGGCCATCAGAGCATATGCAGTTGATTGTACAGAATAGGCATCGTTCATCAACTCCTGCCTTGGTTTGAGATAGCGCACATTATTCAAGAAGTCAGACGGGTTTTCATAAACAACATCCTCAGCAAAGTACACAAAGTCAGCTGGAATTAGAGCACAAAGAGTCAAGACATTAAATAAAATTTCAATGTATAAAACGTATCTTCTTCTGCTGAGCTACACACAAAAATATTATTTTCCTACAACACAGAACAGTAAGTTCTTTTAAAAATCAACTGATTATAATTAGGGGATAGAATACTTAGCCCCTTTTTCAAATTGTTAAATTAGTATTTCATCACAACGCTTAGATTCAAGATTAAAATTCCTGAATTATTGCATGTCTAATATGAGAAGTGAGATAAAGCATTTAACTTACAGTCATTCCTTCTCATGCTCCATAGCTTTTCGAATGGACTCCTATACTGGCTAAGGGTGAGTGCATATGTTGTGATAGCCATGTGGAACACTTCCTGAATGTTATCAACATTTTCAAACAGGTATTTAGCAGCCTTTCTCTTCGCAGTGTCCACACAAGCTGCAGCTTCCTGAGAGGGAAAATAGAGAATAAAAAAAAAATTAGTTGTGAGTTCATTACAATGATTGTTTACCCCACACAATCATTATTTTTACATAAATCCCTGCAGATACATTCAGTGCAGCTTTTATCAAACTTACCTCAGACACATCAGTCGTTTCATGTAAGGTTATGTAGACGTAGGCCGTGAGAGGAATGGGGTGAGAATGAAGTTTGTCTCCTCTCAGACTTTCTAGTGATGTCTAAATGAAAACAAGAAAATTTTAAACAATATAAGAGCAAATAATATACATTTTTTCACCAGAGTCCAGTATTTTTTTTTATTTATGAAATTTAAGCTTCAATTTTCTTAATAGATGCATAAAAAATTGACCATGCCATCTTAGAGACCTACTAAATTAAAAAGCCTGCACAATAAATGGTTTGAATTTAGATGAATTTGATTATTAAGGCAGGCTACGCTGGGCAGGACACCTAGAGAGAATGCCAAATGACAGAGGAACAAAGAGGGTGCATCACCAATACCCTAGAGGAAAAAGGCTCAAAGGCAGACCTAGGCTTAGGTGGATAGATCATGTAGAAAAAGATCTACAGCAGCTGAAAGTCCAAGCATGGAAAAGAAAGGCATTAGTTAGGTCTGAGTGGAAGGAAGTGGTGAGGCAGGCCAAAGCCCTACATGGGCTGTAGCGCCAGAGGGATGGATGGATGAATGGATGGATGGATGGATGGATGAATGGATGGATGGATGGATGGATGGATGGATGGATGGATGGATGGATGGATGAATGGATGGATGGATGGATGATTATTCAAGATACAGCTCGAATGACTACATTTTTTACTGCATTTTTTAAATACCATTTACTACATATTTTTAGAAATGGATTTTAAGAGCATTTTTAAAAAGTAAAAATTATAATAAGAAATTTGTAAAAATGGAAAATTAGAAACTTTTAAAATATGGAAAATAAGAAACTTATAAAATATGGAAAATTTGTAACCAGAAAGTCGAATAAGGGAGACCTTTCCTCATTTATGATTTAATTTTAAATCTCATTATCTTAATTAAATTTTTTCCTTCCATCCTTGGTAATTATATTAAATTTTAAATTTGAATTATGACATTTTATTAAGACATATTTTGACATTTTTAAGCAAATCCACCAACTATGACAAATTAATTTTTTGTGAGCCTAGTTTGAATTTTGACTTTAGTATTAGTATATATTAGTATAAGCGGAGAGATAGATTTGATGTCAACAATTGAAATTTATCAAACATAAAAACAAAGCTCATGAGAAGTGTTTTAAAAGGTTTAAAATTTCGCAAATGTAATATAATCAAGTACTTCAAAGCAAATTGTTTAACATCATTCTGATGTCTTACACAATTATGAAGGACGTATTTTCTTTATAATCCATTGTTTTAAGTAACTTACCATTTTTCTGTCATATGTTGCATCATTTTCATCAGGAACAAATGCACCAGACTCATTCTGCCTTGAACAAATGTAGCTGACAACTTTATTTATCAGCTCTCGAGGAATGAATAGATCACGTTCCCACTCCCCAAAGTTAGCATCATGAACAATTTTGGCAACAAAAGCCGTCAGCCTGAGACAAAATAATGACATTTTTATAAGCAGAAATACTTAATTGTTTTCCTTTCATTCACCAAAATTTCACTAATTGTTAACCTTGATGTAAGAACTTAACAGGTACTTAACAACTGTATTAAAATTAATTTTTTTTTCTTTTAATAAAAATAATAAATATCCAATGTCTCTTCTCTACTCCTCGGTATTGGATTTGTCATATTGTTTCAAAATGTCCCATACCATAGACTAGGTTTTGTATCATCTCTGAACATCTTGAAGGATCCATCTGTGGCATTCATATAGCTGAGAATACGCTGTAAAGCTGCAAAGAATAAGAGAAATTAATTTCTAATAGTATTGTATAGGCATAGGCAAAAACATAAACCCAACAATAATTACATCCATTACTGTGGCGCTACAGCCCATGTAGGGCTTTGGCCTGCCTCAGCACATCCTTCCATAATTATTACAGGCATTGATAAATTGAATATGAATGATAGTGGTGCTTTCTTACTTCTTAGTTAATCATCAGGATTTCCAAGTGAAAAAGTTTTTAAAAAACTCAACAAAACAGAAAATGTGTCACCCACTTACATAATGGTGGACAAAATAAGTAAGAAGAGAAAAAAATTAACAAAAGATTTACTAAGTGAAGAAATACTAAGAATTAGAACTATGTTTATTGATGAATGATAGGCCAGAACAAAATTTAATTTGGTTTTTTACTACTAATTTTAAAAAACACTGTTTTAGTGTGGTAATACAGTGGAAACTGAAAATATTTTTTTTTTTTTTAAAAATAATAAATAAATAAATAATTGGCTGTTGCATTTTGTGACAAGTACAGTTTTTTCTTATTTCATAAAATCTTTGAAATGGAAGTGTTTTTGTTTAACTGCAGTCCAAGAAAACTCCAACATTTATACAATTTAAAGGGTCACCAGTGCTATGAATTAATTAATAAAAATAATGCAGCCCACAAACCACCATTGCAAATTTTTGCCCTGTACTGTAGAGAGAATATAATCTATACTGGGACACGTTTGTGGATCAAACATTGATTCAGAATCTGTTCCAGGTTTTCAGTGTATAGCTTTAAATGAGTGTGTTATAACATCTGAGTACTGCAACTACCTATATTCATCTCTGTCAGTGACTTCACAAGCTGTTCATCACCCAACTGCTGTGACGCTTTCATGAACTTGAGTGTCAACAAATTGTAGGCAAAGTTGAATGTTATCATTTCTCCACCACCATATGGACGCAAAAGGGTATTCTCTGCATTCAGATAGTCCTGGAAGAAACCTGGTGTGACAACATCACCTAAAATAAAGCAAAAACATTTTCATTAAAAACAAATTTAAATAAAAAGATTACCAAAATTTTAAAAAGGAGCACTGCTCATTATAATCCACAAATCAAAATAAACAATATTTCTAACAATCTATAGCAGAGATTAAGTCAAATAAACAAATACAGAAAGCTGTCATAAAAAAAAACTGGTAAGAAAACTGACATTGTTGTAGTCTTGGAAGTCAGTAGTCACATTCTAATAAGGTTTTCAAGATATATACCATTTGCTCCAACCATTGTGCAGACTGTTGCTCATAAATTGGTGCAGTTGAGACTTCAACCACCATTGCACCAACTTGGAACAAAAAAAACTTTTTTGATAAAATCAAATGCAACAAAAAAAACTCACCAAATAAAGATACAACGGCTTCGGGACTCTGTGGTACATACATATTCTCTCGGACTTCAAGCTTTCTGAACTGCTCAGGTACTGGTACATCATATTGAGGAATTTGAATTGAACCAAAACGAATCAAATCAATGAGATAGGGTGTGTGGTAGTAATTCATGACTCCATCAGGCTGAAAGAAACAAACACAAAAAATGAAGAGATTACACTAAGCTTCAACATTTATGTCATTGATCTGTCATCATTTAAAAAAAGGCCTAGCAGCTCAATAAATTATTAATTGATGAAAATAATTAGAATAGATATTCAGATATATCTTGTTAAAATTTCTAACAGGAGCCAAGTTCAAAGAAGAGCTAACACAAAACTAAAAAGATGTATTTACAGTAGCAATGAATTTTAAAAAAAAATGTTTCATTACCTTCACATACATAATTCCTTCATATTGATCTTTCTCCATGAAACAAGTAGCAGATACCCTAAATGTGAGCTTGCCCCGTACAAGATTTTTATTCGGAACAATAGGCATATAAATGTCTTTGGATTCACCAGGTTCTAACTGTAATTTGGAAGGGGACAAAATATATAAATATAGAATAACGATACAGAATTGTTAAGACCTATGAATTTAAACAAAAAACTCTCCATAAGACTGAATATAGAAGTGAATATTTAAAACATGATTGCATTTGTAAACATTAGATGGCAGAGTGTTAAAATGGATTTTACTGGGTTAAAAATTTAACAAATAAAAATGTTTAATTGAATTATTTGTTTTTACTGAAGTGACAACTCACAAAGACTATAGTTTGATGGTCGCCCTTGTGTGTTGGTGGGGTGTAAGAAGTTACATATCCCATATCACCCACTGTAACAAAGTCATAGTCATCACTTCCATGCATTGTGATCAAAACCTTGAACAAAAACAAACAAAAAAGTTAGGGAGAAAAAACATATCTGAAAAGATATTAAACTAAAATTACAGTAAAACAATCTGATATATAATATTGCTAGAAAAACAAAGTCTTCCAAAAACCTAGCTACAAGAACAAATCCGATAGAATTACCTCAAGATAGTCATCATCATACCAGTAATTGAAAACAGTGACTCGGACACCGATTTGCTCCCCTCTTACAATATGCTTGGGATGTTCCACTTGCATGTACATATACCGCGCAGCATCATACTTAAAGCATAATATAAAGGACATCTTATTTATTTTGTTTTTGAACATTAAGAAATGCTAATTTTTTTTACAACTAATTCTTTGCTTTAAATTGAACATTTTAGAAATAAATCATCATGGCAAGTTAAGTCAATGGTCCAGGATTATATAAAATTATAATGACATAGGATTATTTGTTTATTTTTTGTCAACCAAAGCTAAGTATCTTACCCTGACAGGTTTTAACATGATACCCAATCCCAGCTCCCTGCTGACAGACACACCATTTATCACCCAAGACAATGGATATTTGGGTACATCCACACGAAAATCAACACGTCCATCGGGTCTATTAGAAAATAAGCCAAAATAATCAATACTCCATCTACAAAAAGGCATGCTTAAAAGCTCCACTATTAAGTTGAATTTTAAGGTAATGACAAAAATGAAGCATTTATGTCATATTTGGAAAAAGTACTCACTTCACAAAGATTTCTTGCCAAGCCCATGAACTGTTGTCATAAAATCGCATCACCCTACTCACTCTATCCATGGCTGAATTATGGACTTCTCTTGATTCTGGAAACACACCTTTAAAAAAAAAGAATTATTTTTTTTAAACCAAGTGTTAAATCAATAACCTGAAATAGATTTATGTTGATCATATTTAAACTACTTGATTCATTCTGTTGGAAAATTGCAAAAATCCTTGGATTTCTGAACAACTATTTTGTAACCCGTCTTTCAGCATCTGTATATGTGGTACATCATGTGCAAATGGATGTGGTCATTTATAAAAAGTTTCAGTGCCAATCATAAATGTTATAGCTCTATGATAATTGGCAGAAATATATGCCAATGAGTGTACAATTTTCATACCAAAATCAGGGTTGCAGTGACATAAACTATAATAAATCAATTTATTTAACAATATTCAGAGCTTTAAATTTTGAAATCTTCATAACAGGTATTGAATCAAAACCAAAATATTGCCAATTAGTTTCCGTTTTTCCTAAAAAAACATTTATGCAGCCTTTGATTACTGTACAACACAAAGAGAATTATGAATAATTTTTTTTCTTAAAGGCTTGATTGAAAAAAATGGAAGGGCCAAGATCCGTTTAAAATCTGTTGTTTTTTTACTTCTTCAAAATGCAATAAGTGTCCTGACTAAAAATGGATATGCAAATACAATTATATCAAAGACCTAACTTTTAATATTGTAAATGTAAAAGATGATTTGAACATAGACATTAATGTTATTATTACTTACATCCCCATTCATCAGCACCATCGTTTAAGCAGTCTAATTTCCCATCACACCTCTGGGCATCTGTATAGCACTCACTCTCGATGCCAGTAAAACATGGGTGGTTTTTTTGATCTGAACAAAACTTTTCATCTAAAAAGTTTTATTAAAAAAAAAATAATGAGTGAAACAATCTTGTTCGTAGTATATGTATCAATAAAATATAAAATATAAATAAATCAAGTATACCAGTATCCTTATTGCAAAAATCATTTGATAGTTTTTAATCAACAATATATAACACTTAGCATAAACATAAATCACAGGAACCGTCTGATCTAAAATGTTGGTTCTAATCATTTTTATGATGACATTTGACTAAAACATCCTCTCTTGAAATATTCAAATATCCTGTTCGTGAATGTAAAGAAGACATGACATTTCCTTACTGTAAAGCCTAGGGAGCCTGGCATCTGTCATGACCAGCAGACCAGCACTCTAAAATCAATGACAAATTTAATGTTCATTATAAAATTACCTTTTTTTTTGTGTCCCACACATCCAAATTTATGCATCTCGATATGGTACAAATAATATTTTTTTCAAGCTTTACTTATCAAATTATGTATCTACCTGTGATACAAACAACATTTTTCAAGCCCTACTTTTCACCTTTGCTGGTGGTTTCAATGCTTAAAATTTTATTTGAATAAATTCAATTTTAATCAAGAAATAACATGAAACATGTTACAAAACTGCTGTCATCAGCATCAAGCCTCAGCACACTTTCAAGGGAACTTACAAGAAAACTTGTATTAGCATCTATTCCATAATCTGGTCCATTGTAAAATACATATTCATATTCAGTATCACTTGTTCTCCACAACTGGCGATAGCTTCCATTGGTAGTTGCATCATAAGTCATCAACTCATCAATCAGCTGTTTAATTAAACAATTTATTAAATAGTGAAATAATTTTACAACAGTAGTTAGTTATGTTTAAAAGACTTAATATGTGAGCTCTTTCTCACACTGTAAATGAATTGTATGTAACCGTTTACTCTTAAAATGATTAATTTATTTAATATGTCAAAATAATGAACTGTGGGTTGTACAAAGGATATTTTGGTTTTATCTTAATATCAATACTTGCCACAATTTTGCAGCTGAGAAATGAAGGACCTCTTACCACCCTAAACTAATTAAAAGCATCATCCTTATTGGTGTACAACCAGTGGATGAATTTTAAAAAAAAAAGTAGTACAAACCTTGTTCTCTGTGATGCCATCACTCAGACCTCGGCTGTATAAGTCTAACAGCATACCGCTGAAGGAAGCATAAGATCCCGGGTCAGCATAAGCATTAAATTCAATGGTGTCCCGACTGAAGTCCTTTCCACGGTTAATACTAAGTGTCACCTGTTTAAAATAAATGTAGAGGCACATTAAATATCATATAAATTTATAATTGCCAGGAAATGCTTTGATATCCCAAGATATCTATCATTATATTTTTATAACAATTTATCCCAGTTTTAACATAAAAAGGCAGCATTTCTAAGAAAAAAAAATCAGTTAACATAGATTTCATAAATATTACGCTGAAACTTAATATCAGAAGTGACAACAAAATATTATGAAGTCCTTCATTAGCAAAGAAATTAGATTTTATAACTAAACATGATGCACTTTCTTTCAAGTGAAAAGTAGCCTACAACAAGATCTTTAAAAAACAAAAAAAAAACTGAGATAAATGAGAGACAGACAAAAAGGGATTCTTTGCAACTGGTCGAAACCAAACATTAAAAAATGAAATTCTGAAGAAACTAAAAGCAAAATAAGACTTCCGGCTGAAAATGAAACCTAAAGATTTCCATTTCCAAATTCCTCCTCTCACATTGAACCAAAAAAAAAATTTAAGAGAGGGGTGGCGCCTCCAGATAAACATCTAATAAATACTTTGGCTTTTACCATTAGCATTAAAAAGAAATTTATAGTTGTTAAAAATCTATTTTAAAGCAGTATAGTAAGATAAAAATTTGACTTGGCCAAAATTCCTGCAAAATAGACCCCTGGACGTCCTTTACTTTTATAATATAATTACGATGCTACCTAGATATATTTGGTATAAACTGAAAGCTATCGATTGTTTCATGGTACCACCCACTAAAATGTCCAGACATAAGCCTCGAAGGAACTCTTTTTTTCTCTGTTAACCCATACATTTTTGTTTAAACACATGTTCTTATTTTTCGACATTTAAAATTTTCATTTATCCCCAATTATAATTGGTCGGCTAATTCTAGATTCCACCCAGACTGAAAAAAAGTTTTGCGAACGTTGAGCTCCTTTTTAGTATAATAAAACATAATTCTTATATGAAACAGTGATACATGCACACGTGTGTGTAGGCTTATGATTTAAATTAAACAAAATTGAAATAAATTATTATAGTTTTTAATATTACTAAAGGTTCTTTATTCTCTTTCTATTCATTTGTGTCCAATAATGGATATCAGATTGCTGGGCGACAGATACATATAGTAACAGTATGGAATTCTATTAGATGACCAAAGCCTAAATCACTTTCGACCGAAACCACAAATCAGCCAAAAGTTAACTTTCCTGTTTCGGCAGAAAATAAAACGACACTGAAAATGATCTTATAGCAACTTTCGGTGCAGAAACCAAAATTTAATCGGCCTCTAAGATAATTCCTTACCAGATTTTGACGAGTTCCATTAACAAAGAAGTTCAATACGTCAGTGACGATTTCCTCTGGCTGTCTGATGTAGTAAACAACAAGACGAGCTGTAGGAACCATCTCTCTTGACAGAGCTATGGCAAAGGTCTTTTGTCTTGAGGTCATTTCAAGTTGATCACCAATGATGATGTTACTTTGTGCAACAATCTGGTGATAAACATTTGTGTGCAAGTTAAATAAAAAATTTTATCGTGTGGTTTTCAATTGCATCTTCAAACACACTAAAAACTATTTTCTAAAATTCTGTGGCACTCCCGTATAGCATTTAAAAAATTTGTCTTGTGATGACTAGTTTCTAAAATTAAATAATTATTGTAATTGATAACTCAAATGAGGTCAAACTTGCCGAGTATAATGCACAAAAAACTTTTTGACAACTGAAATTTTATTAGTTATATCCCTATCTTGTAACACACCTCGCATTATCTACATTTTGCTTACACACTGCTTGAAAACTGCTGCTATACAAAACTTCTGCTAAACACTATAAGCCTTAATCAGGTCTAAACGAGTGATTTACAAACTTTTCAAGTTGCACAATTTACCATTAAAAGACAAAATTTATTATTGCTTTTGGATTGCTTACTGTGCATCCACCGAATTATGACTCCAAGGCTCAGAAATATTTAGAACAAATTGTCAAAATGCAATTCAGGTAAATTTGTATTTGCACAACAGTTTACTTTTTTAAAACAATAAAAAGAGCATATTAAATAGAAAAAAAAATGCATTTATTTAAAACTAACTTGTTGCAACGTTGAAGATAAAATAATGTTACGTTTACCTGATAGTATATCCTAGGAACAAAGTTGCTCGTCTTAATATGGAAGACCATGTATTCATTGACCTGTGACATATTGAAAACATATTTTATGTAGAAAATTGCATATATTTTATTGTAATCTAGAAATATTTTAAAATTATTGTCCATAAAATCTGAAAATCACAAAAGTTTTCAGTTGTCAAGTTTCCACAATGCTATTTACATATAGTTATGGACTATCCCAGAAAAATTGGTAGAGAGGCAGATATCATAAAAATTTTTCAACATGCCTGATAAAAATATACTGAACCATCCATTATTTTTATTTTAGGATTTAACCACATCAATAACAGATTTTAAAATTTTAAAAAATTTTATGTTACATACTTGCTATTTTAATTAAATTCACATATTAGTCCAAAAGTGGATCATTTCTAATTTTGAATTAATATTTTTTTATACTCTCAATTTAATACATTTCATGCCTTTAATTTAGATATTTTTTCAATGATTTCATAAACATTTTTTTTTTTTTTTAAAATAATAAAAAAAATTAAGGTTTAATTTCCATTATCGCCAGTTAGTACAAGAAAAAACAAAAAATTATATCTACTAGAATACTTTTATTTAATTTGATTAAATATTAGATTATACAAAGAGTTGGTTTTGAAAATAATAGACTTCAGGGAACTAGTCATAATTTTAAAATCCACAAAATAATGTGAGAATCAATAAAGTACCTGTGGACTATCAGTGGATGTCAAGATTGTGACATAAGAGTTGGTAGGCGAATAGTAGCGATATGCACGAAGTGAGATCGGTGCAGTGTTGCCGATGTTGAACCTGGGGTCAAGGTATATCTTATTGTCCCCACTGTATTGTTTTCTTGCATCTAAATAAGTTGCCTGAAAAGTGAATAACAAAAGGAATATTATATTTATAGAAATATTAAAATGGTTCCAAAACTAAAACTTACTTAACATTCAAAATGGTTAAATCAGAAGAGATTGTAATTCAATGAATTTTCAATAAACTTGCAAGCTAAGTGGGGGAAAATTATGTAATTCTATTTATATTAAAGACATCAAGGATAGTAAAATTAATGCCCCATGCATAATTGAAATTTTTTTTACTCATTATTTTTAGCACTATGTACAATTTTTGTAATAATGATTCGGTAAATGTTCAGTTGGATGCTTCCACTTAAATTAGCAAAATTTAAAAAAAATGATTATTGATGTGTTTTGCTTTTTTTTTAATAGTGTAGGATTTTCTACAAAAAATTAATTGATCAAAATGTTATATTCTATTTTTGTAATCTTTTTAGCCTCCCAAGCAAAAAATCCACCATTAATCTGTTAAACACGAATTAACTGCCCTCATTTTTAAATAGAATTAAATGACAATAGAATTGCATAGAATAGATGTCTTTTGTTATCCATCAAAAGACTACAAATAACTGATACAAACAGAACGAGTTGTCATTCAGACACATAAAATATTGATAGCCAATAGGCTTTCTTTCAACTTTCAGATTCTAGTTTATGGCTGTTTACGAACATTCCTGTCAGGCCAAGAAAATATCTGATAAGAACATACTAATTCTACCTGGATAATTTTGTATGCAACATTTTTAATCTCTTGCATGCTGTTGTTGAACATTTTTATTGGATGTTTAAAGGCTCACTAATTTAAAAATCTTTTGAAAGCACTGTTTGGCACTTATCAAATATTGGGTGCATCCCAAAAAAAAAAATCCTGATTGATCAATAGATTTGCTGTGATTCAAATTACTTACAGTGAGTAAAACCGTCTGGGTTGAGGCACTAAGGGTATACTCAAATTCAGCAATGCCCTTTTTGGGTGTTCTGGTCTGAGGTCCAGAGAGTCGCCCACTATGTCCTGTATTGTCTGTGATGAGATCAGTTAGAGTAACAGTGCCACCAGTTTCAACAGGAGTGCCATCATATTTTGTCACTGCCACCTGGACAAAATGAACAAGTATTATAATCATTTCAAGTTCAGTTTAAGATATTCATCAAGAGAGTGAAACACGTTTAAGCATGAGGTATAGTAAAATTTGAATTGGGGGCACACTTGATTTTTTTTTAAAGCGTAATAAAAATGTCAAGCTTTAAGAAGCTCATGAATTTTTATGGACCCCTCAATCAGAAAAAACTTTTTAAATAAAGGTGTTAACAAATTATATAAAATTGAATTAAATATTTTAAAATAAAATGTTAATAGTACAATTAGTTATTGAACTAACGGTATTCATTTAAAAATGATGAAATAACTATTTTGCACACCTGAATTCTCATAATTGATGATGGTTTGAATGTTCTGATAGGATCTCCGACCCACTTGAGTTTAATTTTTGAATCAAATAATATAGTCCCTGCCCATCCTGTACGATTTAGACCTGAATACCAATCCGAGACATTGGCAAAGAAGACAAATTCACTGTCCACTAGTGAGCCACTTTCTCCTCCTCTTTTAGCTATATTCATTAACTCTTCAAGTGACCATTCAAAGTCTATACGACCCTCAAACTGAAAGCATAAAGATTTGATTTTTTTCATTAAAGACTAGAGCAAATAAATTAATACTTTTTTTTTTACTATTTGAGATTTTAACCACTGATATCCTTTATGTGCATTTCTTCTAGAGCGCAATGTTAGAAAACACACTCAAATACATTAATTTATTGGATATCATTTAATTTTCTTTAACCAACAAAAAAATTTCCAACAAAAGTTAGACCTATATTTATTTACGCATGCTCCTTTTTGTCAAAAGGACAAAGAAAAATTTAAGAATTAAAACCATAAATAAACTGATAATGCAATAAAGTTGCAAACAAAATAAACAATTATGCACACAGAATATAAATTAAAAGTGGTAAACTTATAAAGTTATAAATAAATGTGTACTGTTGATTTTGAAGTGCCAGAGTTACATGAATAGAGGCAAGTTTTAATGAAACCCAAAAATTCAACTTACATATTGTATGAATCTATATTCATAAGCAAAATACATGTAGTAGTCTTTAACTGGGATTGAGTGTACAGGCTTATAATCCGGAAGCTCTGTTGGTATTCCAGATTTCTGGTTAAATCCACTTTTTTGTGCATCCCAATAAGGCTTTTCCCAGCCTTTTGTTCTATTCCAAATTTCCTCACGAGGTCGGAAGAATGCAGTAACAGAGGCATTGCCTACACAAGGTCGACCACTTGTGTGGCTGGTTGATGGAAGCAATAGAAGGCAGTGAAAATGAAGCATAATTATAAATATAAGAAAATAACCACTATTTAGATCAAACATTCTGGTTTGGTAAATGCTTTATTTTGTACATAAAATAAATGTTTATAAAGTACAAATGAAATTATTTTGTCATTCTTAAAAAATCTTGAAATAGTCATGATTCAATAATATTTAAAAAAATGAGATGAGCAAGGTTAAATTAAAATAAATTGGAATAAATAGTCATGTTCTCAAAAACTCATAAACATACTGAATAGAATGCTGGTATTTTAAAAAAATAATTTCTGTTTCAAAAATCAAAGTTATCTAGACACAATGACAGAAGTTTGTCAATGAAGTTTGTAATCCAAATAAAACAAGAAGAGTAATGTCACATCTGACAATCCCTCATTCTGTACAGACATGCAATAACCATCCATAGATAAGTACCGTAAATACTCGTCTATAAGTCAATCTCGCCTATAAGTTGAGGGCAGTTTTTTTACCAACAATTATGAAATATGTTATGACTCTTGAATAAGTTAAGGGTAGAACTTGGGGCTATGAAATTCTGGGATGTGTATAATTTTGTCAGATTTTACCTAGCAGCAATCACTGCACTGTATACTAAACTATAGCCAGTGTCATTGGGCCAACGCTTTCTTGAAATGGGTGATCATGTGACATACCCACGATTTATACCAGAATCCTCACTCCTCCAAATGATGGAAGCTGACGGACTCAGCAGTGAGCTAGGACACATGTGGCTTAGTATCAGATTTCAGTCATGCAATTCACAATTCACTCTAAACTGCCCAGCATTCAATGTACTCAATTCTATTGAAACTAGCACTGACCTGCTGTTAAGTCAACTCTGTGTTTTAAAATGAATTTATCGTCTACAATTTCTCGACATACACAAGAATATAAACGGTATCTATGAGTTCTAATGAAGATCAACTAAATATTTTTCTAAATGCTAAACTTTCAATATTCTCTAAGAGTTGGAATTCTTTTTTTGAAAATTGCATTTTCAATTAAATTCATATCTTTGAAATTTTATACAATGTAAATATTTATAATGCTAATCTGGAGAAAGAAAAGCAAAGGACTTCCTCAAATATGCACCAAAAAAATAGCAAACAAACATGAAAAGCCATGACTGGGTATATAGTTCTTGATGGAATATACGAAAAATGACAACTCTCTCTCACCACCGTTACCCAATTTAAGCTTAATGTTTGCTTTAAAAATACATAACAATAAATGGATGGACTCACTTGGCTAACATTACTCCACTGATCTTAACATCTGGGGTCTCCATAACATAAGGAGGCACTGATACATTCACATCAAAGCGAGGCTCCCCTGAAAGTAGATAATCAAGTTTAAAATGGAAACTTCTTTAGACCTGGATCCAATAATTTAAAGAATGTTGCACTGCATAAAGTTGAAGAAGATTCAGAATAAAAAAACATAGTTGCATTTGTGGTGTTTTTAACTGCTATATAGCATATGACAGGTTAAATAAATGCTTACAAAATGTTAATTTCAAATTAATTTCAAACTGTTGTATCTTTATTATATATATATATGTACTTACAAAAGTCTTCCACAATGAATGGATGTCTGTAAATATGACCCTGTCAAAGATTTTAAAATTATATATTTTAATGAAGCCCTAAACATTTATGCACCAGGAGAAGAAAAAAGACTGTAAATTTAGTATGAGATCCTAAAAGATTATGGACAAACACTAAGGCTAAGGGTAGACTAAAGATAGTCTGAGACAGCATCTACCAGTTAATCTTTCAACAGCCAAGGATTTGCCTAATGAAATCAATGTATTCTGTGAACAATTGTATCTTCTTAACCCTCTGCCCTTAATTCAACTTACGAAGGCATCAACTCTGATGTTCCAAGTTCCAAAGTTAGGTTGATCTGACAGCATAAAGCTCTGACTCACAATGCCTGGTCAAAAAAGAATGAACATTAGATATTCCATGTAAATGATGGCTGTCCTTTTAATGAAGGTGTAATAACATACAGAAATGAAAATACATTTTGGTTAATATATCCATATAGGGAGTTCCAGAAATTTTAACTAATAATTACTAATATAAAACTAAAAATATAATCTATTGCTTTCATGTTAATAATGGCTACTAAAGCTTGAAGCTTACCTCCAGCATTAGTCTGCAAACCTTGCCAGCGCCGTACAGGGATGCCAGTAGGATCCTGGGAGTTAATTATTAATAATCAATACTAATTTTCAGTGGATACATCTTTTATCAATTATACAAATTTTTTAATAAAATATATTTTAAAAAAATATTAAAAATGTTAAACTCTAAAATTATTTGAACATAAAATTGTATAAAAATATAATTATACTCTATTGAATGTTTAATTACATATATAACTTACATCAACGTAAACAACCATGCTTCCATACTTGGGCATCATATTGGGTAAAATAGGGATGATGCGGAATTGTACTGTGAAATGTATGATATTTGCATGGTTATATTCTAACAACTAAACTAACATTTATTAAACAGTGAACAAGCATGACGCAAACAAATGTCTACTAAAGCAGAAACATTTAGGCTCATGTCATCCTATACATCTTGAAATAACATTTTTGCAGCATTTTAGATAGTGCAATTTCTGTAATTGTGTTTGGAATTAGATTTTGAAAATTGTGGACTATTAAAGTGTAAAATTAGATTTGATGTAAAGCAGACTATTAAAATCTATGTAAAGCCGACTATTAAAGTCTATGTAAAGTGGACTATTAAAGTCTATGTAAAGTGAACTATTATAGTCTAAATTAGATTTTGATATACAGTGGACTGTTAAATTCAATTATTTTTGACTGCCTGCTCTCCTTTGTAAACTAACATCTAATTAAATTGTTACAATAAAAGAGCTTTAACCTCTCTGCCCTTGTCTGTAAAGAGGCCTGCTCATTTGCAGAAAGAGAGATGCTTGCTTGGTGCTGAAGTCAATGTCTGTTTCATTCTGCCAGATGTTACCAGTGTCTTGTTCATTTAGACGACCCTCTACCCTGAGCCTGTACTGTCCTTCTTGTGCATTAGATGGCATCTAGAAATTCAATACAAAATGCAAAGAGAAATATAAAATTATATAATATTTACGTAACAGGTTCTGTGTGTGTTAAACATTACCAAAAGGCCAAACCTATAGTCAAAATTTCGGGGTAAAATTTATTAGGATATTGAACAATAAATGAGAAAAAAGGCAAACATTTTGTTTCTCATCTTTGTCTTACAATTCGACAATCAAGTGAACAAATGAATAAAGTCATTTATATTTCAAGCAAGTTAAAGGTTTTAATTTAACAACAGTAATAGCAAAATAATATCGCGCTAAGTTCATTTAAATACTTTATCGGACAACTCAACATCTTTTAAGGAATATTTTCATCATCAAATGTCCTCATTAATGAACTGTTTAATTTACCTGTAGCTGCATAATACGACTGGATGGCCGGTCAAAGCGTAAAGCGGTATTAGCATATTCTGTGTCTCCTTTGATGATGGACACTATGACATGCACAAACTCCTGCTTGTACTCCATCCTTAGAATTGTTGCAAATATCTGAAACACCTGATTGGGTCTTATTTTCCTCGGGGCAATGATGAGGTATTGTCTGGTAGAGAAAACAATGGTGATAGGAAAAACATTTTACAACTAAATCCAAAACAACACAATTACTGTTTCATTTAAAATTCACTCAACATGTTTTGTTATTAAAAGTCTGCAATTTTTCTTTCTTGATTCTTAAAGCTTACGGTGATCGTGCATATGAGCATCCAACACTTGTGTCAATGAGGCAGTTTTCTTCTCGCGGCGGCCCTCCACCAGACTGTGAGGCCGTAAGCGCAATTAGAAGCGCCCAGCAAGCTAATTCTAGCCACATTTTGCAAATCTGGACAAAAAAATTTAGAAACAAAATTCTTAACTTTTCTCCAAATACAACTGTAAAAATATATAAAAAACTAACACTTAAACACAGTATTTTAATCAATCACTTCTTTCAAACTGTTTCTTCTTATTACCCAGAAAAATCATAGAAACATCTCTGAATTTGTAGGCCTTGATTATATCCTACTAAATATTGTTAAATTGTGATGACTGGTGTTCAAAACAAGGGGATGTAACTTCAAAAAATCATGCAATTTTTCAGCACATTCCTCTTGCTGTCCTCGCGGATACTACATTGAAGCAGAGTGTTTATTTTTATTTAATATTGTTTTTAACTGTTGTTTGTTTGCCCTGAAGGATTCCTTCCAAGATATTTGTTAATTTGTTGCATCCTTTTTTCAGGTTTTCCCCTACTTTGTTTCACTCATTTCCAATTTTTCAGAACTGGAGAACAGGGAAAATTGTATCTCTAAATCCATAAACAGCTCCTATGTAGATACCATGCCTGACAGATGACTTGAGTGATTGTTGACATCACAAATGCCATCTGCCTGGGATTATTTGCTTTATTATTAAAGATTACCATCATGATGCCCTTGCCAGTTTAAGTTAGTTTCTCAAAACTAGTCTTTGCCAAATGCTATTAACCTAAAGGCTTACGTAACAAGTCATGAAAATGTACCGTCCAGAACGACTGTTAATGTTTTAATGCGTGTAGGTGACTAGTCTTAGACAGTATGAATCGTATGAATATCAGTAGGCCAACGTGTGTAGGTGACTAGCCTTAGACAGTATGAATCATATGAATACCGCCAGTAGGCCAACGACTGGTCTGGAGCAGCATTTCCCAACAAGCCATTAAGTTTGTTGGATTGGCGGACCAGTTTTGAAATGGCACCAGGGACCAAGGCCAGATTTATTGAATAATTATATTAAAACCATCAATTTTTATGTTGCACTGACCACCATTTGGGGAAACCTGGTTTAGAGGATACACGGGATAGAGTAAGTGTGAGAGAGATGTTTAATGAAAGCCACCCAATTGAATACCTCTCTTATTCTTATAATTACAACTAGCTAATATTAATTCTTTAAGGGAAAAATGAATAGTAAGATAAAAATAAATTATAGTGATACAAATGTAAAGATGATGGCTTTTCAATAAAATGATTGACTCAATCTATTTCACTATTTTTACAATATTACTATTAAGACTCTCAGTAGTCTCAGTACTATACATTATTTATACTGTGTATTACAGTCATTATTAATATTATTAGTATTGCCTACATTCTACATATTTCTTGGCCTATGCCTTTGCAAATATTTTAAATTACAGAATAAACTTAAATAAAAGATTATTCATAATTCCTTATTTTATGCACTTTGAAAAAATATAGCATATGAAACCCGTAGATAAACAGATATATTTGATTTTCAATTTAATTATGGCATTTCCTGGTTGGCACCTGTACCGCCATTTTGTTGAGTCCTTATTTATTACTTTATTAGTGATGATAGTATAGCATGCCTGCCCCATAACTTTACGGGTTGTTGTGATATTGATAACTCTTATTTCAACACAAATAATATTTGTTTTAATTTTTTTTTTTAAATTGTAAACAAATATATGCCTAAATAGGTATATTATTAAGTAGAAAGCCGTAAAAGTTCTCACCTGTAGTGGCCTATTTAAAAACATTTGGTGTGTAATGACACCATTCGCGTCAAGTTTAAGGACGCTGTGACGGGAAGGGAATGGGTGACAAAAGTCAATATTTCCAGTTTTGGCGATATCGGATCAAAATAGTAATTTACTAAAAACGTTTATTCAAAATAATTATATTTTAAAAGCTCATTCGTGAACTCATTTAAAACTGTTAAAACATTTAATTTTGCTTATAATTTAATAATGTGATATGATTATGAAGTAAGAAATTTATTTAGTACTCAGTGTAAAGCCCAATTATTAATAATTAATGTTGAGTATTGCAAAAAGGAGTTGGGGGGGGGGGGTAATTTGATAAAATAAGATGTTTAGTTAATTTAGTTAAAACTTTAATATATTCATTTGTACTTTTTATGATCATAGCTATTGACGCTTTGCTGATATAAAATGTATACATTTTTGTGGACGGAAAGGCACACTATTATTTTTTAAGGTTTGTGAAATTTTATTACGAATATTATGACAAATTAATATTAAAAAGTGAATGGTAGGGAAATTATAATGTCTAATTTTAAAAGTTTGATCGCACCTTGCAATTATTCCTGTGAAAAAAGAATCAATGAATAAAATACATTTTAAAAATAGTTTCATACATGTTGTTTTTTTTAAAATCCGGGGATGGTGGAATGCTGAACAAGCGACTGGAAAAACGAAAGTAGGAAATGTTTATTTTATTTGGCTTCGATTATATAAGCGTGTTATTTATTTATTTACCCAAAAATTAAGCATAACAAGTATTCTTGGTCGTTGTATCCCAACATCTGCTTACAAAGTATTTCTTTCATAATTTATCGTCATATTATTAGGCCAATAACATAGTTTTTTTCTCTCGATTTGCAACCCAAAGTTGTGCGGGAGAAAGATAACTCAATATTATCTTTTTGTAATAAACGGTTGATTATGGATCGTTTCCCTTGCATTCTAGAGCGTAATAAGTATAAGGGGAGAGACTGCAAGACTTGTGTTTCGATGTCTTTTGGTGCGTTTTAGAGTCACACATTCAACTGGTGAAGCTTGGTGTTGGTTTACATTCTCTTACGCTTTTGCAGCTATGTATTTGACTTTTGAACAGTAGCTCAAGGTACCGTTAACTTGGGCAGTTGCCCAGGACGCCTTGTGCTTAGGCTTAGGGCACCATCACCAATCTTCCAAAATAGGAAAAATCATGGCATATGTGCATGCGGGTGCCTTGGAAGAAAAATTGAAAGTGAAATAAAAAGATCTGCTGATACTGATATTTTGAAGGCTTAAAAAAAATGTTATGATGTAATCGGTAGGCTAATTGTTCATCTGTCCAATTACAAGTTAAGAAAAAGAATTATTATAGTTCATTGTGTGTTTAAAATAAAACAACGTATGTAACAAACTCATTACATATTCCCTAGTTTTTTACTTGCACAAATTTTTACGATTATACTTCAAATTTAAATGGGGCACCACAGTTAGGCTTTACGGGGTCCAGCAACCAGATATAACACTTTGATATCTTTGTACTCTGTCTTCTACTTTTTTGATGTCACAGTGGAATGAAGTGGAATGTGTCAGTCCTAGTTAAGTAATTTTTAATTAATGAATATTGGGTAGTAGTTCTAGAAGTATATAGTATAATTTAGTATAAAATAATAAATCTAAGGTATCAATTGAAAAAAATGAGTAAGTAACACTGAAGGAGTTTCCCCCCCTATGTTCCCCAAGAGCAGCCCCAGGAACAGCCCGGGAAGCATCCCATTTGACCCCACTTCCTCTCCATGTTTGCTACTTTGCTAGGTTTGTGTTTAACTAGTTAAATATATTATTAGAGCCTAATATTTACTTATAATAAATAAATACAAAATCATATTATCCTTAAGGAAACCACGTTGTACAGTTTAATGTGATTACTATTATTATTCCATGTGTTTATTGAGCAGTTTGTAAGATGCCTAAGCAGGGCCGCACAAATAAATGGACACAGGATAAAGATTCCAAAAAATTTGTAATTTTAATTGTTGTTTTGCTTAAACAGAATTCAAAATAGACATATGAGCCATCAAGGTTTTGAAGAAAGAATTATTTTAAAGACTTGTATTTACACAAAATCACCTGTTAAAAGTTTCATTGAGATGACAATTTTAGTGTCATCTGGATGACAATTTTAGTGTCATCTGATTTCGGTTGCTGACATCTGATGCACATTTGCATGGCCCTGGAGATTTTGTTACTCCTCTTGGTAGTTGTCCCATTTAGCTTGTAGATAGACTTGCATCCCATCTTTTTACCTGTAGAAAAATGGTCATGAAATTTCGCTTTAGTTTAAAATGCTAACCATTTGCAAAGCCAGACAGCAGTAGTATTTCGTACGTAAAATTGAAATGAAATTGATTTATTGGGATTTGGATGTTGTCAGAAAAAGTTTATACAACAAATCGGTCATGATTATGATAGTTTGGAATAGGATAAATTTTATTATAATATTTTGTGGTTATAAACTATACAAAACATGTATGCAACATATTTATTACTTTTAGTTAACAATACTTACCCATCATGTTTTGTTAACATTTATTATACTTTGCAGCTCAGTTTTGCCAAATACTTTTATGATGGATATTATGTCCAAAACAATTTTGGAATTTATTTTTTTAATATGTTCATTTTATTTTCCACAGTTTTTCACAAATATTTCTCAAGGAGGTTGCCAGCAATTCTTTAGAATTTTCAGTTGCCTTGAAAATACAGGGCAAGAGGAATTCAGAATGAGTTTCATAAGCATCATATGTGAAGAAGCCATTCCTGGTTCCATGGAGCATGGAGTTTTAAATTTGATCCTTGTTAACTTTTGGTAAGGAAGGAAATAATAATGCCACCCCACCCTTTTGATTCTCAGTGTAGTTAATTTTCTCTTTATAATACCTGAAATGAAATGATTTATATAATATAAACTTTCCTACATTTTCAAATCTTTATTAGATAAGATTGTTGTTTTTTTTTGTGTGGTTTTCTTCCATTATCAGAATAAATGTTAAGATTATTATTAAGTTAATATTTTTCTTCCCTGTTGAGCAAAGATGACTTTGTTTTCTTCATGATGAAGAGGGTCAAGTTCACATTTTCATAAGTGTGTGGTTAGCATAATTTACTTAAGTATTTCCAAAGAGTTTGGGGAAAAAGGGGGGGGGGGATTTTGTAATGTTATAAACTTAACAATATCTCAATAATCATTGCATTAAATGAATATTTTATTGCATTTTACAATAGCATGGGATGTGTCAGTTCATAGGCTTTTCTTTGATAACACATATGAGAGTGGTCTTTCTCCAGTTTGAGCAAAGTTTTGTGTGGCCAGCTCAACCAATATTTAAAATTTAGTATCAATTCTTCTAATGATTAATGTTGATTTTAAAAAGTATATTTCTATTTCTTTCTTTGACAACAAAATTGGTACAATTTAAAAAAAAAAAAATTGTATTCTTATCATACAAAAACTTCAAAGAAGACATTTAGGCTACCACATTTTTGTATTGTTGTGATCACTGATTTACACGTTTTTATTTCTGCTATACTACTTACTTGTATCCAATTTCATCAAGCTGTTTCAATTTCCTATGCATCTTTTCTTTTGCCAATTATTTTAAACCTTGTTCAACTAATACAACGGGTAGGAAAATTAAAACGATCAACGAGTACCAAAAAAATAATTGCCCAAAAAGTCACATTAGTTCCATACGCTGCTATTGTCAGGCTGTGTTGTGTTTTAGTCAATGATTAGCCTCACTTATCAGTGAGTCAATTCTCAAAGTTCTTGTTATGGGTCGGCCATTATCTGTAAAGGCTACAGGGAACTTGAAAATAAGATAAAACAATGGAATGGTCTCTGATAAAATCAAGCATCTCTAAATTAGTGGATTTTTAGGTGTTTGTTTTTTTAAACATTATTTTGTTACAAAGAAATCAGAAATTTCAAACATCAAGAACCAAGACCTATGTTAAAACAATGAACCTAGATTTTACCCCTAGATTAAACAATTTTGAATAGAGAAAATTAAAATAATTTTACATATTTTTTTAATGTTTTAATTGATATTTATTAATCTTTATTAAGGTTAAATTTATATTTAAACTGTAAATGAAAGTTTGTTTTCATGGTCCGGTTTATTTGAAGGTGTGTGTGTACAGGAGTTCCACTGATAAATGAACCAGGGGCATAGCACTCAAAACACTTCAGTAATTGAAGGAGATTGATAAGCACCCATTTGGGATTAGTGTAAAACCTTGAAAAAACATGACCAGAAAAGCATTAGAGAAACCTCCCTGAAAGCTTCTTTATAAGACACAAAAGCCAACTAGTGATATGTAATTATTTTGATAATGGTCAGGTCATTCAAAAGCTTTTCAAACATGATATTTTAAAAATTGACTGTTTGCAATTCAGTGATAATGAAGTCCCTTGAAATGCTAATTCTTTACTTATTTTTACTTTTACCCAGAAAAAAAAAAAATTGTTGTTTCTATAAATAAAATATTTTGTTGTTCATTTTGCAAAAAAAATAATAGGTTATATTATATTGGTTGTGGCCAAGCAATATTGACATCATTTTTTAATTATAGGCCTATAAGTTAGGGATTAAAGTACAATGGTCAAAGTAGAAACATGGCAAAGCTACAGGGACGTTCTTTGATGCACTTGAATAAATCTCATGCATTCCTGGCCCACCAAATTGCAGAGGGACATTGCTTAAACATGAACTATCCCCACCCCAAAAGCACACACCAGTTACCTATAAATAATATTTGGCATACGCAAAAAAAGCAGTGTTACTGTATTTTAGTGATGATAAAATATTTTTAAAATATAACCAAGCCTTAGTTTTAGTCATGTAGCTGTTATTATCAATTGGGGTCATAGACAAAATGGCGGAATAAAGATGCTTTTCCATAATTTAAACTTTTTTTGAAATGGCCATGCCTTTTTTCAGTGTCGAAATTTCTATATTTGTGAAATAAAATTGTTTTGAAATCTTCTACCCAGATGTGAACCATAAAAGAGTTATTTTTAGAACTTGGACTGTGATTTTTGTGTTCATTGAAATAATGTTTTTATTTGTTTTTTCTACTGTGCTCCTTGCATCAACAGTCTGTGGCCAGGCAGTAAATGATCATTGCCTTATTGAAAATCTATCAGGATGTTCACTTGGGAGACCACCGTAAGTACAACTTTTTTTTCATATTTTAAAGGGGTCATTAAGGTCTCTTTGTATTTTATGCTAAAAAAAACTTAAAAGTAAACATTTATATTTACCGTTAGGTTACTTCATTGTTACCTGTTTGGATATGTTTATGTCTTTAATGATTAAACATTAATGATTAGGCATGATTCCTAAATTTGTTTTGAAAAAAATGTAGCTTTTCAGACACTCAGTTCTCAGTATTAGGATTGCTCAACAAATACATTTGATCTGTAGTGATTAAAACTCATGCATTTGACATTTTACAGGTGCAAAAAATATTTCTTATGTGTTAAAATTAATTTTATTAATTTAGATATTAGAATTGTTTTGCAGTGTTAACCTATTTCAAAGGTCTCCAATTGGTTTTGCATAATTCATTTTTTGTCTTAATGGTTCTGTTTCTCTTGTGCTCTGAGAAGTGTATCTTTGTTTTCATTTAGAATCTACATGATAATGGCACCAAGAAGAATAAGAGCAGAGCAAGTGTTCCAGGTGTTTGCCACAATCTTACGCATGGAGTATGGGGAAAGTGCCATCAACCTTCGCGTGTCGGTTGTCCAAGACAACAAGGAATATGCCAGCAGTGCCTTGAGATTTGAACGTCCATCCAGTAGACTTTTGCAGCTTCAGGTCAGTGATTCTCGTCTCTCTCTCTCTGTTGTTATGGTAAGGGTTAATTTGCCAATACTGTAACTTTTCCTAACATTAAGTCATTTAATTACATGATAGGTAAATAGCGTTATTTAACTAAGTGAGGAATTTTAACATGTTTGTCTTGTAATTTGAATGGGTTTTTGTTTTTAATTTATGGTAGAATTTTATTTGAGTCTTATGATTTTGAATTTGAATTTCATGACATATGGTAGTCTAGCTAGAAAAATCTATTTTAAATAAATCTTTTTAAGAGTGGCAGGGGGTTTTAGCGTTGCTAGTTTATTTAAACTACCTTGCAAAAAATTTCATGGGCTACTCTCATGACTTAAAAGTTAATCTAATAAAAAGACCTTTCTTTCACCAGATGCCATCAAATGCAGAGTATGGACAATATAAATTAAGAATTGAAGGCCGTTTGGATGAACTTGTGAGTGGAAATGTGTTTTTCAATGAGACAGACATTGAGTTTACAGCCAAAAGGGCCTCAGTGTTCATTCAGATGAGTAGACCTATTTACAGACAAGAACAAATGGGTGAGCAAAGTTTACTTTTCTGAAGCTTCTATTATCAGATCACATTGTGCTTGTCATCATTGACCTTCAGTTGTTTGATGTGTACCTAGTGCATGAGAATGGAATAGTTATTGTAAGACTCACAAATTATGGATTAAATGAGAGCACAATATAAAAATATAACATAAAGACTGTCTTTGATTTTTTTGCAGTTCACTTCCGTGTCATCCCAGTAAAGCCTGACTTAATGCCAAAGTACGGCAATCTGATGATCTACGTTGAGGTATATTGAATTTCTTAAATTAAAGCATGTATTATGAATGTGCTTTCATGTAACAAATACTGACAACCAGCTAGGTATCTTTCACATTATAGCTCCCCTATCTTACCCAACTTAATATTTACACCAAACACTCAAAGCCTGTGTATATTGATATAATTTACATTTGTCATAAATAGTCCCTTTTAAGTCCTTGTTTGCTCAATAATCTGTAGGATCCATCTGGTATATCTGTGAAAAGATGGCAAGGTCTACAAACAAATGCAGGTGGAATTGTCAGTGAGAGCTTTCAGCTTTCCGACCAGCCCAACTATGGAATCTGGAATATTCGTGTGGATGCCTTTGTAGGTTGATGCTACTTACTTGTTACTTTTTTAATTTAATTAATAATTTGATATCTATTACATATCTAAGTAAGTGAACTAGAAAGGAAAAAAAAAAAAGGTCATAAGCTTTATGGGAAATCCTGATTTCTTTAATGTCAAGTTATGAGCACATGTCATTTAACAGTGGTTCTCAACTGGACTCACAATTTTAATCAAAGGGCGTCTCTGAGCTGTGACCTTTAACTTCTTGACCTAAAACAAAAACATAAATTATGTTTGTGAATGTGACGTTTGCTAGGTTGCTAGGATTGATCTGGCACATTGTGTTATGCATGTTCTTATGGCATGATCAAATGACAATAAAAAATTGAATAGAACCACCAATTTTCTGCATGAACCTGAAAAGTCTTCTCCAGAAGAACAAGTCAAAAGCCTGTTTTCTCAGGTCTTTGAAAAAAGATGAGGCAAATTATTATTCACAACCCTCGGTCTTCTACTTTTTGACTAATCTTATTTCAAATATATACAATGATATTTTGGTCTATGTATCACTCCTTTAAAAAAGAAGCCTTGTATACAATGATATTTTGGTCTATGTATCACTCCTTTAAAAAAGAAGCCTTGTATACAATGATATTTTGGTCTATGTATCACTCCTTTAAAAAAGAAGCCTTGTATACAATGATATTTTGGTCTATGTATCACTCCTTTAAAAAAGAAGCCTTGTATACAATGATATTTTGGTCTATGTATCACTCCTTTAAAAAAGAAGCCTTGTAATCAAATTTTTTATTGAGCTTGCCATCTTTTATTTTGAAACATTCATTTAATAGCCTCTCCATCATGATTGTATTATGTTTTTAAACTTTTTCAGGGGGTCACTTACAGAAGACCGTTTATCGTGGAGGAATTCTGTAAGTTTGGTTGCTTCTTCTCTTTTAATGACTAAAGCTGCAAAGTGTTTCATTCTAAAAGCTGGTCTCGTCAAACCCGTTTCAGAAGTTTTATACTATGAATGCAAAACCATATTTATAAAAAAATTATTTTTAGTATTCTTACCGTCAAAATTTTTACTTTGATCATTGATGTTTAGGGGAACCAAGATTTGATGTGAATGTTTCTGTACCAGCTTATGTCATGGACAATGCTACAGCCTCTATTCATGGAGTTGTTCTTGCTAAGTATTCACATTTGTCTAACATAATTCTTTCATTTCCAAACCACTGATTTTCTAAGAACAAATCTAAATTAGGTCATAAGAATAGTTGGCATTTGAACTATAAAATGGAGAAGCCTGACTGCAGTCAAGCTGGTTAAACAGCCAAACAATCAATGTGTCTCATTAATCTTAATGATTGAAAGTTGGAAAGAAATTAGTCTGTAAAATATTTTTTAAATTTTAATTTTGTTTTAAGGAATTTCAAACGTGTGTTGAAATAGCAATAAAATATTTGAAAGTGAAAGGAGTGAAATGTTAGAATTCTTAATGACATGTATTTCAATATTTATATTGTTATGTGACATTCCAATGCTAGCCACACGAGTGGACGTTCCTGTGTTGGCAATGGATCCATAACAGCATTTTTCCTCCCCCGGGAAGAGATTTGGAATGCAACACGTGGGTGGGAAAAGCCATACCATGATGCTGTGAACTCAGGATCCAACAAAATATCTGGTGTACCTGTAGAGTTGCCACCATACAGAAGCGTCAGCAGTATATCAGTACAAGACTATCATCTCTATTTTGCCTATGAGTATCGATTTATTGACTATGTGAGTCCATGCATTTAATCTTTTATAGGTATCAGGGGGAAGTCAATATTTTCATGAAGCTTTATTGACATAAAGTTCACAGTAGTTTATTTGATTGCCCAGTGGTTTATTTGACTGCCCAGTAGTTTATGTGACTGTCCAGTAGTTTATGTGACTGTCCAATAGTTCATGTGATTGCCCAATAGTTCATGTGACTGCCCAACAGTTCATGTGACTTCCCAATAGTTCATGTGACTGCCCGATAGTTCATGTGCAGAAACTAACTGGAGAAGAAATACTTTTAAGAAATTTAAAATTAATTAAAATCCTCCAAAAGTTTTTTTAAATTTGTTGACAGGGTTTATGGGGCATTAAGTGTTTCTGTGATTGCCAGTGGTTACAGTTTGATGCTTTAATTCATAGTTTTACTATCCATAAATCTATATACAACTTGAATGGACAGGCTTGAAATGTTGCACATAATTATTATTACTATAGACTATTGTAACATCATTACAAATTTATTCAACCAGTATTATAATCTTAAATCATTCAAAACAATTAACAACCATAAAATTGCACAATTGACGTGTTATAAATATTTTAAAAATCCCTCCACAGTTTAAAGGTCGAATTGACTTTGAGTGGACACATGATGAGTTGTTAAAAATAGCCACCAGAGGGGGAGAATCCAAGGCTATAGTCAACAGTGAATTCATGTTCTTTGCCAACATCACCGACTGGTACTCTGGTCTCAACAGAACAGGTTGGGCAGGGACCATTATGTTTGATGATGACGTCACACTCAAGTGGGTTGGCGGAAACATAAGGACGTTCAAACCTGGCTCCTTGATGAAGATACAGGTAGAACCAAGTTGTTTGTTGAAGCAGGGAAGGCCAGTACAACATGAGCAGAAATACTTTCATGAAGGCACCCATTCAGACACACCCATTCAGAAACACCCATTCAGACACACCCATTCAGACACACTTAGGTATAAGAGAGGCCATACTTCTGAGAGGTGTCCAGCAATGCTATAGATAAGGCAACACCTGGTACATCTGGGCAGTCACTACCTGTAAACAGGATAGGTGTTGTCATGCCCATCCCTGTTTTTTATCCTCCCCAGTTTGAGAATATATCATATTGATATTAAGATCTATTCTAATTAGGATGCTATGTTAATTGTGTTGCATCCCCTTAAAGAACACTAATGACTAAGATACATATTTTAAAAAATTACTATTGCTGCTGCTGATCACAAAAGTTCTGACTCAAAATATTTTATTTTCATGGTATATATCAGGCCTGCACAACTCAAAATTTAAGGCGGGCCGTAATACTTTATGAAAAACTTGTGCGGGCCAGAAGAAAATAGGAGAGGATTTGTGCGGGCCAAAATATAATAAGCTATTAAGAAAATAATAAGAATAAAGAATATTTCAGTAATTCGCGGGCCACAAAGTGGGTTCTGGCGGGCCGCTTGTGGCTCATGGGCCGTATGTTGTGCAGGCCTGGTATATATTATTTATTTTCAAAAAGTGGTAAAGTTTTTTTTAAAATGCTCTTGTTGTTACCATTTCATTTAGTGTAAAAAACAGCATACCATAAGTATTAAACTTGTTTTTTATGATGTGACCAGGTCGCCGTGTCACAGTATGATGGTAAACCAGTCAGTGATGGTGGGTCAGTCACTCTTATACCAACAATAGGCAGCTCGTCGGGCCAGGTCCAGCTGTCAGCCAACTCCCCACAAACTCGTCCAGTGGTCAATGGCGTAGCAGAGTTTGATTTAACCCTGGGCTTCTATGTCACCAGATTCTCTTTGACTGTGAGTGTGTGATGTACAATTTCAATATTAATAATGTAATAGGGTTTTAAATATTCTATTAGAGACTTTACAACTACATTTAAACCCGTTGTCTCCAATGACTGACTTTGTAAGATTTTTATTTAGCTGACACACAATTTAAACAAATTTGTAAATTTAAAAAAAAATTTTTTTAGAGCATTTGCTGTAATAAATATTTGTTAAATTAATAAAAAGTTTTTAATTTGTGGCTTATCTTAAGGAAGGAACTGAAAATGGTTTAATTTTTATTCTTCACAGGCGACCTACCATGACCTGCGTGAAACATTAAACTTGAAAACAATGGTGAACCCTAACTTTGTGACGAGTCAGGGTAGGACTATTCACATGTTGGGCAGCAAGTACTACTCACCTACAAACTCGTACATATCAGTTTACACCTCCACATTCAACCCACAGGTGAGGAGATGCTAGCCAGCCAATGGAAGTAGTTCATCAACTAATAATTAGCATTTAGTTGATTGTACATCAATTTCCAATTTTTAAAAAAGAAGGGTGAATTTGTTGTTGGGTGTTGTTGTTCGTCCGTCGAGGATCGACGATGACCATCGAGTCGTCTGGTGACTGATGACTTGCGCGGGTGACTTTTTTTTAAAGTGAGGAAGAGTTGCGCAGCGTCAACCTCACTCTCTCGTCCGAGCCCACCATATCCAGTGGCAAGACTCTACGTCAAGACGACCAGGGATGGGTACGGTTTCAGGAATGGACATTGTATGCGCCTTACGGGACTCCAACTCCGGGTTTGAATTCAGAGTTTCCTTCTCTTAGATGAGTTGCCGACCAAGGTTAACGAGTCTCATCCACCCGGGGTGATGTTTTTGCTTGACCGGCCTAGCGTTCTACGTGTCTGGTCATGTTCTCAGCGATTCACACCACTGTGCTGTCTCCGCCTTTTGTCCGTTGACCAAGTAGTGGTTCTTCCGCACAATTTGCCGGATTCAGTCTTTACATGCTATGGGGGACAACCCCTTTTTTTCCTAAAGTTCTATGCCCTTCGGCTACCCTCAACCTGGAATCGTTGTCTGGGTTGTAGTCGCTGTGCATGTTACAGCTTCTTGGAACCACAGGTGAGAGCTGAGTTGTTGGGTATACCAGCAGATATTGATCTCAAGTAACAAATTGGTCATCTGAGCTGCTACTTTGGAATAGCCCGTAACGTCAAGTTTGATTTGATGTCAATTATTTTAACAATTTATAAATCATTTAGCAGGTCTATCAATATAAGAGCAAAGCGTTAAGTGCATGCACCCAAAAGGCTCAAGATTTTTAACTAGTACCACACAATAGTATTCTCAAGTATTTTTGTGCAAGACTTAATCTAAAACCTGTCTAAAAATACAATGTGTGAACTTTCGTCTTTGTTTGTAGCAGAAGAGGATAATTTATTGCTAAACCCATGTCTTCTAAACAATATATTTAAATTCAGAGGCCTTTGTCACATCCTAAATTCAAAGAGCTTATTAAAAATCTGCCAATAATCTACATTGTTTGATTTAACAAATAAAATGATATATATTTCAAATGCTAGTCTTGTTTTTAATTCTTTACACGTCTTCCTTTCTTCAAATAAAAAAATACCCTCTTTTTATTTTAGGTAAATGAATACATGGTATTTCATGTGACTGTTACACATTTTGTGCCCAGAATATTTTACCAGGTTGGTTTTTTTTATATTTTTGTCTCATTCATCATTTCTTTTCATTATTTTAAATTAGTGTATGGCATCAAAGTAATGTCTTTTTTTCTATTCATTTAATTACTCAGCAGGCTTTTATTTCATGGCCTTGAAAATTGAAGACATTCATTCTATTTTGTTTTATATCCTTTCTATTTAATACTTACCACTGTCATTCTATTTTTATCTTATTTAATTATGTAATATACATTTTATTTGATATTAACATTTACCACTGTTCTTTTATCATATGTAATATACATTCTATTTGATATTTACCACTGTAATTGTGAACTGGATGTAGCTCAAAGTAACAAACCCATTGCCCATGAACTTTTGGTGACTTACTGACAAAAAAATTACTCAGCTCAAGATGTGTTATTTTATAAGATACAATAAGATTCTTTATTGATCCAAATAAATGGAAATGTTTTGTTTTATAACATTTTTCATATTCATTTTCAACACAAAAATAAATACATAATTTTAACCCAAAATTTTTTTTACAATTATTACAATTTAATCAAGAGACACCTTAAGTATTTCTCTAGCTTACAAACCAGTCACACACAACTCCGTTACTGACAATAATGACCTAATTAGTGATCATTTTAATTTGATGTCCTTAAAGATTGAAGATGATTCGTTATGTCGCATTTAATTATTTAACATATCTGCTATTTGATATTGAATGGTATTTATAATTGTGAACAGGTTGTAGCTCAGAGTAACATAATCATTGGGGATGAACTGGAGATGACTTCCAGGCAGAAGACATTTTCTATCGCCCTGTCCCGTCAGATGGTACCAACTGCTCGTATCATTGTCTATTACATCAGGGAGCCAGAGGAGATTGTCTCAGATGTTCTCAGCTTCTTTGTCAATGGGACTAGGCAGAACCAGGTACTCTCAAACTCTTAGATTGTTTCTTTGCATGCTGTGGACTGCAGAGCAGTGTGCTTTTTGTTTTAAAGTTAAATAAATATCATTTTCATTATATATTGAACCTGGATTTCTACAAAGTTGTATACATTTTTATAAATATATAATTTTTATTTTTAAATTATTATTTTACATAATATCTTTTATAAATTTGAGCTTTGGATAACATAAATCATTTATATAACATTTCTAATTTGCAGTCTCAACTAAATTATATATATTAATATTTGTTACAGTTTCAATTATAAATTACCAATATCTTATCATAAAGAAAAAAAATAGAATTGAGTTACCTTCTTATTGATTTTCACCATAAATGTTCAAATAAATAATGTTTCAAATTTTGAATATAAAACACAAACAAATTCTAATGCTGATGCAACCTATTATATTTGGCTTGCACTTTGTTGGCAGTGAATGAAAATTCTTATACTGATATTTAACGACATCCTGTGTTATAAGGTACAACTTGGTATCAACTTTGGTAAAGATTTTAGTCGTGCCACAGTCGAGTTTAATGCAAGGGCTGATCCCGGATCTTATGTAGCGTTTAGCGGTATGCTGTTGGACCTGTACAGCAGAGGAATGAGTGATGGAATTACAGAAAACAAGGTTTGTTTATCATTATTTTTTTCAAATATGAAAAAAAAAGTAATTTTGGTTTTAGAGTTAGTTAAAGTTGATTTAAGAAAAAATCCATTTTATCAAAGAACTGATCCAAAATTATATCAGCTGTTTTTCCCATTTTGTTTTCTGAAACAGCTGATTGATGAACTGTTGACTTATGACCAGCCAGCCAACAGTAGCTACAGACAACTCTGGAGGGTCAGTGACACAGAATTTGAGTACAAGTTCTTCCATGGCTCTGACTATGGTATAGATGGGAATACTACATTTCAGGTTAGTGGTGAACTAGCATATGTGTTTGCTGCATAAAATATAAGCTGATATACAGAAAAATTTTTAAAGAGACATTTTTATTCATTACTTGTAGATAATTTAGATAAACTGTAAGAAAATCTCATTTCAAGAAGTAACTTGAAAATTCAGTACAGTCCAAGGTAAATAGATTTTTTGATGTAATTGAATACAGCCTGAGGTTGATTTTTTTTATTTTCCTTCAGAGTGCTGGCCTTCTTATACTGACAGATGCTGATGTGACTCGACTACCAAGTGGGTAGTACCTTAGGACCATTTATCAATTTTAACAAGAAAAATATAGTAATTTAAATCAAGGCCGTTTGTTCTCTCGTTCAATACATTTTAGGATGAAGTTAGTATTTTAAAGTAATTTATTCAACATATTTATTACCTTAAATATCGTGATGTTACTTCAAGGACTCAGGTTATGGACAGACATTTAGTGGCAATAAATTAATGAATGTAACAGAGTACTTTAATGAATGTATTTAACAGAGTACTTTATTTTATGCTTCCTTAGATCAACGTTCATGCAATCCACTCGCTGGCCAGTACCCCTGCTTCTCTGGGGTGGAATCAGAATGCTTCACAGACAGCCAGCGGTGTAATGGTCAGTTTGATGGCTGTCCCAATGATGGTGCTGATGAATGGGGATGTAAGTTGGGCTTTCATCTAACATATTCATTCAGTTAATAGGTTCTTGTACCAGATGTTTCCTGTTGATTTTAAAATTCAATAATATATTGATGCCTCTTATTATTGTTACTGTCTTGCATGTAATTCTTTTGTGTTTCAGATTATTGTACGTTATCATGTGCTTAATGTTCTGCTTTTAAATGTTATGTTCCATCCCTTTTTTTTTTAAAATGTGGTTACCGTTGGTTACCGTTGTGCTTAAATACATTTTTAAAATGAAATATGGGCAGGTGTGCTTGAAGAGACACAGACATTATTTGAGACACCGATGGACAGGGTTAGTCGAGTAATGCGTTTCTATGACAACAGTTCTTGGGCATGGCAAGAAATCTTTGTTAAGTAAGGCTTGATTTTATATATTGATGTTTTAATTTTATTTTTTAATCTTAATTAACACTTTCAGAAATAAAGATAAGACAATATACTATCTCAAGAAATAGGATTTTAATGCATAACATAGTAAATAACTCATGAATTTTTTGAGAACTCAATTATTACTTTTTAGAAAACTGGTATTCTTATTATAAACAAAATAATAGAAAATTAAGATATGTTTTATTAATACCCTAATAGGCCAGATGGTCGTGTTGACTTTAGAGTTGACGTCCCCAAATACCCCTTGACTTGGGTCATCAATGGCATCTCAATAAGCCAGGAACTTGGACTGGGCATTATGCAGCAACCTGTCAGGGTAAGAAAACTGACCATACAGTGGGCAACAAGTAGGGTTCCGGTTTAATTGGGGTACCACCTCTTTTGCAAGGTGTTAAACCTGCATTTTAAGAAAAAAAACTTTTCTTTGTAAGTTCTGGCTAAGTCTGCTGCAAATAATATCAAAACCTTCCACTCAAATCTTTAAATGTCATATTATGTTATATAAAAATATTTTGGTTTCTTTTATTCTTTCTGATTATTGGCTAGGGACCAATAAAATTTGACAATGAAGTAGCTGATGGGTATCCTAATAATTGTTAAAGGTTTCTTAAGATAATGTAGGAGGTGACAAAACCTTTCTTGTTGAAGAAAATTTTTTTTTTTAATTTGAAGTTGTATTGGTTTAAGCTTCTAAATAATTAATTGAATTAAATCAAAATTTTTCAAAAGTTCAAATGCACTTGATTTTTTCATGAGGCTGTAAACTATGTGGAACTAAAAGTATTTGTTTTTTTGTTTTTTTGCAGCTTGAAACAGCAAGATTCTTGTATATTCAAGTAGAGCACCCCAAGCAAATTGTGTGGGGGGAGCAGATTGGGGTCAGAGTCACAATATTCAATAACTGGCATGAGGATGATTACATGGAGGTGAGCAAGTTAGTGGTTTAGTTTTTGACTTTCTTATCATGTGAACAAATAGCTTTGTTAAATTTATTTAAAACTTTTTATATTTTTTTTATTTGGCGGGCTGCAAAAAATCTGGTGCACGTTTTTAATAAACTTAGTTATCTCAATCCCAAATATTCAACAACATGCAACTTAATTGTCAAGTTTTTCTCTGCATAAGACGTTTGAAATATATTTTTTTAATTTTAATTAAACTCATGTAAACTAAAATGAATAAAGAAGAAGGAACTGAACATCACAATTCTCACATTCAGAAATGCCTTCAAACTTTTTTTATCTTACAATTTACTGAATACTTTTTTTAAAACAATTTCTTTTTCTGTATGGTATAAATAGATTTTTTTCCTTCTTTAAATAGATTTTAGTAACAATGCATGGTGGACCTGAAACAGAGTTTGTTACTGTTGGTGAAATGGGATATGTGACATCTTACTCGCCAACAACTCACAAGGGAGATCATCAAACTATTGTTTTTGTAAGACTAATAATTCTACTTTCCTCCCCTGATTAATGATATTTTTCAGAGTGTATTATTTTTATCCAGGCATCTGTTCAAGATCACTAATTTTCTTGACCATCTATTTATTTTTGACCATTCACATAAAATTAGTCAACTATTTAAAAAAAACCACTACAATGATTTTATTTCATTTGAATTATAATATGTGTCAATTAAATCATCATAGTGCTTGATTATAATTAGCTAAACAGCTACAAACCTCAAGATTATCTGCTTTATGATTTTTGCTTTTAGGCATTAAGGTTCAGAGATGCCAGAGACTTACTTTGAATTTAATACTTAGTTGGAAAGTGTAAGATTTTAAAAATGTCAAAGAATCTATATTTTATGCAGAACTGAAGTAAATTTAATGTAATAAATGAACAAGATCTTCTGTAACAATCATGCTCAGGTTTAAAAAAACAAAATTTTTGTAACAATGGGGTTTATCTAAATATTTCTGTATCTATATATGTCTTTATCTGTCTATACATATATTAACAGCTGGAACCAGGGGAGGCCAAGGACATCTATATGCCTATTGTTCCTGCCAGATCGTTTAGAAAAGACAAACTAACTTTTCGAGTTTCTGCCACTTCATTTATGGGAAAGGATGAATACGTGGGAGAAATGTTTGTGAAGGTACATTGAAATAAACCAATATATGCTTATTGATTTTTCCATAGAACTGAACACAATAAAAGTTTTGTTTATCATCATTATTTTTATATACAATTTCAACACCTGAATAATTGAGAATTTATATTTATATCTATCAATATAGTGCTAATATATTTTTAAAATATACTTAAAATATAATTAAGCATCAGTTCTTTACTATATTTACTTGGTCTGAAAATTTTATCATTATTATTATATTTTTGTTAATATTTTCTAAAATAAGATCAGATTGTCTGAAATTGTTTTTCCCCACAGCCCAATGATATTATTTATATTTCCCCCACAGCCCAATGGAGTTCTCAACTACTTCCACACCCCTTATCTGATAGATTTAATCAGATTTCCGTCCATAGACATACCACAGTTTAAAGTGAATGTTCCAGAGTATTTCCGTAAACAAGAAATCAGGCCTAATCTCTACGTACCCCAGTCACCAAAAGCGATGAACACGGTCTTCGGTAAGTTTTTGGAAGCAAGGGTCCTTCCATTCAAAAATTAAAATAATTGTCAATTTTCAGGGTAACGTGCGCAGGGCTCTGTCAGGTCGGATGTTTTCATACAGATAAATTAGGCATGTTCTCAATCCTCTCATCTCACAAAAAAAATGTAATTTGTAGGGGTCACTCTAAGTTAAAAAATAAGAAAATTATCTTTTATAATGGTACATTTGTAGTGAATATAAAATATAATTTTTGTCATGTTAAATAAGAAATATTTACACTATTGTGTCTCATGCAACTGTCCTGTATTCAAATAAAGGTGATGTTGTCACTCCTGGTTTCTTTGAGGACTACCTGAATGCAGCAAATATTTTATACCGACCGTATGGCAGTGGGGAAATGGTGACCTTCAACTTTGCCTACAATCTGCTGGCCCTAATGTTCATGAGATCGTCCAATCAACTTGAAACAACACAGACTAAGAGGGTCCTCAATCAGCTGAATATAGGTGATTTGTCTCTTATATAGCTTGCTGCAGTTGAGGCATTGGGCCAATAAAATAATCCCTTTCCGCTTGTTACAACAATTATTACCTAATGATATTTCAAAATACACAATACTATTTCTATACTGTAAGTTTTTGTAAATTTCTTTTTTAAACCTATTTCATTTGACACAGAGACAAATTAATAGGTGAAACATAGACGCCTGGAAACACACAAGTCATAAGCTCTGCAATTTACTCGTATCACTAAGAATATCTTAATATTGTTAATATAATCCGGTACATGAAAAATATTTGTCCTATCTTTTGTTTCCTTTCTCTGTGTTAAAAGCACTGGTCAAACTTCCTTTCTATTCTACCACGTATCTTATCTGTTTGTCTCACTGTCTATTTGTTTGGGCAGTCCTGCAGAGGATGACCACCTACATGAATGCTACGGACGGCTCGTTTAAAATGTTCCGTGATGACAATAAACCCAGTTTATGGTGAGTCTTGATGTTGGAGTCTCTGACTCAGCTATGCTCCTAACTTTGTTTGGTTTTTTAAGTATTTACTCACACTCTGAAAATTTTAAGTTACGTAAAAAAAAGAAATTGTTAAAAAAAAACTGCAGCAAATTTGTTTACAAATTTAAACTAAAATATAAAACTTTTAAAGTATGACGCAGAGAATTTTAAGTCATGAATACTAAGATATGCTGGTAAAAATCTGTCTAAATTGTATCTGAAAGTGTAAATATAGTAAATTGACAAATTTAATTAAGATTTTCATGTTATAAACATTGGACTCTTATTTTAGCTTGTAGCCAAAACTTGTTTCTGTCAGATTAGCGGTGATTAGCCATGACTCTCTCTTCGCAAACAGGCTGACCGCATTTGTTGGGAAAAATCTGGCCAGAGCTGGCGATGTTGGTGATTGGGAACAAGATCTTTATATCCCTGGTGAGTGGGTCAGTAAAATTCTGAGTTACATCTGCAGCAGACAGAACACAACCACCGGTGCTTTTGATCCTGATGAGTTTGACATTGCTTATGACAGGAAGATGGTAAGCATATTTCTAAGGAGAATCATACATGTTGAGTTGTTTTTTAACTAGCAAAATAAATTAGTTTTGTAAAATCCTCAATAGCTTTCAGTGTTTCTTGATGATGATTTTTCCATATGTATCTAAACTGCTTATTTTTCATCCTTCGCACAAGAAAATGACCAAGGCAATTTTATTTGAGAAGTAGCCTTGACTTGAGCTGAAATGATGGGACATTTGCTCACTTTGTCAGCCTCGCTTTCTTGTTATTGTCTATTTGATCCAATGGCAAGACTTGGTCAAGACAATTGGAAATAGACCAGGAATGCATCAGATGACCAGCAGTCTATCTTGTGTTTTTCACTGTGCTATTTATGGAGTCTACATTGCAGGAGTTATTCTACCTGTGGGACTGTGTCCGGGTTTAATTTCAGAGTTTGCTTTCTCTGAGACAAGTTGCCATCCAATGTTAACGAGTCCCATCCACCCAGTTGGGGGGGGGGGTTGGGTTGCTGGTTATGTTTTTGCTCTTGCTGGGGATTGAGCTGGAGTCCAATAGCTCGGCCTTGACTCAGTTTAGACCACTGTACCACCTAGTACCCAGTCTTTATTATAATACATGCTATTCCCGTTTTGAACAATTTAGTGCACAAATGAATTTTGAAGTGGCATGTGGTGTCATGGTCAATTCTTTATCCAACACTAGAAAAATCAGATACCATATAAATAATGCTTCAATTTTGTAGCACTAAGAAGCAAACAAACAAATCTCTCCCCCACCCCCACCCCCCCCCCCCCCCCCCCCCCCTCTCTTAAACAAGTCGTTAAAAAAAAATCTGTATTTTTTGCAATGATAATTTTAATCATTGTACTGATGAACACAGGCCTCTCTGAAAGATATGAAGATGGAAGTCATGTCCACTCACAAGATACCCCTGACGGCTTATGTACTGATTGCAATGTATGAGATGACAGATTTCACAAAGGTAAGTTCATTATTTTTCTTGGTATTTCAAAGTTTTAAAAATCAAGAGTTTCCTTTGAGTTCAACTTCAGTCTAATATTTTTTAAGACATTTACTATGTGAACACATCTCATAAGTTGAAATAACTCCTTAAACCAGAGATAATCTGTGAAACTTTTATTTCTTATAAAATTGTGAAAATTTGTTTAAGTTCTGTGTAAATTAAGGGAAAATAATAAAAAAATACCGTGGGAACCCACTGTAACCTGGTAAATGCTGTCCGTAAAACCAGATCACGTTCAAAGTGAGGTCCCATTTAGGCAGGGTTTTACAACATTTCATGCAAACAACATTGGTATTTTTTGGAGAAAGTTGATTTTGTTTGAAACAAATTTTTTGTTTAATGTCTTGTGATTAGAGCTAGTTAGATATGTGCTGTTGAATTTGGGCTCGTTTTAGTGGATTTGTGATTATGTTGTATGAGAATATATATATTTTTTGCTATTTTTCACATACTTAGAAAGAAAAAAATCATGCTCAAATTTCAGCAGCCATGCCATAACCATTTAATAATCCAAATCATGTCATAGCAGGTTTCCATCATTACATACCACTCTTTATTATATCATTAATTATAAATATAAAATATTTTCTTTAACAGGGTAAAGTACCATGTTTAGAAACTGCCAAAAGAAATGCTGCTATATTTTTACAAAGTCAGTTGAGCCAACTTGGCCAAGATGAAATTTTCTTCATGGCTATAACAGCCTATGCCCTGTCTCTGACACCAAGCGCCCTTGACATTGTCAATAAACTCTGGCAACTCAAAAGAAATGACTGTAAGTATATTTCTCAATTAATAATATTTTTATGGACCAACACAAGTTCCATATGTAATTTAAAAAAAGAAAATTTAAATGTTCTGCAATAAATTTATTTGTTTTTAAAAAAAATTTAATTGTGGAAGATTTATTTTATTACATGAAATACAAAAAAGTAATCCCTGGTGATGAGATTATGTTAAAGTTACATAACTTTTAATTATGTTATCTTCGACTCATTCTTTTATGAAGGTGATCAATTACATAAATTTGGTTTATTTTTATACAATGAAATAATGATTTAGACCAGTTTTTCCCAAAGTGGTGTTCACGGACTGGCACCAGACTGCTAGCATTACGTTGCTGGTCCGCACAAAATAAGACCAGACAGTGGATAAAAGTTAAATAGTTAAACAGCCATAACAACAAAAAAAAGTGAATCGGCAAACATTTAATGGAAATAATTAATAGAGTTATCTCTCATTGGCCAATGTCCGATAAGAATTATAATTTATGACAGATAAAAATAATTTTAAAATCTTGCACTGGTCGGTCCATGGTGCAATGTGAAAATTATCCACCAGATCACCAAAACTTAAAAGTTTGGGAAACACTGCTTCAGAGCACTGATTTTTGTCTAGTCTAACTGGATGTACTTTTAATTAGAATAAGTTTAAATAAACTCTGTTTCTGATTAGTCATGGCTATTTTAAACTTGTGATAGCTTTCCAATGAAATATCATTACTCCTGACACTTGTGTTCAGCTGACTACACTTACTTTGCCGACCAGCTGGTGTATGAGAATCCATCTGCCATACAAAACAATGTCAGGTACTTGATGCCTCGCCAGGAACTTTTGAATGATGCATATGCTGTTCAGAGCACAGCATATGCATTGATGGCCCACATCATGGCAGATCGTGAATCAAAAGTTGAGAGAGACATGACCATGACCTGGTTAAATACAATGCGAAACTCATTTGGTGGATTTTCTTCTACACAGGTATAAACATTATCAATATTCTGCATAAGATTAAGAATGACAAATTTCTCATTGAAAGTTTTAAGTATCAATATTCTATGTAACATTGGGAATGACAAATTTTGGTACCGGAGGCGGCAGCCCCATTGGCCTCCCCACTTTGCAATGGCCTGTTGGGTGAACATGACAAAGTAATAATATTCATATAATAATTCTATTATGGTATAATGTATGTGGGTAAATTCTGAATCTTTGTTAAAACTAACTTTTTTTGTATGTTCTGAATATTTAAAAATTAAAGCTGAAACATTTTAAATAAGTCAATGGTTTGTGGTAAATACAAGAGGTATAAATCTATCAGTGATTTAACTTTTGTTATATAGCTTATTGTTATTTCAGCAGGTCCATTTCCTTTCCACTACTAGTATAACTGCACAATATAATTAGTGGGGAAACTTGAACAATTTAGTCAGTGGGGAAAGTTGCACCATTTAATTTGTGGGGAATGTTTCACAATATAGTTAGTGGAAAAAGTTGCACAATATAATTTGTGGGGAAAGTTTCACAATATAATTAGTGGGGAAAGTTTCACAATATAATTAGTGGAAAAAGTTGCACAATATAATTAGTGGGGAAAGTTTCACAATATAATTAGTGGAAAAAGTTGCACAATATAATTAGTGGGGAAAGTTGCACAATATAATTAGTGGAAAAAGTTGCACAATTTAATTTGTGGGGAAAGTTGCACAATATAATTTGTGGGGAAAGTTGCACAACTGGTCCAACACACACAAATAATTAAAGCTGTTAGCTTTGTTTTTTGTTATTATTTATAATTTACTTGATCCAATACAAAGATTATCATGGGCTGTGTTTTACATCAGTGTATTTAAACTTAACAAAGATCAGAATTTTACATCAGTGTATTTAAACTTAACAAAGACCAGAATTTTACATTAGTGTATTTAAACTTAACAAAGATCAGAATTTTACATCAGTGTATTTAAATTTAACAAAGATCAGAATTTTACATTAGTGTATTTAAACTTAACAAAGATCAGAATTTTACATTAGTGTATTTAAACTTAACAAAGATCAGAATTTTACATCAGTGTATTTAAACTTAACAAAGATCAGAATTTTACATTAGTGTATTTAAACTTAACAAAGATCAGAATTTTACATTAGTGTATTTAAACTTAACAAAGATCAGAATTTTACATCAGTGTATTTAAACTTAACAAAGATCAGAATTTTACATTAGTGTATTTAAACTTAACAAAGATCAGAATTTTACATCAGTGTATTTAAACTTAACAAAGATCAGGATTTTACATCAGTGTATTTAAACTTAACAAAGATCAGAATTTTACATTAGTGTATTTAAACTTAACAAAGATCAGAATTTTACATCAGTTTATTTAAACTTAACAAAGATCAGAATTTTACATCAATTTATTTAAACTTAACAAAGATCAGAATTTTACATTAGTGTATTTAAACTTAACAAAGATCAGAATTTTACATCAGTGTATTTAAACTTAACAAAGATCAGAATTTTACATCCGTTTATTTAAACTTAACAAAGATCAGAATTTGACATCAGTTTATTTAAACTTAACAAAGATCAGAATTTTACATTAGTGTATTTAAACTTAACAAAGATCAGAATTTTACATCAGTTTATTTAAACTTAACAAAGATCAGAATTTTACATTAGTGTATTTAAACTTAACAAAGATCAGAATTTTACATTAGTGTATTCAAACTTAACAAAGATCAGAATTTTACATTTATTTGTGTGTCATTCTCAACTCATTACCATATTGCTTGTAAACTGTTTGAACAGGACACAATAGTGGCAATGGAAGCACTGTGGCAGTACACACTCAAGGATTTCCACCGCAATGAGTTTGATATGTCTGTCATACTTGAGTCCATGGGTTCTCCTGGATGGCAGACTGTCATTCCAGTCAAGAAAAATAACTTTACACGCCTGAATCAAATTTTTGTATGTTTAATTTCAGAACTTTATGTTTTATTCAATATTTAACACCATTTACATTTTGTAAAAAGATTGCATTATTATTCTAACGTTTTTTAATGTTAAAAATTGTTTTGCACTGGTAATAGATAAGTTCATAAATAAACTAAGAATTTTGATTTTAATTGAACGTTATTGTAGATAAAAAATTGTATCAATATGATTAACAATTCACTCATTACAAAATTTGTTTTTGTCTATTAGTAATCAAGCTTTGAACAGTTCATTACAAACCATATTATAATATTCTTAACAAAATGTCTTCAGCTACCGATGAATCAAGTGTTTGGTTATGTCATCCCATCAGCTCGAGGGGTCGGCAGAGCCATGTTACAGGTAGGCTGATACTGTTTGCTGTGCAGTTTACAACTTCGATGGCTTATATTTTGCGGCTGTATTTTAATGTTTTCTCTAACTTGTTTTGATGGCCGTAATTTTTTTTTACCCAGATTGCTGTTTGACCATCACATGTATTTGAGTTCATTTGTTTTAAAAAAGAAATCATATTTCTATTGCAGTTAGTTTAGCTCAGCCGTCACCTGACATGTCAGTGTTGTTTGTAGCTGACTAACAAAAACTGTCTTCCTGTTGTGCAACTGTTGGCATTGAAATGATATATATATTAGTTTGGTTCAGCTGATATGTTCTGTTGTTTTTCATGTTGTTGGCCATTACATGATAATATACTAATTGAATGCTGGTGGCCGAGTGGTCTAAACTGATTCAATCCCCCAAAAATCTGTTGGTCTTGAGTTCAATCCCCACCAAAGCCTAAACAAGCAATAACATCCGAAACACCTTGGGTGGATGGGACTCATTAACCTTGGATGGCAACTCATCTATGAGAAGCCAAACCCTGAAATCAAACCCAGAGATGGAGTCCTTTAGGTGGTATCACATTGACACAATAAAAATTCCGGCTACTCCTGCGATACTGCTGGTGCTAAGCTGAATCATCCACATACGATGTTCCCTTGGGTTATCCAGGTGCATGGAGAGAGGTGATTTGCTATCCAGGGAGTCAGATTATCCCAGGGCTTGTGATTTTTTTCCTGTAAAGTTTAAATCATCATCACATTGTGACGGATGGTTGCCAGACATGACAATGAGACATTCTAATGTTACCCACATGGTAATTTCTACTACAGACAGACAGCTTAATGTTACGGATAATGTTACACATTTCTGTTACTCACAGCTGACTGTTACAGCCAATGTTGAGTACGAGGACCTCATGAAGACCCAACAACACGTTAACAATAAAGCAGAAAATGATGTCATTCCATTCTTTGACCTACAAGTTCAGACCAGCTGGGGAGGACGCAACGACTCTATCATGTTGATGACCTCCTGCGTCAGGTATTGGATGAGCTTAATAGCAAGATATATTTTTAAAAAAATCAAATAACATTGACATTAAAAGCACATCGAAGTTTAATGCCTCTAATTCCTCGCAAGGGTGGCGGCCCCTGTAACAATTTTTGCACTTGAAGTTTCTGTGTTCAGCTGACAAACTGCATGTGCAGTGGAACCTCTATGTTCATTATTAATCAATTCTTGATGGTCTGACAAAGAAAGTGTCCAATCATGCCTTTTTCTGTCTCTAGATAAATTGGAAGCATTTTGTTCATTCTTACTTGGTAAGAATTTTTTACCTTTTTTATCTCAACAGTGGCCCTCACGCCCTTTGGTTTTGGTTGTTAATCTTTGATAAGCTTACGGCTTCCGTCAGGTCATTACAAAGAATTTGGAAAAGTCCAAATTTTCCACTAGAAATGAATGATAGGTGCACCCTTGTTGACCACACAAGGCTGACTGAGTAGGCCATCTGTTTGCAGGGTCACTGCCGGGTGGTGGTGGAAAGGACAATTTTGGAAACTTTTTGGGCATAAAAATCTGAATGTGATTCATATTGAATCTGGCGATAAAGATAAAGAACATTATATATAGAGGTTTCATCAATTAAAACATATCAATCATTGCTGATGAATTGTCAAACTTGGGGTCTATACACAGCCCAGAAAATTTTTTTTGTTTAATTTTACGGAAAGTGGAGGTGTTTACTTATCAACCCTGAATATGCTTAATATTTGATGCAGACATCTAAATCTAAGGTGTTAAAGCTTTTCAAAGGATGTTGGTTCAAACCCTTATGTGAAACATTCTGCAACTGAATCACTGTGGTGTTTCCCTGAACTGTTTCAGCTGGCTATTTACAGAACGTAGCTTGACCTCAGGTCTGGCCGTGCTGGAAGTGGACATACCCACCGGATATGTAGTCATGAATGACACTCTGAGATCTTATGTCCGCTCTGGTGTAGTGCCAAACTTAAAGAGGGCAGAGTATTACAACAAGCAGGTCTTTTTCTACTTTGAATTTGTAAGTCATCTTGAGTTGTCATAAATATTTATTACTCTAACTTATAGAAGTTCAATACCAGGTACTTAAATGAATGTTTAAAGTAAAAAAGGTGTTAAATAACAAATCAGCTTAAAAAAATGTTGTGAACTTTAAAATTACAATGTAATTTGCTAGAATATGTATCATTTGTATATTGTTAAGATAGCATCACTGTAAGTCAAGTTTTTTTCAAGGCTCTTTGTTGTTGTTTTTTCCTTCAAATTTATTAAGATCTAGGGCAGGAACGCTTAACCTTTCTGCAGTGCAGCATCTCTTCTCAATTTTCAAGCATTTCCTGAATTGTGTCTTTAGAGTGTTACAGTGATGAAATCTTTCTTGCTAAAATATATTGAATTTTTTTTGTTTAATTTGTTTGTTTCGTGTAATTTAAAAATTCAACTGAACAAGGAACAGTGTTGAAATTTATAGAGATGCTGACCATGTATTTTATTTTCCTGTACTATGCATTTCAGCTTGACCAAAGCAAGACCTGTGTGGATTTTAGAGCTGACCGTTGGTACCCAGTGGCCAACACAACAAAAGAGCACAGGATCCGTGTCTATGATTATTATGAGCCAGGTAAAAGTGCCTAAAGCTGATTATTTGAAATAATTTATGTGGTGACAATTACAATGTGTTATGCTCAACAAAAAATAAACAGAGGAGCACAACAAGTTATTACTGTTGATGTAGGAGCACAACAAGTTATTACTGTTGATGTAGGAGCACAACAAGTTACTACTGTTGATGTAGGAGCACAACAAGTTACTACTGTTGATGTAGGAGCACAACAAGTTACTACTGTTGATGTAGGAGCACAACAAGTTACTACTGTTGATGTAGGAGCACAACAAGTTACTACTGTTGATGTAGGAGCACAACAAGTTACTACTGTTGATGAAGGAGCACAACAAGTTACTCAATATTTAAAACAAAATGCCTGCATGTGAACCCTCACCACTGATCACAACAGATTTTCAGTACCAGTAACTGTAAAATAGCTCATTAACAGGGCAATATGAGTATTTTCCCTTGTGCCTGTAAAGATGATGTATCAAGAATATTGATGGATAGATTTGTCTTTGTTTACTTCCACCTTAAGCCACCTAAAGACAATGTGACAAAAGATTGTTTTGTTAATTTACTTACATATTGTATTCACCAAAAGTCTGACTTTTTTTGAAAGTGAGATAAACAAAACAAATAAATTCTGTATTTGGGTTTTACATGATAATATTTCTCTCTAACTTTCTGTCCTTGAATAGGAGGCATCTGACATTTTCAATGTTAAATAAATGAAGAGATGTCAATGTGAAACTAATGTATTATTTTCTTTTATCACATCCTATCAGGCATGCACAGGACCAGGCTGTACACAGTACAGAATCTTTTTCTCATGAACATATGTTTTGTGTGTGGTTCCTACCAATGCCCTTACTGTCCTTACTTCAATGCTGCCACAGTCCTCTCAGTTGGTGCCAGATTTTCTTGGATCTTACTGCTGCTGTTCATTTTACAGAGATTATGTCTTCAGCCAAGATAGTTGACATGTGGACAGCTTAACTACTTGTACATTAAAGTTACATTTATCACATGTAAAATAAGAGGTTAAAATGAATCAATGAAAGCAGCGGTGCAGCACTTAAAAATCCACGCACACTTACTAAGTGTTAAGGCAGATAGTAGTAGTAGTATAATTGATGAGGTGGAAGTAGTGGTATAATTGATAAAGTCGGAAAGTTTAAAAGAACTATTTAAATGTTTCACCCAAATTAACGACTTGTTGGCAAGGAATGCAAAGGAATTTTGGTAAATAAAATGTATCGTGAAGCTCAGCCCTGTTTACGTCACTTACACCAAGTAGAGACCATTTCTTAAACAGATAAGATTATGATTGTCTTACTGTTGAAAGAAGGTTCTGTGTTACTTTAAAGTGTTGAAGAGTGTTTGAAGATTGCCTGTTGTAATCTATTTTCCCCAATATAAATATCTGCTTCTAACCACATATTGTACACATGGCTGGTGACAAGATGTCTTAACGCACCAAGTAATAATTTCCTTCTTAGTTTTTTTCAAATGTTTTATCGAATATTTATTTTTAAATAATGTAAAACATGCAGGCATACATATCAAAATCTTTCGATTAAATGCCATGGATGAAGTGATCAAATAAATCCTGTAACAATACTAAAATTCTTTAGGTGACTAGATTTGAAGGCACTGGATTTGTAAACAATGCACACCACAGAGCAAACGTCCCATTGTGTTTCACTCTAAAGCATTGGCAAAAATGAGGTTTTCAATTTAGCTGGTCTTATTTTTTATTTTTAGACAAGGGTAGAATGATCACATGGGTAGAATTAACATATAGATGGCGTGAACATATAATAGGAAGGGTGAATATATAACAAAATAAAAGTATACGAGTGCATACAAGTACAAGTGTTACCCTCAAGCTTTCTCCATTTAAACCCCACTCACCCCCACCCCCTCACATCAAACCACTCACAATACCGCCACCCCCACCAATGTAAACAAATCAACAACACAATAGTGACCTATAGCAAGCAATTAATTTTGTTAAAATAAACTTTAAATAACAGTATTAGTTGCACAATGTGATCCCCATTCATGTTGCTTTAAATTAGCTTTACTACTTTGAATGCAGAATGAGATTATTCATTCCCATTTATACATAGTGCCAATCAGATACTTTGTGCATTAATTGATTCCTTCAGATAGTGCATATCTGTTCCTTTTATATTCATGGTGGTATTGATAGGGGCCTGATTGTTTGAAATTTTGTTGGTTTTTGATGTACAGACATTCTTTCAAATGCCAAAGTTAGCAAATCATGGTAATTCTGTATGTTAAGACAATGTTGTGTATGTATGACCCTCATGAGAAATCTGGCAGTCGTTGCCATTTCAAAACTATTACACTGCACAGCCGTGCCTGGAGCAAATGTTGATCTGGATCTCTTTGAAATGAACTTTTGATAATCTTACTAAACAGTCTGTACCATAAAGTCGTGAATGCATCATTCGATTGACAGATTTTTCAGTGTTATGCTATATGATATGTATTTATACCAATCAGAAGTAAAATTTCTTTTAGCCAAAAAAACCCGCCGAAAAACATGAATGGGTATAAAATTATAAGCCATCTATATGTGTTCAGAACCAAACACTTACAGCTCCATCTGAGAAAAATATAACATTTTTGAATTTTGAGAGTTAGTCTTCACTTTCATTAAAAAAAATCTTTTTTTTTTTAAATCTTCAAAAATGATAACTTTTTCTATCTTTTTTACCAGGGTATAAAGTATTAAAGATGTACATTGCATATACATGTCAAATTTTATATTTTCAAACAAGCTTAACAAATTTTCAATTTTATAATGTATAAACATATACTATGTTAATGTTTCTATTCCATATTCCGTGTATTATAACTGATGTTGTTGGGCTAATCTCAAGGAATGTCTATGACTGTATCATTAAAGCTTATATTTGCACATGCATTCTTGTAGTCATTGTTCATTCTGTTCTGTATGGGAGGGACTTTTCCTGCTACAGTGGCATAAGCTTATTTTAATGACCCAAAATGCGTATCAAAACCTTGCACAACTATGTGACATTTGTTTGTGTAACCAACATTTCAGTTTTGTTCAATATTTACACCTGCATCTCTTGTAATCGTTGTTCATTCTGTTACTCTGTAGGGAAGGGTGTTCTCCTGCTTCGATTTTATTAGCTTATTTTAATTACCGGATGTACGTAACAAAGCCTTGCCTTACACAACTATGTGACATTTGGTTGTGTAACCAACAGTTCGGTTTCGTTGAATTTTCTCATTTCTTTTCACCTTTCATGCTACACAACACACAGGCCCATTTTCTCACACACAGGCCCATTCTCTAAATGGTATTTCACATTTTTTCTTGAACCCTGGTCATTCCAAGTCATTTCAAGCAACGGATTTCAAATCAACTATAACATAATAATTACCTGCTGTCTGCAGGCGGATCTTCATTATTAAGAACGAGCATTTATTATTTACAAGTTTAAAAAAAAACCTAATTTTCGAAAAATTTGTTTGTGCAGTTAATGGATTCGAATAAATACATTATCTAGGGCTGGGCTCTTACTAAGAGAGAAAACAAAGCCCTTGACATTGGCACAGAAACGGAGAGAAAATAGTTGTGTCAATAGCGACCCTATGGTAAAGGTCATTTTTGAGTAATGAAAGAATATGATGTCGGCAGCTAATAGTCTTACTCCAATTGTATTCGAAATATGTTTGGAGTATCGTGACCCGGAGTCAGAGCAACTGTTGGATTCCAAACAAAAAATTAAATCGTCCAATTCCGAGATCTTTTGTGGCAACCGCCCGTGGAAACGTGCCGACCACGTCGTTGTGAGTTTTGTGGCAGTAACATAGAGAGGTCTTTATGATCTTGCAGTTGAAATCGGGAATTTTTGGAGGTTGATGTGGCCAGTCCAGGGCCATGCAGAGACCAAAGCAACCGTGTATAATCACTAGAGGCCATCCCTGCCCGCATTGGGTCCCCCAAGGGCGGAATCAAAACGTTTGCTGGGGGCCCAAAAACACTTCTGCACAGCCCTGGGCTGGTTTCATAGCAGAGCGGTGTTGCTGACCATGGGGCACAACTGACTATTTGTTTCTTTATGATTTTGTCTAAACAACGCGTCCAAACAGGACAACAAAAATGATCTGACTAGTTTATGAGCCCACCTGTCTACCTACTCTGCTTGGACTTAACATCCTCGTGCTCTAAAGAGTGCAAATGGGAGGCCCCCAACCTTTTAACAAATGAAGGCCACTTTGAAAAAGATTTTTACTTGGTGGGGGGGGGGGGCACACACACTCCGTAATTATGTGCATCAGGAATGCATCCCCTATCTTAGCAATGTTCAAATTACCTTGCGTGACTTGCTTAGTCTTATCCCGTTGTTATTTTACCTGTCTACCTACTCTGCTTGGACTTAACATCCTCGTGCTCTAAAGAGTGCAAATGGGAGGCCCCCAACCTTTTAACAAATGAAGGCCACTTTGAAAAAGATTTTTACTTGGTGGGGGGGGGCACACACACTCCGTAATTATGTGCATCAGGAATGCATCCCCTATCTTAGCAATGTTCAAATTACCTTGCGTGACTTGCTTAGTCTTATCCCGTTGTTATTTTCTTGATGCTGGACTTCAGTTAGAGTATGTGTTTGTATGCCTCAGAAAACCCGTGACTGATTGCGTCTCTGTCTATATCGGACTGGAAGGTGGCAGGTCTCCGAAATAAATAATCAAAGCGTGCTAGTAGTTAGGCCTACGACCAAAACGGCTTAAACTTAAAGCCACAAGCACAAAAAGGAAGGAACGAATGCAATGCTTTAATCTTTGTCTCCTTTAACACCATGCACGAAGTCACCTTAATTTTGTTCCGCTCATTTTGGTGAGGTGACATGTATCCGTAACCGTCTGCTGAACCCATCTTGATACCAGCCTAATTGGGTCAGCAGGCAGGACGCGGTGAAGGTTGAAATAGGGCGCGGGAAAAATGTGTTTTTTTGTTGTTTTGTTTTTTTAAAAGGAGCTTGATAATGTTTGTTAATCTTTGCTGTCTTTACTTTTGAATGTAAGCATTTAAGTATGCTATGGACAATGTTTGACAGACTTATGGACAATCTTTGAAAGTCTTATGGACAATGTTTGAAAGGCTTATGGACAATGTTTGAAAGGCTTATGGACAATGTTTGAAAGGCTTATGGACAATGTTTGAAAGGCTTATGAGCACTGTTTGAACGTCTTATGGACACTGTTTGAAAGTCATTTGCTGATTAACATTGATTTAAATGGGCTGCACTCGAAACTTCTTTGTATACGAAAAAGAAATGTTTAGCAATGCCAAAATACCTGGGAGACGCCCGGCTGTCCCATTCCCAGAGTCAAGTGAATCACACAACACCCATCCACACCTTTTTTTTTTAATTTAAAAAAAAAAAAAAAAAAAGAAACATTTTTGGAGTTATTTTGCAATTTATTTTTTTTTTTTTTTAAAATACACGTTAAGCTACTTTTTAATGTTATCATCAAAATAATGTTTATATTATCCTCGTGACAGTTCAGTTTTTTATGTCGGCTTCAGTTATCAAATTTATTTCATATTTGCCGGGCAACGCCAAGAAAGCACTGGCCTGGAACCCACATAGAGCGAAATGCCGTGAGAGATCAAATAAAATGTTGAGAAGTGGCCAAACTAGTGAGTATGGGACGATGGGAATAATTCGGAGGCAACAGGGTAGATGGACCAGAGCCGGGTAATTGTGCTCAATGCACGGACTCTCGGCGTTTAATGGGGCTCTGTAATAGCAATGAATGACGCCAACTAGTCTGTGTTCGGTGTAACAACCGATCTTTATTCCACCTTCTCCACTCTTTTTATACTTCACATTCATTGATCACCGTATCCGGAAATTTGACCGAAAGAAATTTTGTCGACGGTAAATTGATCGACGGTAATTTGATCGAACAGAAATTTGGTCGAATCTTTTTTTCAGATTTAACGTTAACATTTTGCTTCAAATTACTTCTTAAACGCATTATTTTGTTTTACTAGATAGTAACAGTGCGTTTAAAAAGAAATTTGACGAAAATTTTAACGTGTGAACTGAAAAAAAAAAAGATTCGACCAAATTTCCGTTCGATCAAATTACCGTCGATCAATTTACCGTCGACAAAATTTCTTTCGATCAAATTTCCTGTAAACCATGATCACCCATTCCACTCTCCACGCCTTTAAGTTTAAACATTTATGAATAAAAACAACCACCACGTCCAGTCATGCCACATGACAACAACACAGGCCAATCAGGTCACAAAGTTCACTCACCACGTCCAGTCATGCCACATGACAACAACGCAGGCCAATCAGGTCACAAAGTTCACTCACCACGTCCAGTCATGCCACATGACAACAACACAGGCCAATCAGGTCACAAAGTTCACTCACCACGTCCAGTCATGCCACATGACAACAACACAGGCCAATCAGGTCACAAAGTTCACTCACCACGTCCAGTCATGCCACATGACAACAACACAGGCCAATCAGGTCACA